TTCTGCTAGCTATAAACTGCTAAAGCCAAACGATCTCTAAGCTGTTAACGCCTTCTAAAAACTGAAGCTAATAAATTTTGATTAATAATAAATTTGTTATGGCTCGTTATTAGGATTTTTATGCTTGGAGTGTGCTGAACAACAATTACATAGAATATAAAAATAAAACACAAAACAAAACAAAACAAATAATAATATGGTATAAAAACTTACATAAAAATTGCAACATTAATTGAAGTGGAAGCTCATTAAATGCAAATGATATGCCAAGTGGAATATTAAAGTCTAGTTAAGCTAGAGTTAAGCCAAAGCAATTCTAATTACAATTCCAATTGCAAATGGCAATTATTTGCATAGTGCGAAGACACCTCAGATCGATCCACAAGTCAGACTGCTACAGTCGATCAATCTAGGCTATAATAGGCGACATGGGAGGTATATAGAGAGTAATATGCTAAATTTAATAACTCTCTGTTACGTCTTCAAGTTACACCAAAGTCAAAATATCGATTGCTAGCGATAGTAAGGGAATTGAAGAAGTTATCGAAATGAAGAAGAATTTATATTTAGAGTTTCGAGTTTACAGTTTTTGTGCCTTATTGAAGTAGACCAACAATTATGGCTTGATTGGTGAAGTTTATCTACGATATATAAACTTCGGCCAGTTACATACATTTGCTCTTAAACAATATACCCTTGCAGTCCACTTTCAATGGATGCAGGGTATCAACATTGAGCGTTTCTGTGCGGAACAAACTTCCCTTAGCCGCTGTACTAAATCAATATACCCCATTGAAGCGAAGTCTCGTTCAGAAGAATAAATTTAACACTAGCATTTAACATGAACATTAACATTTAACGCTCGAATGCATTTGAAAAGCAAGTTCGCTGCGGCGCATGCACAACTGCACACGTTATGTCTGCTGGGCCGACCTTGGCAAAGAAAGCCAAAGGCGGCGAGTCACGCATGCGCATGCGCAACACACTTATGGCCAGATCTGGAGCTGTGTGGATTGGTGTCGTTCCGTTTTGTGCCTTGACATTGAAAACTAAAAATACACGTAAATTATCAGCGTGTAATGCCACACGCTTTGCCATACCATTTGCATATGCCATCGGGTAATTCAACTTTGTGGCGTCATTTGTCATTAATTGAAATTAGAAACGTCTTGGCTGTCAAAACTCGTGTTAGCTAACAAGCTAAGCCTTATCTAAGTGTCAGTGTAAATTGAAGCCGAAAAGTTATACAAGTAACATCATCAACACCCTAAACTGCACGTCAGCGTAAATTAAAGCCCAAAAGTTATACAAGTAACATCATCAACACCCTAAACTGCATGTTAAAGTAGTTGCTTAATAGATGGAGAAAACTTAAAAGTGAAATGGAAGCACGCACTGAACCAAAAGTATAGACTACTAGCTAAAGTTGTTGTCAACTCTGGCATTATGTACATGTTAAACTTGCAATGAACTTAAGCAAATTGTAAACTAAAATGTTAGTCAGAAAAAAACTTGACAACAACTCAAATGCCTTTCAAAGTAGCTGTTAAATTAACAATGAGGATAAACAGAAAACTTTAAAGGAGGCAAATTTAAGTGCATGCCAAAGTACATGTTAAATTTATACTGAACATGGTGGATGAGTAATCTAAAACTGTAAACTGAAATGTTCGTCAAGAGGCAATAATTAACAACTTAAACTACATGTCAAATTAGCTATTAAATTTACAATGCAAAATATTGAAAACTTAAAATGCTGAAAGCGCAGCAATCTTTTGATTTTAACACTAGGTAATACCCACATGGCATTCGTTAGGGTATACAAACCGCGTTAGGGCTTCTACTCTACAGGCGTTTGTCATGTGACTGAATGAGCGCGCGCGTGGTCGAAGTTAAAAAGAGCTTAGCGTATTTATGAGCTAATCGAAACGGGTATTTCGATATCCAGTTATGTACGAAAGATAGTTAAGGTTTTTGCTTTAAGGTAAAGCCCATTAAAGAGACAAAATGTCAATGGCAATTGCGCTATAGCTGAGCTAACTAGATGCTCGTTACGCGGCGAGGTTACTCAAAATTATGCTCAAAATCTTGGCCAATCGGCTCCGTTGCTCTGCACAGCATCCGCATTCTTAACGCCTTTGTGGAGCTGTATCTGTGTAGCTTTGTCTTAGCATCCGATAGATACACTTAGCATAACTGAGCAGCGCTGATCGTGTCGATGCTCAGATACACTTTGCGATTAGCCTTCGTTTCGTTCTTTTTACCCTTTGTCGACCTTGGCAGCTGTCAAACGGCGGCAGCTAAATGTAAAAGATACTTTTTTCTCGCCTTCTACTTCTTCTTCTTCTACATTTTGTATACGAAAACATGGCAAGCAAATTAGCCAAACGACTTGATTGATTGAAGTCCACAACAAAAGAAAGAGCCGAAAAAGGAGCCGAGAAATGAGCTAGAGTCGGGCGCGTACGACTTGATAATGCTCGCTCATGATGCGATACGATACGAACTTACAGACTTATATAGAAAAGTAATATATTTTGATCGAAAAATTATAGGTCTAGAGGTATCTAAAGCACAGACTTTAAGTGAGACTCTGTAGAGAGGCAAGCAGCAAGACGCATATTAAGCAAAACCAATATACCCCTTTTACTTTGCGAACGAGTAAATTCTTTAGACGTAAATTGTGTGTGTGTGTATGTGTGTGTAGTTGTCCAAGTGTCCAAAACGAGAATTGATTTGGTCAGCATTTGGCAGAGTGCGAAATACTTGAAGGGGCGTTTTGTTTTATTGATGGACTTTACCTTGACATTGAACTATGCGGAGTTTACAAACGATACCCCGTAAAAACATGTAAGCAAGGGGTGTAATAAGGCAAGAGCGGGTTAGTTGCAAACAGTGAATGTGCGCCATGCGAACTTGTATACCCTACACATGCGTATACCCTGTAAAAAAAACAACAAGGAGAAACCATAAAGTTGATAAATGATTTAAGACAGTTGAAAGGAAACTCAAACAACTTCCTAGATTTACAGGGTATTTTTAAGTTGGCATTGGCATGCAAGCCACTTGACATGAAATCTGTTACGTAATTGCTTGTCTTTTGGCTAACAGGGTATCGGCTAGACGAGCACTGCTTCACATTCCTATTAGGTCTTTGTCTAGAGATTAACAAACTTCCGACTCATAAATCATAAACGTCGTAATGCCTTGAAGTAGCAGCCAATCCGAATGCCTCACACGCCTTTCACAATTCTAATCAAACATATGAATATGTATATATATATATAGTATATAGTATATATACAGACCAAGTGCTTTGTGCAGTCAAAAAAAAAAAATGTTCAAAACAGGAAACTTGGCTTTTAATAGAAATTTCTTGGTCTAACTCAAAATGTTTTCGCTGGTTTAGCAAACGTTGACGCCGTAGTTCGTAGTGTCAAAAAGGTGTGCAGATAGGGGCGTGGCAAAAGGATTACATATATATATATATAGTCTTAGTGAGGACAACGAGCTGCGTTAACTTAGCCCTGGTGGCAACTGTTGACACAGACGCAAGTCTCTCGTTCAGCCGTGTCCGGCAGTCCGTCCGTCTTCCCCAACCGTCAAACTTCTTCCGTCTGCCTATCCATTCATCCATCTTGATGAATAGAGACTTGAAATTGAGAATATCCACTCGTTTGAGTATATATAATGCCCACTTGATAACTCAGTATAAACTGCTTTCGGATAAAATATCCAGCTAGTATCGGAAAAATGTCATAAGTACATATCCAGAGGAATATCCTTCTCGACCACTCGCCTTTCTACATAATGTTCACACGGCTAAATGAGAGCCAGTTGGCAGTCGAGCACAGATCTGCTCTACAAATAGAATCTATACACAAAAACTAAGATATTAGTACGCCAAGATCTGTAGCTATAAATATTTCTGGTAATAATAATAAGAACTACTAAATAGTTCATAGCTCTAGCACTTAGCTCTAGGCGAGCTTACAAAGCTAGCCGAAAAAGCTCAAAACAAAGTCTTTGTAAAAGCTTTAAGCTCGCCAAGCTCTGTAAGCTTGAAAGCTTCCGCGCATGCCTATGTCTTAGCTTACTTGCCCCGAAACGCTTGAGTATACGAGCTACATATGGGTCAAACACAGCTCACGTCCTCAGGCCGTCACTTTCACTTCCATTCGAGTATTATTCAAGTCACGCACGATCTGTTTAGCAACATTTTGGGATCAATAAATATCTCGAAACGATCGTTTATCAAGCAGAATATCAAGTCGCAAGGCTTTAATTATAATTTGTTCTGCACGCTTGTCACCGAGACAGATAGACAGACTGTAATTAATTCCACTCGCTTATCATTCGATTGATATGATGTCAAGAACTTAACATGATAAACAAGGGGTATTCAAATTCATTACCTATGCCGCTTATCAAACGCGGGGCTAACGGCACAACTGTGGGAAAATTCAGAAGCTGCCTAGGCCAAGCTGCTGTTCAGATAAGAGAGCGTTAGCAGGCAAACGTTTATTACGGGCGCTGAAGGCTCTACTTGCTGTCAGAGGGATCGATCGATACAGAAACTGAGTCTGAGTGTTATCCCAGTTTATATATTGAAATATTATAGATGAAGTTTGGGTTTCGTTACTGGGTTACTGAAGTCTCTAGATCCTAGAGTGCTTAAGTTTCTGTACTCAACGTTCCTTAAGTCTGTAGGTCTTAGGGTGCTTCAGCACTGAAGGGTTCATCTGCTCTTAGGTCATTTAATTCCTGCTTGCTTAGCTTGTGAGGCGGTTTGGTTTCAAAATCTGAACATTCTCAAGTCCCAAAGTGATATCGACCTTCAGCTCTCATTGCTGAAGTAGGTTTTAGGTTCTCATGTTCTCCAGCGCTCAAATATATATGTCCTTATGTCGTTGGATCCTTGAGTTCCTAAGTCCTTCAAACATTGTCGAAAATGAGAAACCAAATTAATATCTCTTACATCTGCTTTGCTCTGTCCGCAGTTAAAACAGCCAAAGGATGATACCAATTTTGGATAAGCTGAGCGGCTTCTACAGCAGCTATGTGCTGGGCATACTCACTATCGGCTATATCCTAGGCGAACTGGGTCACTATCTGATCGGCGTTACGTCCAAGCAGACGGCCATTGAGCTGGACTATGGAGATCATGCCTGCCAGCAGAATAACAGCATGTTCACCAGACACGAACTGATGACCCAGTGCTCGGACGTTAAGAACGAGAGCAGCTGCTATACACTGGATGTAAATGGAACCGGCTACTGCGAGTGGAACTACAATGGACTGGGCATCGATTACCAGATACTGGCTGGACCCACATTCATATTGATCTTTACCATTGCTGGCGTATTTATGGGCTTTGCGGCTGATAAATACAATCGGGTGAAGATGCTCACAGTTTGCACCGTGATCTTTGGCGTTGCGATTCTGCTGCAGGGCACCGTCAAGGAGTATTGGCATCTGGTGCTGCTTCGCATGGTAATGGCTGCCGGTGAATCTGGCTGTAATCCGTTAGCTACGGGCATTATGTCCGATATCTTTCCGGAGAACAAGCGTGCCTTGGTCATGGCCATTTTCAATTGGGGCATCTATGGCGGCTATGGCATCGCGTTCCCCGTCGGTCGTTACATCACCAAGCTGAACTTCTTTGATATGGGCTGGCGTGTGTGCTATTTGGGTGCCGGAGTGCTGACGATTATCGTGGCCGGACTGACGGGCACAACTCTGCGGGAACCGGAACGCAAATCGATTGGCGAGGGCGATCGGACGACAGCGAGCGGCAAGCCCGTAACCCTCTGGCAGGTCATCAAGAGTCCCGCCATGATTATGCTGATGATAGCCGCCTCCATACGTCACAGCGGTGGCATGACCTTTGCCTATAATGCCGATCTGTATTATAATACCTATTTTCCGGACGTCGATCTCGGCTGGTGGCTCTTCGCCGTCACCATTGGCATTGGCAGCGTGGGCGTTGTTGTTGGTGGCGTCGTCTCCGACAAGATAGTCGCCAAAATGGGCATACGTTCGCGTGCCTTTGTCCTGGCTATTAGCCAATTGATAGCCACGTTGCCCGCCTTTGGTTCGGTCTACTTCGATCCCCTGTGGGCGATGATTACACTCGGTCTGAGCTATTTCTTTGCCGAAATGTGGTTTGGCATCGTGTTCGCAATTGTCGTTGAGATAGTGCCGCTGCGTGTTCGCTCCTCAACCATTGGCGTCTTCCTCTTCGTGATGAACAACATTGGCGGCAATTTGCCCATTCTGGTGGATCCAGTGGCCAAGGTCATCGGCTATCGTGGCTCCATCATGATCTTCTATGCTGGTTTCTATGGCATCAGTAAGTATCTGTTCATCGACTTCATATTCAATTCAAATTTTATCGAATTTCTTTGGCTCATTGGCTACTTTCCTAACATTTCCTTTCTTCCTTTCCCTCCTTCTTACTGTCAACCCCTTTTTGTTCGTTCCTTTATTCACTCATTTCCTGATTTGCTTAAGCATTTTCTATGTCCTTTCTATTTCATCATTATTTTTTTTGTACCTTACATAATTTGCTTTTGCTTTACTTTCCCTTTTCTCTTCTTTTTTATCATCAACTTCCTCTCCTGTTCTCATTATCAAGTGCATTTCCTTTCGCTGTCATCTTTCTTCCTTCTTTTCTTCTGGCCAACAACTTTTCCATCCTTTGCTCTTTTTATTGTACTTCCTTCCTGCCTCAACTCTACCAATTGTATTCCGACTGTCAAAGCTAGCAAGCACTTGAGCAGCGTTGCCACCTAGCATCTCATAGCATATCTGGCAGCACTAAAAACTATACAAAATCAAGTAGACCGAAGATAATCCATGATGGCGTACGTTACTTAAGGGGAAAGCTAACAGCTCAATAAGATCTTAAAAGCTTACAAAGTAAATGTAAACATGAAATTAACTAATTGACAAGAATTGAGAAAAGTAAGACCCATTAAAATAAAAACAGTTTTTCAGCTCTTTCAGTCTAAGATCGATAGTTGTGCAGCTCAATATAGTATAGTTAGATAAGCAGGATGATAAGAAGAGGCCTTCGAGACATAATCACCTAACTCACATGAGTCAAGTGTTATGTCAGCTTTATGGGAAACGCATAACTGAATCAGTCAATACAACGTTTGCCAGACACTGCAGACAGTCGGAAATTAGCGATTTCCTTTGAGTAAATGCCTAACTGATATTATTTGTTCAACTCCCATTAGGTTCGATACTTTTCCTGATCACCTGCTTCCTGCTGGAGGGCAAGGCAAAGCCGAGTCCCATCGAACAGGAGTCACAGAAGACACATCCGGATGCCATCCTGAATGTACGCCATATGCACGGCCATGATAACTCCGTGTTCAGCGTGGATGAGACCCTGCCCTCAAATGGACGTCCCGTCCAGCTGCCGCAGCATCTGCAATTGTCCAATGGCAATGGCTACGAGAAGTCACAATCGACTCAGCCAAGTCGCAATAGCGCCGAGAGCAGCAGACTGTAGTATTATGGAGATTATACCTCCATCTCCTCCTCCTTCTCCGAGACATCAGATTGCAAATCTGAGCAACATTTCAAATGAAACAGAACGAGAAAGAAAACATCTATTTGTGCAAGTGCTTCTTATATATTTTTTTATTATTAATATTATCATTATTATTATTTTAATTATAAAAATTTTTTTTTTTGACGCCTGTAATATAATTGATTTTATAATTTTTGTAAAAAATTAACTTAGTCTTAAGCGAGAGATATATGGTAGAGCCTCTTTATACCTACCTACCTTAATTCATGTGTCTTACCATACGTTCTGCTCTTCCCATTTGTACTTAATTCGATAAGTGAGATTCATATATATGTATTAAACACACTTGTATACATATATATATATATATACATATATATATATATATATTTATGTATATATAAATCACGAATAAACTGTTTTGTTAGTTCTAAAAAGAACTTAATGATGCGATATATGTATATACATATATCAATATATATATATGGGAGGCTCAGTGTTGACCGTTTGTTCTTATTGGATATGATTATATAAGCTTTAAATTTTATTATTTTATACAAAAGCCCATAGAGTTGTAGATAATGTCATATGATCCGCCTATATGTTGTCAGCATAGTAATATATATTTCTTGAAGCACCATAAGGTCAATAATAAAAATTATATGTATAGCAATTCGATCCGTGCATTCCGACTCACATATTATCTGGAAAAGAGTAGCTCAGAAAGACAACCCCGGATCGAGTCTTCTTATTGATCAGCAATTTACATACATATATACATGCTATATGGCTTCGCGCTGTAATATACTTCTTCACAGTTGAAAATAGCCAGACCCAGTAGTGACGGCCGCACACAGACCCACTTGACATCCTCACCCTTCTAGAAGCTGTCGGCAGCGCCTATATTGTCGCACACATTCGCCTACATACATATGTATATCTATGTGCATGGAAAGCATATGTAAAGACACACAAATAGTGCGCACAGACGTGCGTCGTGCGCCGCTTGACAACAGCAAATGAATAGGTTTCACGAACACGCCGAAAACAAAACGAAAAAAAAAACAAAACGCTGACAGTGTTCGGCGACGACGAGTGGTTTCGTTGAGACCATAGCAAAGGAGTAACAAATGGGGAGCGATAACGAACAGCAAGCTCTACTTGCGGCGTATTCGGGACAGAATCGCGGCGAATTGTCCAGTACACAGTACACAAATGAGTTTGTGTGTGTGCAAACCTATTGAATTTGTGTGTGTTAAGTGTATGAAGGTATCGCAACAAGGCAATGTTGCCACGTAGGCATATATTTCTAATACTAATTGATTAATTTTATAAGAAAAAATGAGCCTAGGCCTCTCCACTCTTATGTAGTTAAAATAATTCAACAAGTATATAACTGTGTCTGCTAGACAATATCAATCATTTGACGAACATTCGCCGTGCAACCTTTTCGCTGTTGGCAGCCATGCTCGGTGCGGCGAATCGACTTTTGCCAGTCGAATTTTCGTCACTCGAGCAACGACACTCGAAGTGTAAACCGCAGAAGTATTGAATGCGGCTAAAAAAAAAAAGGAACAAAACAGCTACAATTTTATATCTAAATGTCAACTGGTATTTGAATGTCTACACAAATACGGTGAGTTTATTAGACTTAAGAACAATCATCTCAAAGTATTATTTAAATTAAGCGCACAACGTTCGCTGAGCGAATTTTGTTAACTTGCTTAAAATTTTTAGTAGCGTTCGGTACTACTTTTCTTTCTTTTTCTTTCTGTTCCGCGCACCCATATAACGCGTCTGAATATAAAAGTGTGTTCGTGTATTCGCGTATGTGCGTGCGTTTGTGTATACACATACATGTGTATAGGTATATGTGCTGTACGTGTATATCTGTGTATGTGTGTTATTGTGTAATTATTCTTTGATTATTATTCTTAATTTTGCGTGAATTCAGTGTTCAGTGTTGATCAGTTCATAAATTGTTGAAGATGTTGAAAAAGGAAATCAGTAAAATAAAATTAAGTATAATTTGAAAACTGGTTTACTGATGAAATCCTCAATGAAATGCAGTATTTTTAAGAGATCAGTGTTTGCCTTCTCCTTTGTGCATTGTAAGAACAAAAAAATATACTTCATTTTAATTCCATTCTTCCCCTATTCATCCATTCTATACATAATACTAAACCAAACATTTGGTATTTTTGTATAAAAAGAAAACTAAAGTCACATTGCGATCATTTTACATAATTGCTTTCTTTGTTACTCTGCCAAAAATACTGTAAAAATACCGATATTTGGTATTTCTGTTAGTAGAACTACAGCCACATTATGATCACTCCTTTCCAATTTACTGGGCTGACCCCTACGATCCGAGCTGAAGGTTGCATTGGAACTGGCAAGAATTACCTTCCAGTTCATCCAGTGATCACTCAAAAGCTTTACCTTATCCAAGCCCAATTGCATCGCATATTATCTTGTGGATGCTACTGATGCAGAATAGGTTTCAAATAGGTTTAATACTGAGGAATTGGTTTATCAACTAACTTCCATTACAAATCTATGACACTAAATGCTATATTGGATTACCTAAAAGGAAGATATATATACAGCAAAATGGAGGAAGCATTGAAAGTACACAGAAACTATCAATAAGTTGGAAACTTACAAATCTTGACAAAAATTTGACTTCAAAATGGAAAAACAAACCGGAATTAAAAGATCCCACAAAGACGAAGAGCATATGGTGATATAGAATAAATTGAACTTGTCCATGAAGACTAATCCTACTTTTAAATTCCTATTGAAATCAACTAAAAGTCTAAACAAATAGATCGGATGCTAAAAGAGAGCATACGAAATTCATATAAACAATAAAAAAAAAACGGAAGTTGACTTTGATTAAATAGGTACTATATAGACGTGCGCATTTTGCTTTCGCTGTGTTGCTTACGTAAAGCTCAATTCTTATCAATTCTGAGAATGGAATGATATTTACTTATATATATGAAGCAAGTAAATGAGCTTTACATACAACTTGTACTTTGCTTATACTAAAGAGCAGAAATATTATTCTTCAAATACAAATCCGACATCTAGTAAATTCTATATATATATATATATATATATATATATATATATATATAGGGCATGTAAATACGACTGTTTATATTATAGCTTATCAACTCTCAGCTCTAAATTTATGCTATATAAGCCTGACTCAAGTTTATTTGCTATATGGATAGAAATTTCGGACTAACTCACATCGAGATAAAAAAGAAAAAATGAACGCTGAACAATATTCAAAACTCTTGTTTATACTATATAGCCGAGTAATCGAGTGAGTATTACTGGAGCTACAAAATGGGTATGTATACTAGAGGGTCTTTCAGATTTCGTTAAGACCTCTAGCACATTGTAAGGATAGAATTAATGAAGGTTATTCCAAAATTATTTGATTAACCGGTAAAACGTTTGGGCCTCTCGTTTCTCCGAGGCTATTGATCCTACTTTTATAAATGAGAGCCTAGCTCACAATATTAAGAGCATATATATGACATCTGAATGATTGTGTGACCTAAAGCCTAAGGCTTTAATATTTGAAATGAGCTCATGTATAACATAATGATTTTTATGCAATGTAGACCATGTCCTGTCCGTCCGTACGTTCGTCTCTCCGTCCGTCTCCATCCAACTGTCTATTCCTTTTTTTAAGTGGCTAACTGGTGACTCCTTTTAATTGACAATAATTTATTCACTCCTACTGAGGGGGGTTGAAAATTGGAAGAAAAATAACCATATATTACTGAGCTTTCAAACGTAGTCCCGATTGCGTAACTCAACGCTGCCGACCACTTCCATAATCAGACCGCCAAATTATATGGTTCAAATTATATGGCGTCGAAGCTGCGCAAATATTGATTTTTGAAAACGTATAACGGCAAGTATTGAACAGTGGGACGTGTCCGACTTTCATGTTTATATATCGAAAATGGAGGAGGATTTCTTCAGAAAACTTACATATCACAATTGGTGACACTTCCGTTTTTGGTATTTCCAGTAATTCCTTAAAAAGCATTTCGGAAAATCGATTATTATCGGCATTAAAGAAAATGATTGAAAACAGATATGGCGAAATCGACTCAGTTTCCTTATCTTGATCAAGAATATGATAGGTTTTTAATACCCTGAACTCATTGAGAATGGGAATGGTTAGAAGTCATGGCAGAGCTTATAAATCATATACATACATACATACATATATATATATATATATATATATATATATATATATATATATATATATATATGTATGTATAAACTACAAAAGCAAGATGCTTAAAACTTAAGATGTACATTCCTTATGTCATACACAGTACGAATTTATCATTTTATGTATCGATAGCTAATCCAGTTTCCTCATCGACGAAAATCGATAACTTGATTGGATTTAATAAGCGTAACTTGAATGCCGTATGCCAGTTTACTGTTTTGGATTTTAAATACCGTCACTTCTCCTACGTAAAGTTCGTACATATTTCAAATAATTGAAACATGTGCCTCGACTAATACACACTTTTAAATATCATTGATATTTAAATAAAAAAGAGCTCGTGTCTGTGCGTGTGTGGTGTACACACAATAGCAGATCCACATACGGCTCCGGGTATCTTTTGGTCGGACACTCCCAACTAGAGCAGTCTTAATGACAGCATATTTTATTAAAAACATTTTTTTGTAAGTTAAATATTACTATATTATGGATAAAACCTACATGGTGTGGCACTCGCTAAGACAGAACTTAAATATGTATGCTACTACAAATGCTGAAACACGAACACACACAGACGTGCATATGTACACACATACGTTTACGTTTCTGCATGCGTTATGTGTTCCGGCTAACTGCCCTGCCTAGTTTTAAGCCGAAGCAGTAACAAGATAGAATGCAAAGACAAAGCAAAAGAACGAAAAAAAAAATGGTTTCGCGCATCGAAAATTGAAAAAGATCTTTCTGGTAAGTGGACAAAAATTTTCTACCCTGAGAATTCTAAGCACACACTTACGCAAGCGCATACAGATGCAATCAAATATACAATCAAACAAAGAAAGCGAGACGGGGCCAGAACAGGGTTAGGCAGCGATAAAAGCAATAAGGCAAAAACTAAAATCGAAAAAAAATGCGGCGAATTCAGCTGTCAGCTGCTGTCAACAGGAATAGCGTTGCCAGACGGGCGCAATGCAAAAACAAAAACCATGTAAAATACTTAACTATTTTTATACGTGACCAAAAAAAATTTTTTGTAATAATAAGGCAAGTTTTAATTGAATTATAATTGTTAAATTTACGTTGAGTTATCGTAGATGTAATTGTGTCGTAAATATTTGTTGTTCAACTGGGTGGCAACGCTGAGAAACATAATTGTGCTTACTTCATTTGTGAATCGCATTCACGCGAAGAAGGAGCAACGCATGAAACGCTTAAACAGAGCCGTATGCTATTTTTTATTTCGTTTTGTTATTGGTTTAAATGGTAAAGTTTTGTTTTGAATTTGTGCATTTGTTCTGTTATGTCTCGGTTATGTGTACAGCTTAATAGCTTTGTTTAATTGTTGAAATAGAATACGAGTGTATTAGTTCTCTGTCTAAAAATGTGTGGCGTTACCGCTGAATATGCAAACGCAACTGTAAATTTGTTTTGTTATTGTTGTCTCGTTGACAATGCCGACCACGCTTGTTGTTGGCGTCTGCAGTCTGCAGCCGCATACCGTGCCGTTCTGTGTATTAAAAATAGAATAAAACCGTTTTTTGTTTAAATCGCGCGGCAGATTTGCCGGCTTGACCTGCGCTTGCATCTGTGGGCGCGCATTTGCGAATGTGAAGTGTGTCCATGAGTCTTGCTTGCTTGCTTGTATGTATGTATGTATGTGTGCACATACATCCCTCGTGCTTTACGGCTATCCCCATTGCAGTTGCAATTCCTAGCCCACCCATTGGGATGAAAGCTTTTTGGAAAGCTTCAAATGCAGCTTCTCCATTGCTCTAATTAGATTCTAGACTCCACAGGCAACAGGCAGTAGGCGGCTGGGTTCAACAAGCTTTGCCAATGCGCTTATCCATATATGTATTTATGTATTTGTAATGTACATATGTATACATGTATGTATGACAAATCAAAATCAGTGCTCAGTCATAGTTCAGGTGTCGCGTCTTGTACAACCTTGCTCAACAATAGATCGTCATATCCAGAGCAAAATTTTTGTTATTTTCTTTTTTTTTTTTCAATAAACAATTTTCTAAAAATAAATTGCGCAACACAAAGTTGTGGCTAAGGACCCAATACGATAATCAATTGTGTCGTCTATGCTCGCTCAATTAAAGTGAAACGAGTATATTAGTTTGGTAAAATGTATTTATATCAAGAATTGTTGTAATTGTTGTAATTGTTGTTACTTAATATATAAATTAAAGAGTGTTTCAAATTTGGCTGTGTTTAAATGAAACTAAGCAACTGTTAAAAAAAAACAAACGAAAATGTTTGCCATTTAAAGCTGTGAACAAGTATTGGGCATGTCTGCTAAAACCGTTTGGAAAGAGATGTCTGAAACAAAGTCTGTATACTAAAACTTCATGATTCCAAAAATTATAATAATAATCGATGCTGCGAATTTGAAATTTGAAACCGTTTTCTCTATAGTGAGTTTATTAGATGCTATACACATGATTTATATGATGCTGCGCTATATGTATAAATCCTTTAAATTAAAATTAAATTAATTTTAATTTTATTTAAAATTAAATTAAATTTAATGTTAATTAAAATTAAATTGACTTAAAATTTAATTCATTCTAAATTTAAATTAAATTAAATTCATTTTAAATTAAATTTAATTTAATTTAAATTAAAATTAATGCTAAATAAAAATTAAATTAGAATTAAATATAAAATTTAATTTAATTTAGTTTTAGTTTTAATTTTAAATACATTTTTTGTTTAAACTTTAATTTAACAAATTTTGTGGAATTTTTTGGCTTATTTCTCTTAGATAAATGGCCGAAACAGACGAAGTTGAGGGGGTGGAAAGGGCAAAGGAGGAAACGAGCCTAGCAGCTAATATAGCAAAGGTCGAAAAACTGCGCGGCTGTTCGCGCTTCATCCGGAATGTGGTCAACACCTATGGACGGCAGCTGGCCCAGGAAAAATATCTCAAGCTCAACATGCTCATAGAGCTGCTAGAAAACGAGTAAGTTAAGATTTTCGACCAGGCTACCAGGAAAATTAATCCTAAACCTGTTGAGAATCGTAGGGCACATATTGCAAGCATTTTAAATTATAAATATCTTATAGCTGGCTAATGAAAGTTCCTTGTTTTTTTAGAATACCTGCTGAGGAGTTCTATCATCGTTATCCGTTAAGCAAAATTGAGAGCGTTATTGATAAGCTAAAGGCCAACTTTGGACCCGTACGTACCAATAATCGAACTAAACATTGACATGGAAATCATAGTTGTAAATCAAAAAATTGTTCATTCACAGCTGCTCAGTAACGAAATAATTGTCATTGCTGATTCTTCCGAGACTCCGAGTGAATCGGAGCCAAGCACCTCGAAACTAGCCGAAGAATCTGCCGCCAAGTCCAAATCAGCAAAAGTCGCAGCCGAATCGAATGGTTGCTCGACGCCCAAGTCCAGGACTTTGCGCAAATCGGCTCCAGCTGCGGCAGCCAAGAGCTCAACGAACTTAGAACGTCGCTTTAATCCGTCCCGACCCAGCACACCAGAGCAAACGAGCTCACCGCCGCAGCCGTTGCGCTCGCCAACGACCACAACGTCCTCGGCGAACTTCGAACGTCGGACACGGCCGGCGAGTGTAACAGTTGATCTAACCTTGCAAATTGGCAGCAGGCGGTCAGATTTTATGCGCCGCAGTAATCCGCCAGCGACAGCTTCAACAAAGTCACCCGTTTCCAACGTTTGCAGTCCGAAGTCAGTCGGCTCACCACAAATGGTGTTTGAGCGACGCTCCAAGCCGCCGGTGCCAACGGCCGCGGATACGAGCCACGAGGATAAATCGCTCGAAGAGGCACGCAAAAAGCTGGCCGCCCTACGCGGTGAGCCGCATGCCAATGTGAATACGAATTTGAGTGCTCTGCAGTTGTCCTCCAACTCTAATGACCCGCGCGGACGCAATGCCAGCTATGTAAACAGTCTGGGCAGTCAACATGCTCTTTCCAAATCACCAACGCCAGTGGCGTCCGGCAAACCCAATTGGCCGGCGGCTATCGCTCAGCAGAACATTCCAACCGCAACGCCATTGCTACGCACGCGTGCGCCACTCAATCTAAATACATCGGCTGCAATTGCTGCTGCTGCAACTGCTGCTGCTGCTGCTGCAGCGGCGACCGGCTGCAGCGATGCACTGCATCCGACCGTGCTGGATTACAATGAGACGCGACGCTACAATGCAGCAGAGTTGCGTGACACGCACAATCCGCGTCCCAACAACTGGTGCAACAACAGCAACATTTTGCCATTGTCTAGCCAACAAATTGGATTTCAGCAGCTGGGACCAGTAGCGTCCAATCAACAGTATCCAGGCGCAGTGCGTCACTCTTTGCCTGCATATCCCACAGGCTACGAGGGCACATCGCCACCCATCAACTGGCAGCCGTCTAACATCTATAAAAACAATAGCAATAGCACTAGCAATAACAACTTTAGCTATAACAATAACTGGTCGAAAAATCAGGCTTATAACAAGCCGCCCAACTTTATGTATCGCGGCGCCTATAATCGGGGTCAACGGTTTCCGGCACCTGCGACTCAGGCGAACAACGGCGAGCCGCGCACCTATCGTGAGTATCGAGAGGCGAAGGCAGCAGCCGCTGCCAAAATGCAGGCTGACAAGCAACGCCGCCTGGAAGCGGCCGAGAAGCCACTGGAGCCAGACACGCCGCCAGCGACAGTCGAGAGTGAACGCGTCCGGCTGGACACTTCGTATCGCAATTTGAGCGCAGCTGCCTCCACTAAGATGAGCGATTTTAAGATACCGAAGAAAGTGAGTACGGAGAAGTCAAGCGAATCGAGAGGCCAGAAGCCTGATAGAACTGATAAGTCGGATGAGCGAGATGAGATCCAGGCGACAATTTGTGATGATGAGGAGAACTGGGATGATATTGATGTTGAGCAGGAGCTGAGTACCTCGATAATGCCCAGTGATAGCGGCGAATTGGGTACGAAAGAAAAGTTAAAGAACCCGGATAAGGGTCATAAGTCAGATACGCTGAATAAATCGGAAAAGACAACACAAATGGACGTAACGGATAAGACAAAAAAAAGTGATAAGAGCGAAAATTCTGATAATTCAGCTAAAAATGCTGAAACCGCTAATAATGATAAGTCGGATAAGTCAAAAAGATGTGAAACAATCGATAAAAGCAAAGAAAAGTCGAACAAGCCGGATAAGGCGGATAAAAAGTCGCACAAGGATCATCATGCTAAACGTGACAAGTCCAAAAATCGAGAAAAAAAAACCATAAAGGATAAGACTAAACATGCGAACAAAAATGAGAAAACAGATGCGGATAAGCCGCCAAGCAAAGAAGATAATGAGCCAAAAACAACGGATAGTACGGATAATGTGGAGAATGAACCGCCGACGCAAGAGGAGACAACGGAGAAGGCCAATCACAAAAGTAAAGTGCAAGAAGAGGAGGATGATGAGGATGCGATTATTGATGTGGAAGAGCTGTCCGACATAACGAAACCAAAAATCGAAGAACTTTTGCTGGCAATCGAGGACGAGCGGCCCAAAACGCCGCCCAAGTTGCCCAAGATAAAGGTGGTGCTGAAACCTAATGCACATACCATAACGGTAATACCTGACTGCGATGATGGCGACGACACGATCGAAATGAAATCGAGGCCAGATGCCGAGCCGGAGCTAAAGCGTATCATGAAGCGCCGGAAATCCATGATGCCGTTAGCTAGCAAACCTTTAGTGGATAAATCAAAGCTATTCACGGGCAACAGCTTCGTCTACGAGGACGTCGTGGACCATCAGCGACAGCAGCAGGTGGAGGACATGGATCAAACGGATACAAATGCCACGCTCGGTCGGCGCACCACCAAAAGTCTGGCCAACATGTTCGAGAAGTCAAACGACAATTGCAGCATATCCACGCAAAATATAGTCGCCGGCAAGCGAAGGTCGCGCTTCAATGAGCTAACTTTGAATGAGACGCAGCTAAGTCGAAATGTCTTCAAGATGGGGTCTAGCCAGAATAGCAAATCGAGGGCGAAGCCCAAAGAGAAGGAGCAGGCTTCTGCCATATCCAGCAAAAGGAAAAACTCAAGCACTAACACCACCAAGACCAGCACCAGCACCACCACTGACGCCTCTACCTCCATCTGCACCCCCAATCCTGCCCCAACTCCTACCCCTACCCCTACCCCTACCGCTACCCCTACCAAACGCAAACGTGGCCGTCCGCCTAAGCTAGCGGCTGGTGAGCATGCAAGCGAAGTCTTGAAGCAGGACCAGGAGCAGCTGCAGGAACAGGATCTGGAATTGCCAGCTGCGAAGCGCATCTGCTTGGATGCACTGCCGCCGCCAACACCCATCAAACGCAAAACCAAGCGCAGCGAGTTGGAGAAACTGAACGATGACATTGCGCACATGTATTACGCCGCAGATGTGATCCGTGCAACGGGCAGACGTGCCTGTACGGCACAACAGAAGCAGTCGCTGCTGGAGCGCAGCTCCTCCACTGTGTCCAGCCGACGCAGCAGCTGCAGCCGCAGCAGCTCCAGCTTAGTCAGCCATGCCGAGCTGGCGCCCTACATACGCAATGTGGCACGACGCGGACGTCGCCTTGTGCGCCTCAGCAACGGCGTCGATCGGGCCAGCTTCAAGGCCAAGCAGCAGCAAGCCGAGCAGCTCCCAAAGCAAGCGAAGCTTCGCTGCAAAGTGCGCTTGCCACGCTGTGCCAGGCTGGAGCGCATGCTGGCCGAACAGGCGGCCGCAGTCAGTCCGGCTGCCATCAAAAATACGAATTCGTCCTGGCATGCGATGTCCGCTGCGTTGCAGCGCTGCGTCGTGTGTGGCAAGACAATGCGGTCTCCCCTGCTCCATTACGTGCACCAACACGGCGAGCACTTCGCTGCCCGGCTCCCGCCCGGCGCACTGCAGCAGCTGCGCGCCGGCCTGCACACTAAGCCCACCTATGCTGTCCAACTGTCCGCCCTGCAGTACATGCACAAATGCCTCTTCTGCAACAAACAGCTGCAGATCACCACCAGCAGCTGGGTCGAGCATTACGCCCGGCATACGGGCGAGTACAACTTCAAGTGCTCGCGCTGCAAATTGCCAAAGGAGCGTCTGAATCAAATGGAGTGCCACGTGGCCAAGTGTGGCCTTGGGGCACGGGTTGTGCACAACAATGGCTTTGTCCGCAGGACTCCGGTGACGCTTTTTGTATGCCATCTGTGCGAGTTTGTGCAGATAAATCGACTGAATCTGGAGAAACACTGGCAGCAACATCACGGCCTGACGCAGCAATCGCTGGCGGGGCTGGGCCACGAGCTGGTACTGTATGAGACGACGGGTGTGCCGGTGCACAAGAATAAGGTGCCGGTACGACGGCTGAGCAAGCAGCCCAAGGCGCTGGCCGACAAGCAAAAGAACAAAGCGCTCAAGAGCCAGAAGCGAAAGCCGAACCCGAACCCTAAGCCAAAGTTGAAGCTGAAGCAGCGGAAGCAGAAAGCGCACATTTTGGGCATGCCGCCGCCGACGCTGCCCGAGGAGGATCAACTGCTGGTGATCAATGCCTGCAAGCTGGAGGAGGAGGAAGAGCGACAGCTGCAGGCGGAGCAATTGGCAGCAGAACAGGCAGAGCAGGAAAAGCCACAGCCAAGCCAAGCCAAGCCGCTGGCACAGCTAGAGGAACAGTTGGATATTTTGTCCGTGGCCGGCATGGGCAGCGAGACGTCCGACAATGAAAAGCAGCGCATTGAACAGACGGAGCAGCAGCAGCAGCAGCAGCAGCATCATCATGAAGAGCCAAACGAGGAATGGGTCGATGTCGACTCCAGCAGCAGTGTCGCCAGCAACAGCAGCACGCAGAAGTCTCTCTTTAAGAAATTCCAAAAGTTCTACCACAAATTGAGCCCGGCCAGCAGATCGAGCAGCAAGTCCAACAAGTCGGCGGCCAGCAGCTGCACCGATGGCGACTGTGCTGACATCGATTCCCTAGCGAAGTCGACACGAGCAGCAACCCCACCAGCTACGCAGCCAGTGGTGCCCACAGTGCCCTCGTTGTACAGCGTGGAGAATGTGGCGTATCGTCTCCGTGCGACTCCTACACAGGAGCCGGCTTACTATTGCATGCGTGCGGGCTGTAAATTCCTATTCTCCGACGAGGTGGAGGGTCTGGAGAATCACTTTGCACGCGAGCATCCGCAGGTGCGCTGGAGTGGCAAATGCGCCAGCTGCCCGGAGCAGGCGATGGGGCAGACACAGGAGCTTACGATCAGAGCTGAGCTACAGCATCTGATCAGCTGTCACATGGAGGTGGCCGGAGACAGAACTACGCCACTCGCAGAGCTAGCCATGCCCAAGCTGCGAGTGCGTCGCTTTACGGGCGATCGGCTGGCCGTTGAGCCGGAAGCTGCTTTAGTACCTGCGGAGCTACAGCCGGATGTGGGGCTGCAACCAGAGCTGGAGTTGAGTCGGCAAGCGGAATTGAAGCTTGATCCTTGCTTAGAGTTGCGACTGCAGCCAGAGCCCCAGCCACAGCCCCAGCCACAGCCGCAGTCCCAGTCGCAGTCGGCGACGGAGCCGGACAACATCAATGGCATGCCGAACGCCATGCTGCTCAACTTGGCAGGCGATGAGCCACATGCGCTCAATCAGCTTCAGCGTGTGGAGCCAAGTGAAAGCCTTGCCGCAGCTGTGGTCAATCATCCCTCAGAGCTGGGTCTGGCCATCAATCAGGTGTTCAGCCTGGCCGTCAATGCGCCGGCACAGATCGTCGGTGAGCCGGCCCTGGTCAATGGCAACTTTGTGCTCACCCAGCAGCCAGCGGGCGAGTCGCCCGCCCAGATAAACATATCCATTGATCCGCCACAGCCAGCGACTGTGCAGCGTGGCACACGCCTCGCCATGGATCGGTTCCGTTGCATGGCGGCCAACTGCAATTTCTGCGCGCACACAGTGCTACGCATACAGGAGCACATGCGATTCCATTGCTATAGCTTCAGCAGCAAGGACTATTTGCAGTGCGCCTACTGTGCGCACAATGCCAAGGATGTCAACGACTTTGTCCGCCACGGCGTCATCGAGCATGGCCTCGCCTCACGCTCCGAGCTGAACGAGTCGGATGCCATGTCCGCCGCTACAGGCGCAACGTCAACAGCTCAACGCATTCGCGATTTGTTCAATCAGCGCAAGAATGCAAATGCCACAGTCACAGCCACAGCCACAGCCGCAACCACAGCCACAGCCGCAACCACAGCCACGCCTACGACAACGACTTCACTCGTTTCCGCTGCAACTGTTGCAGCTGCAGCAGCTCAGTCGCCAGCAACATTCTGCTTTACCCGAACAAACGGCAGGCCCACTAACAACATCCTCGACTTCTTCCTTACGACGACCGGCTTTGATGGTAAGTTCAATGAATTTCCTTAGCTTAAGGAACGCTTCCTTTCAATGTCACTTTGTATAGAGACTGCTTGAACAGCTCAAGAGGCAATGCAGCTAAGGTCTAAACGTTAGAGCAGTTAGCTACATCCTCGGACTTCCATATTCAAGCGATTTCTTAGCTAACCTGAGTTGGGGGAGTTCGCTGAACCGGGTACTAAGACCATATCTATTGTGATACAATTGCAGATACCAAGCTCTACGCTTGCCCCTACAAAACGTGCAGCTGCTCGTTGACTGAAGACACGTTTGTCAATCATGTCATCTACCATATGACAAGTGATCCGAATATTGGGCCACTCGTCTGTAAGTTTTGCCGTCAGACTTTCGAGCGTGCGGTCGTCCTGCGTTCCCATTTGCAGCTGGTGCACGCGTGCCACAAATACATTTGCAGCATTTGCCTGGAGACGACGGTGAATCATAGACTGATGCATCAGCATATGCTGAGCCGACACGGCGACAAGTATCGCCTGGTCAATTGCCAGCAACAGCTTTTGGAGCTTCAGGTGCAGCAGCTTCAGGTGCAGCTGCAGCCAGATGCGGCACGATTCCAATGCTGGGTTAGCGTTATAGAGCGGCCCTTTAACAGGTTGCAACTGGATGAGTTCTTGAAGCAGGTGCTTCTCGAGTGTATCCAGCGACATGAGGGCACCAAGATCAGCTTTCGGCCATCGGAGCTGCGGCTGCTGCCACGTCAGGCAACATTCAAACAGATGTTGCAATGTGCCGACTGTCAGTTCCAGTCACGGGAATACAAACAGCTGCACAGCCATCTGTTGGCGCACAAGGAGCAGGCGTTGGGTGTCGCCTGCCTGGAGGAGCAGCCGTTAACAAAGGCAGCGGGCCCAACGGAGGCGGCGGTGGCGACATCGACGGCCACGGCCACGGACACGTCGGAAACGGTCAATGCTGCTGTGACACGCTCTCATAAGGCGCACACACCCCGATGGCAATATGTGCCCAAGGGGAAACGCTTCATCTGCGGCATACCCAACTGCAAAGCCCAGCTGCCGTCGGAGCTGGCGTTGCGTCAACATTTCAGCACAGCGCACAACTACGGCGAGCTCGTCCGCTGTGTCCACTGCCTCAGCGAGGACACGCTCAGCAGCATCGACAAGTTCTTCGAGCATTTATCGTACCACAAGCGTTACATCTTCCAGTGCGGCCTCTGCTCCTCGTTCCATCCCAGGCGCAGCTTCATCGAGCGTCACATACACGAGCGCCACAGCAGCAATGGTGTCGATGTGGTCATACACAGGCGCAGCGAGAACGCCAGCAGCGACGAGACCCGTTGGCTCCAGTCCTGTAAGTATGAAAGCTGTGCCTGCAGCTGCTGTAGCCTTTGGCTTTGCCTTTGCCTTTGTCTGACGCGCATCTCCCACCTATTTCAGCTTTTTGTTTGCGCTCCAATTCGGATGACTTTGTGTGCAATCTGTGCAGCACTGTGCTGGAGAGCCAATCGGCGATGCGGACTCATGTGGAGCGGCAGCACGGACGCAAGCATCAGTATAGCTGTGGCTTTTGCAACATGGGCGCTAAGGACATAACGCCACTGATCATACATCTGCGACGCGATCATCCCAACCAGCGAGTGCAGCCGATTATGAACTATCAGCGCTCCAAGGGCAAGAACAGGCAAACGTTGGGCTTCTATTGCAACATATGCGACAGTGCAGCCAAAAGCTATCAGCGCATCCGCAAGCACTGTGCAACACAGCATCAGATTGGCTTTCAGTTCAGGTGTCCGCACTGCGAGTTCGGCGACACCTTCGAGCGGACGGTGGTCCTGCACATGCGAGAGAAGCATTTGGGTGCAACGGGCCTTGTCACACAGCAGTTCGAGCGGGTGGCCAATGAGTTGCTCGACAGCGACTACTGGAAGATGGCCAATGCACTCGACGCAGCGGACAACACTGCCAGCAGCAGCAGCAACAGCAGCAACAACAACAGCAGCAGCAACAACAACAACAACGATACCCCTTTGACTGAGCCCATGGTCATCGATGAGATTGAATTGTTGTCGTCCGATGAGGAGGAGATCGATGAACCTGTAAGTTGCATCGATAAACCTTGCGCGATCGATAACAACTTTTGTTCTTTGCAGAAAAATTACGAATTCGCGTGCTCGCACTGCACCGAGACATCGAGCAATGTCGTCGAGCTGCGCACCAAGCACTGGGCCAACAAGCACATCCATAAGCATCCGTTCTACTTCAGCGTACAGCCGCAGTTGCGCTGTCCGGTTTGCCGGATCTTTGTGGGCAATGCCAAGTCGCTGCTGGACAATCATCTGCCCAATGAGCACTCGGTGCGGCATCTGGTCGCGTGCGATGTGAATAAGCCGGACGAGTGCGCCTTCTGCCCGCATCGATATACCGAATATTCGAGTCTCGTTCAGCATATGGCGACCGAGGCGCATTTGTCCAACGACCTGAAGTTCCTCGACGACCACGAGCTGGAGCGTCTGCTAAAGCTGGGCGCCACCGATCACGAGCAGCCGGCGATCGAGTATTATCAGTGCAACATTTGCCGCGTGATAATGCCAACGAATGCGGCGATGGCGCAGCACGGACGGGTCGAGCACAGCGATTCGCCGGAGTTATTTTGCTTCCGCTTGCTCACGGAGAAGATCATCTACCACTGTTCGTTCTGCATGTTCGCCTCGACGCGGCAAATGGAAACGCTGCGCCACATGATCGATCACTATAAGAAGTTCAGGTACTGCCACTTCTGTCAGGCCATACAGAACGATGGCTTCGACGAGTACATACAGCACTGCTATACATTCCATCGGGATGTACTGCATCGCTTTCAAGAGGCTCACACGTATACGGATCTCAAGAAGTACCTCATGCAGGTGCTCTATCAGTTCCAGAATGGTCTAATCATTAGCAAGAGCAGCTTGCGGCACACGCGCTTTAGCGGCGACCAGGTCATGTTGAAGCTGTATGCGGAACTCATGCTCAAATCTCAACAGCCGCCCATACCACGACTGGTCATTAGTCAGCTGCACAATCGCAATTCTGCTGTGCTTACGCAGCAGCAGCAGCAGCAGCAGGAGCAGGAGGCGGCAAGAATAACAAAGCGACGCAAAACTTTGAATCCGGATGATCTCAATGCACGTTTGAATGCCAACACCAGCTTCCTGCAGCAGCAGCAACAACAACAGCAACTGCAGCATCTGCAGCATCAATTGCAGCAGCAGCAGCATCAACTGCAGCAGCAGCAGCAGCAGGCGGCGGCAGCGGCAGCGAGAATAACAAAGCGACGCAAAACTCTGAATCCGGATGAGCTAAATGCACGTTTGAATGCCACCACCAGCTTCCTGCAACAGCAACAGCAGCCTATGCAGCAGCCGCAGCTGCTTCATAATCAACATGAACGCGCCTTGCTCATCAATTGGCATACATCGTTTATGGGCGATAGCCTAGCCATGGCCACGCCGCAGCCACAGCCGCAGCCACAGCCGCAGATGCCGTCAGCGAAGCAGCGGATTGCGAAACGTCGCAGCACCTTTGTGGACATCGGGCAGCTGAGCAACAAGCGGAGCTGCCCCACCGATCAGATTTCCTGATCGCAGCGAATCCGGAACCATATCCGAGCTCATCTGCAGTATTTTTCCCAAGCGCAACATGATAATAATTTTTTTTATCCATAATACGTAACTAAACTGTAACTGTAATAAATGTGAAATTGCAATCGCGAGCAACTGTGCCGCCGCAAGCGGCTGACAAACAGTTCAATCATTATGAAACACAATTCGCGAATTACTTTATTTGTCCTGTAACTGGAGGGACCTCTGTGGGTGGCATATACTAAACGAGAGGGAGCCATTAGCTGTCCATAGAGCAGAAGACAGCGCATAATGCGAGAGTTGTTTAACACTCTATGATTGATCTAATGGGCATAGGATGGACTTAAGTATGAGAGGAAGAGAGAGAGAGAGAGAGACAGAGAGAGAGAGAGAGAGTTAGAGAGGTAGAGAGAGAGGTGCTATAAGTGGAATGTTGAATCTAAGGAAATGAAGGATTCATCAATCATACTTAAGAATCTCGCAGTCAGTCACTCAATCAGTCAATCATAGAAAACAACAAAAGCTAAAGCTAAATTCAACTGTCAATCATATGCAACGTTCATCAATCATCAAGTCAATCAATCAATCAGTCAATCAATCACTAGTCATCAATCAATCATCAATCAGACTACAATAAAAAACATATTGAAAACATAGGCAAATATTTCGTATTGAAGCTATGACTTAATCATCAATCAATCAGTCAATCAGTAGGTGAATCCGTCAATCAATCAGTCAGTCACACATAATATATTATAAACATAAGCAAATATGCCTTACTCGTGATACTGTGATTGACGCTAATCAAATGATGGAAGTCAATCAAGCCATCAGTCATCAATCTGTCATGCAGCATTATGCAACAAACAGACCAAAGCAAATATTCTTCATGTTTGAGCTAGCTCTATGCTGTTCATCAATCAAACAGTCAGTCAATCAATCAATCAATCAATCAATCAAGCACATAATATATTCAAAATATAGAACAATTATCTCTTAAAACTAATTCCATGCTTGCTTTCAATCAGTCAATCAATCAATCAATCAATCAATCAATCACTCAATCAACTAATCAATCAATCATATAATCAGCGTCTGATATCTTTGCAGGCGCTTTGATAGCAAATATTCTTCATGTTTGAGCTGGATCTATGCTGTTCATCAATCAAACAGTCAGTCAGTCAATCAATCAATCAATCAATCAAGCACATAATATATTCAAAATATAGAACAATTATCTCTTAAAACTAATTCCATGCTTGCTTTCAATCAGTCAATCAATCAATCAATCAATCAATCAATCAATCAATCAATCACTCAATCAACTAATCAATCAATCATATAATCAGCGTCTGCTATCTTTGCAGGCGCTTTGATAGCAAATATTCTTCATGTTTGAGCTGGATCTATGCTGTTCATCAATCAAACAGTCAGTCAGTCAATCAATCAATCAATCAATCAAGCACATAATATATTCAAAATATAGAACAATTATCTCTTAAAACTAATTCCATGCTTGCTTTCAATCAGTCAATCAATCAATCAATCACTCAATCAATCAATCATATAATCAGCGTCTGCTCTCTTTGCAGGCGCTTTGATACAACAGCTGATAGGTGGGCGTCTCCTTGCCCTGGCTGCGAGCGACGCTGGCGCAGCGCAGGTGATTGAAGTATTCGCAGGGCGTGGCATAGGTGATCAGCTGGTCGTTGCGGCTGGCACAAACGGGGCGATAATAGCGCGGACAACTATACTCGCAGCTGTTCTCATCCAGGCCAATTGCCTCTATGTTGTCACCCTGTGGCTGCTCCTCCAACTCCTGCTCCTCCTGCTCCTGCTCCCCATCGTCTGGATATTCCTTGTACTCCTCCCACGCCACGTCCAGTCCGCTGTTGGGCTGCAAATAGATATCCTCGCTGCCAGCCGTCGCATAATCCACCAGTACCGCGGCCAGCGCTGGGCCTGCCATCAGCGCCATCAGCGCCATCAATAGCCAAGCTGCCATTGGATGCATCTTGAAGTGTACCGTTAGCCGATTGAACTGTGCCTCCAATCTGCGACTGGGTGGCATTTTATAGACAACACTCGCTGGCCGACAGTTGTACAAACAAAGAAGTCCAAAATACCAGGCCGTGGGGTATGCCTGACCAGCAGATACCCTGTCGCAGCATGAGTAAGCGCCTTTAAAGCGAGACTTAGGCAATTTAGATCAAGTGCATTTTGGCCAACTATGCGAAAATATGAGCAGTGGCATATGCACGACTAGCAGATACCCTGCTGCAGCTAGAACTTTAGCTCAAAAATTGAAAATTTGCTATTTGAAACGAACTCAGATTACATCATTTGCAAGCAAAGCATGTTCGAGTAGAGCTCGACTTGTAGATACCCTTTTCTTGAAATCGATTTTTTTCTGTTATAAACAAAAATGATTTTACTCTAATTTCTGTGTGTGCTCTGAGCAGCTGAGTTATGATAAAAAAAGGAAAAGTTTGAATATCGATTTTTATCGATATCGAAGCTAATGATGATTTGCCCAAAGCTTCGCACAGCAACAAAATACCCCACTTGCGCAGTTTTCAATGGGTATGCGAAATAAAAGAAAACTTTTGAGCACAAGTCAAGAATTCTTTTAGCTGTCTTTGTTAGATAAATATTCAAATGTGAATCAAGGTCAGTGCCGCTTGACTGATAGCTGCCGCTGCCGCTGCTGCTTGCTGCTTGCTGCTTGCGTCATTTCAGTTATTCCATTCAATTAATCAAGCCTTGAAGGCAACCCAAAGTGACAATTAAACAGCGGAACTGGACTCGCAGTCGAGCCAGGCGCATGGAATTTGATATACAGACTAGACGAGGCTGCGGTATCCACAGATATAAAGCTAAGCACAATGATTTCACATGGATTTTCACTTAAATTCAATTGATTAATAAATTTGTGTTATTTGAGTGTACATAGAAAACATTTGGGTAAATATATTTCAAGCTTATAGACTTAACAATGCATATAATATTAAGAAAAAAAAAATGCTGTTCCGAATTTCAATTCTCAAATGCTAAAGCTCTAGAAATATATCTCATTGACTAAAATATTTAAATTTTTAATGTTTATCACAATTGTGTTTCATTTCCATTTGTTTTTCGCATAGAAAAAACTCGTATGACAAAGTACAGTTAGGCACGTGTTTCAATTCCATTTGTTTCAATAGCGCAAAGACAACTAGAGGCACTTTCAGTTTTATTCTAAGTTGTTCACAGTTAGAGAAATATGTAAACATTAATGTTTCAATTCCGCTTGTTTCTACAAAGTATTAAATTTAGAACTAGTTTCAATTGCACAACTGCCGTTATACAAGAGCAATATATAAGCTAGTGTTTCAATGCCATTCGTTTCCATAGGCTATTCATTGGACACTTTTAGTTTCATTCTAAGTAGTTTACAGTTAGAGAAATATGTAAACATTAATGTTTCAATTCCGCTTGTTTCTACAAAGTATTAAATTTAGAACTAACTTGTTTCAATTGCACAACTGCCGTTATACAAGAGCAATATATAAGCTAATGTTTCAATGCCATTCGTTTCCATAGGCTATTCATTAAGACAATACTTCAATTTCAATTCTGCCAACTGAAATTCGGAACAGGAACACTAAGTACAAACAGCATATAAAATATAGATTGCGATTAGATTGCTTTTGATAGCGTGTGGAACAATGTGAAACAAGACTGCAACAACAAGACGGTTGATAGTAAGTGGAATATGTGATAATGCTATATGCATATATATATATATAGAAACTGATTGCAGCTCAAATGGAATCCATGTAGCCCTGCTCGAAGGCGTGACGCACTATGCCGAATATCTGGCGATTGGCCTCGTCGCCGGCAATGTCCATCGACAGCTTGTAGAAGGCCGGGCCGTGCATGTCCGTTTCGAAGAGCTTGGAGATCTGTGCGCAATCAGCTTCGCTGCCCAGCAGCCAGGGCATAAAGTGCATGCAGACCATGACGCCATAGAAAGCGTAGCGGGCGAAATGCTGCTCGAAGCGTGAGTAGCTGGAATGGGATTTAGAGACGCAATTAGCCATGAGCTGCTGTCGTCGTTAGCCAACTAGTTGCCCCACCTGTAATCGCTGAGCAGCTGCTTGATTTGCTCCTCCGAGAGCGTGTCATGATTTCGCTGCAAGAGCAGCTCCAAGGTCTGATGCATGCGCTGATGGTAGGAGCGCAAGAGCTTGGCAAAGATTGCAGCTCGATTGTCGGCCGGCGTATTCATGTACAGGAAGAAACTGAGATCGATGGCTGTGGTGCTGTAGCGCAGCTCCTGGAAGTCAATCATGCGTACGCCATCCACCTGCCCCTCGCCGTTCTCATGGAAGAGCACGTTGTTGCGATTGAAGTCGCCGTGCAAAAATGTGCTGAAGTGCGATTCCGGCTGCGTATCATCGCACGCAGCTGTGCGTATGCGCTCCAGCAGCGCCACCGGCTGCTCAAAGTACTTGGAACGCAGTCGTTCAAGGGCTTCGGCGAAACGCTGCTCCTGCGGCTGCAGCAATTGGTCGCGACAGCGATCGTAGAACGCATAGAAGCGGTCGAAAGCGACGCGATAGAGCACAGCATAGATATTGGGGACATTCGCCTCGAAGACAAAGGGAAGCGGCACAATTTGCTGGCGCAATCGCTGCTCCACCAGCGGCTGCAGAATGCGCAAGGCGTAGCCCAGCGCATGGTAAGGTCCCAGCAGCGAGCACATGGCCTCCAGCTGATCCAAGCGCAAGGTAAGACGCGGACCCAGCTCAAAGCCCGCCGGCTGCAAATGTTGCAAGGCCAACACCGACTCGCGCGCCTCGCCCAAATCTGCAAATGACGAAATAATTGTGCTCTAAATTGCGAAATTGGAAGAACAAATAAACTTTGTACCCTTAATCAGGCCAAACTTTGCACAATAAACACGCGGCACAAATTGCTCAACCAATTCCGTATTCAATTTGCTGTCACGCAACAGATTCTCATACGCTGGCAGCAGCTCGGCATAAGCAAAGACTTCGTTGGCGAACTGTGTGTAGCATTTGCCGGACTCACGAAACTCCGGGCTGCCCTTCATGAACTTCACCAAGACCAGCTCCTGGCGAGTGCTGCAGGAGGGAGCGAATTGTCAGTTGTTAACAGCAAATGTGAAGCAAGAGATTGCATTGCACCCACTTTCCGGCGATCTTCATGGTTAGCTCCACCGTGTAGACCGCTGACATGAAGCCATCCAAGCCAGTGGAACACTTTATATTATGATCAATTAGCGTTGCATCGTTGCCAAAGTATTTAAAAATATCATAAACCAGATATTTTTCCATATAATCGAAATGCTGCTGCTGCGTTGACATTTTTGCACTTTCTCCTTTTCGCACTGCGCTGTTCGAGTGGAGTTTATTGGGCTTTTATAGCAGCAGCTTCTCAATTGAGTTTAATTATCTTTAGTACACACGTATATACGATATGTTTACAGCTACAATTAACTGTGATCGTGAATTTTGGTTTATTTTGAATTAAAACTCGTTTTGCAGCAGTGCAACGTATTGTCGTATCGTTATCGATAGTTGAGAGCTGGTGATGGGCGGCGCGCAAAGCAGTTAAGATTTGAAATGCTACTCTGTATGACTAAATTGGAAATAGAAGTAAATATATATATAACATAAGAATATTTATTGCAGTAATTTTTTAATATCTTAACTAGCAAATTATTTGTTACTTATATATAAAAATACTAATTCTTTTCTAGAAAAATAAACATTTTGTATGCGGATGATGCATTTAAAAATACCTATCAATGCTTTCTATTAGTTGTCTTTCAAATATATTGTAAGAGCAAACATAAATTAAAGTTTTGTTTTGTTTTGATGAATTTATTTATTTTAACATTTTCCATTTAACATTGCATGATACTTTTCGTGAGTGACATAAATATACATATATATATATTTATATATATCGACAAGTGCGCGGCATATCGATAGGATGCGTTGCAGTCCTGGCAAGCGCAGTTATTGGCGATTGCCAGCCCTGTTCTTCTGGAGTTATAAAAATAATACAAAAACTGTTCGAAATAAACGAAAATTCCTAAAACATAGTATTGAAAAGTAATGCATTAACATATGCACGCGTTTAATAGTGGATTTCGAATACATGAATGCAATCAGCTATTCAGCATTTAGCGTGAGTGCTGGAGCGTCGGGTGTGTTTTTTTTTGTGGGCGCAGTGTTGACAGCTTATGATTCAAAAAGGCAAGAAAAGACATAATGTGAAAGTGGCAATTAAGCTTCAATTTTAAGCCATGTTTTTGAAACCGCTAAGCAATTACTGCTAAAAGAGGACATGTGTACAGCGTCCAGTTGACAACACTGGTGCAGCCAGTGCCCGGTTGCCAACCAAAACCAAATAATAAAATCAAAACAAGTATACAAGCAATGTGTATATGTGTGAGGCTGTGTATGAGTGAACGTGTGTGTGTGAACGCTTGGAATGGAGCTACAAAGCGAGCAAGCAAATAAACGTGCTGGAAAAACAGAAATACAAGCGTACGCTGACCAACACTGTCGTTGCTCCTCTTGTGTCATTTAATAGCACTGTTTCGCACAGTACATGTGCAGTATTTTTTTTGTATTTTTGCTGGCGCTGGTATTTTTGTATTTTCCATCTCTCTTCATTTTCGTTTTGCTCTTTGGTACGTACAGACGTGTGAGCGCGCGTTTTCCGTCGCCGTCGCTGTCGTCGTGATTTCGTCTTTTCGTGTGTGGCAACAAACATAATTTCCAGCTACATATATAAATCAATTAAAGCAAATTACAGCAATAAGCTTACCGGTAGCTTTTGCTATATTTTCTTTTTTTTTATTATTTTTTTTTTGTCGCTTGCGCATGTTTTAAGCGCTGCAGCAGTGGCAGCAGCAGTAAAAAAGGTTGGTGAAAAAAGCCGTCGCCGTCGTCGTCGTCGGCTCGCACTCGTTATCGGCTGTCGTCGTTGTTGCGCCGTTCCACCGTTATACGAACTGTGCGTGCGTGCGTGTGTGTGTGCATTTATTTTTTGTTATTGTGCTGAGTTTATTTTTTGTTTCTAATATAATTTTTTTAAGTCAACTTAAATATAAAAGTGCATTGTTATAGACGAAGAAAAAGTTATCGAAAATTAATCGTTGTCTCATATTGCGTTGCCTGTTTTTTTATGCTCTTTTTTTGTGCGAGCATTTTTTTTTTTGTACTCCGTCTCCGCTGTTGCGACGCGCTCTTTTGTTAGCCGCAGCGTCGTCAGCGTCGCATTTCGGTGCCTCTGTGTGCGTGCGACAGCGCTTTTTTCCAACTTTTTTTTTACAGTGTGCTAAAGCTATTGTTGAATATATGTTTTAATATATATCTTTCTCTTTCTCTCCCTTTATATGTGTGTGTACATGTTTATTTTCTACATGAAACGTTTTCAGCTGCAAGCAACAACAAACGTATAAAAAAACAAGCAAAATCAAATTTGTATACATACATTCGTATGTATGTGTGTGTATATATGTGTGTGCGTGTATTTTTCTGTGTGTGTAAGCAGCAGTAGAAGCAGCGTCGCCGTTGTCTTTAGCTTCAAGTGAAACATGTTTTTTTCTATGGCGCTGCCGACAGCAATAAACACAAGAACAACATCAGAAACAAAATTGACAACAATTTGTAACAACAACTACAACGACAACAACAATAACAGCAGCAGCAAGCAGTAACAGTCAACATGTAAGTGCTGCCTTTTATTTATGTATGTATGTATATATTGATATGCACATATGCATGAGTATTCATGTGTGTGTGTGTGTGTGCTAGTGTGAGTCGCAGCCAGTCAACAGCATCAAATTTGTTTGGTTATGTTGAACGCGTTACCCGCTGCTGTTGGCGTCAACGTCGCTGCTGGCGTTGCCACCGTGTTACATTTTGCGCGCAGACGGTGGCAGCGCCGCCGCCACCGCCGCCGCAAACATATTGGATTTGCCGGCATTTTCTGCTTGTGCACTTCTGTTTCTGATTGGGAAGGCATGTGGTTTTTGCGGTGCGTCTACATGTGTGTATGTCCACGCCAGGTAGCAACATGCACACATACACATGTGCACAAATGCTGGCAAAAGGCAAACAAGAATTTTAAAAAGCCATTGACGCCGTCGCAGCAGCAGCGCTGCGGGCAGCGCCGTTTGACAGAAAGCATACACATACATATGTACGTGTAGACGACCATGTACAGCTACAACGCGGCGCTCTCACGCTGTTTTTTTTTTGCGATTGCGACGCTCTGTCTGCAGGGCGACGCGAGGAGCGCCTGCTGTTATTTGTTTTATTATTTTTTTTATAAAGTGCATTTTATAAAATTGTTGAATTCGCAAATGCAATATGTTTGCCACGCGCTCGCTCTCTTTAGTTTCTCTCTCTGGCTGCATTTTAATTACAATTTGTTATTTAGCAAAAAAAAAAAAATTCACCAACAAACAACTGAACGAGAGAACAATTGCGAGCGAGAGCGCACATTTTGTTAGGCTCACTTGCGCGCGTTTGTCCGAGCTCTCTCGCGCTGCTCATTTGCACAGTAATTTTCAACAACGCTGCCGGCAACAAAAACAACAACAAGAAGAATGAGCCCTCGCTCAATCCTTTTTACGGGCTAGCCTTTGCTGCTGCTTCTTTCTGGCTGCAACGGACATCATAACAGCTGGACAGGGGCGCATGTAAAGGGCTCCAGCAGCAGCAGCAGCTGTTTCCCAATTGGACCAATTGGAACGATACCTTCAGACAGCAAATATGCATTTGCGTTCCATTTCATTCCATTCCGTTTGGCACATTTGCATCTGCACTTTATTTGCCCTTGTATTTTTGTTTATTTATGCCAATTGCCATTGTTGTTCCTGCTTCTCGTCTGCTTCTTTTTGTTGTTTCTTTCGTGAGAAAACGCTCACGCATTTGCGCTAAATATGCAAACGATACTTTTTCCACATAAACATAAACAAAAGCGCGAAACGCAAATGCAAAAATAAGTCGTATTGTGGCCTCAGGTGTATCAGCGCTGCATTTCCTTCGAAAAAAAAAACCCACAGAGAGAGAGAGAGAGAGAGAGAGAGAGAGAGAGAAAGAGATGAGGGGAGCTCCCTTCGACTGTTCCTTTTATAGTTATGAGCTACTTTCTTCGATAGAAAATGATTTCACATTATATAAATCACAAATGAAATCAAGCATTCCAAAGCATATTTAAGATTAGCTCTTAAAGTTGCTGGTGTATCGATAAGGTTTATTGTGAAAAACATTTTATAATTAGTTATTAGTAGTGCGTTACGCAAAAGCCTATTGATTGCATGCTTTCAAGCATGTTGAAGAAAAAACCTTAAAATGAAACGAAGAGACCTTAAGCATAATGCTAATGATATATATATATATATATATATATATATATATATATATATATATATATATATATATATATATATGTATAAATATATATAACTATCATAAAACTAACAAAATAACTAAACATAAAGCTTATTGAATCTAAATAAAAACATTATTACGTAAAATTTTCACTCATTGAATATACGATAAGGATAACTAGTTCAATTCATTAATGAAAGGAGTTGCACTCACTAATTTAAGCTTAAAGCTCATGAAACTGTAAAATATGAAAAAAAAAAAAGAAAGATATCGCTCGATTAACTATTTAAAATATAGAATAACTTGAACTTGCTCTGGCAAGCTTAAAATAATGTTTAAGTTTAAGCAGAAAGCTCCGCAAATTGAAGTTAACAACAGTATAAAGCTGCTTAAAGCTCAGAGAAAAGGGGACTCGTTAATTAGAACTCTGAACGGAGTTGAAAGCTCGAGTGAAACCTACTTATACCCTGATCCCGGATAACTATTCGCATTTAATTGCTATCGAATAAAAACATTATTGAAATGCAGTAAATATATTATATCTCGAACGTCTTAAGAGCTAGAGCCTCCAAATTTTGTATTTAGTTTTATGTATATTTTATGCAATTTTGATTTTGGTTGGATTTTGGATACCGTCTCTAAATTTCCCCAAATTCTTAAAATTTAAGTTCAGTTGGAACTAGGGACATTATGTGAAGGCGTTTGCATCGCAACCAAGCCAATAAGATATGTAGATCATATGCTGAATTTCATTAAGATCTATTAAGTAAAACGGAAATTGCAGAAGCACATGTCATCAGCGACACGCGCACGCATTTTCCTATGCGTGTGCACACATACATTCAAACGCGTGTATTCTTTTCTATTCGAAGAATCGAAATTGCGATTGAATTATCAGCTGCTACTCAACTTCAAATTTGCAACTCTTGCAAGTGGCGTAGTGGCTGCGTTGGTAGAGGCGACGCTCGCAAGCGGTTAATGCCTGGGTTCGAAACTCGTGGCGATGAGACATTTTTATTGTTTTATTTATTTTTTTTAATTATGAAGTGGCGGTGTTGGTAGAGCTGGTGCACGTTGCCCAAACAATCCGGGCTCGAATCCTGGTCTCGTAAAGTCGTTTTTATTTGTTTTTTTTTTTTTTTAATACTCGATACAAACTACGGCAAATATTAATAAACGCAAATAGGACTGGGATCAGGGTATCTCCTAGTCGGGCACCCCGACTAGAGCTTTTTTTTTACTTGTTTTAATTACAATTTTTACATAGAAAAAGTTGTCTTAACAAAATATAAACAAATAATGCAATGAGATCTTGAATTGAGAAATCATAAATGGGTGCATATAGATATAGATATAGATACATATGCATATATATATATATAGATAGGTAGAGCTTTTAATTTGCTGCTCAGTGTCAATGCTGACGCTGCTGTCGACGAAGACGCAGCAGCCCAGGTCTCAGCGCGCTGTCATCAATTGCTGCAGCATTGGCCGCCTTCTGCTTGGCCTCGACCGCAGCACAGGCCGCTTGGTAGGCAGCCATTTTCACCTGCTGATACTCGTCGCGAGCACAGGTGATATCCTTTTGGATGCGATCGGCTCGCACTTTGGCGGCCATCAGCATTTGCCGCTTCTCATTGTAGTCGGCTTGGGCCTGTTCATTCATCGCATTCACATCGGCCACGTTGCCGCCCATTAGCTGAACGAGTTCGCAGAGCTTATTGCAATGCGCCTCGGCCAATTTGGCAGCAGAATCGGATCTTTGCGCATTCTGTTCGCTACGCTGCAGCGAGTTGCCCAGCTTGGTCAGGAGATTCTGGGCGGTGTGCAGCTCCCGTTCAATATTCTCGAGCTGCGAACGTTTGCCCTCGAGCACAGCTTGAACGGCACGCGACGCTTGGACTGCCTTCTCGGCCAGGTGGATGCGCACCGCTTTGGCCGCACATTCGGCTGCGTTCGATTGGGCGTCATTTGCAGCTGTTGCCACCTGAGCAGCTTTTACTGCTATATTGGCTGCTTCCTGTGGACAATTCTGAGTAGCAAAGTTGCTGCCTGAAGATGACGCTGATGCCGATGCTGGTGATGGCAGCAGCAGGTCATTGTTATCTAATTCGTGCAGTCGACTGCAGCCAAGCGAGGGACTCCAGCTGCAGTTGGGGATAAGCAAAAGAAAAAAAGATTTCCAATGCATCTCCATACAAATCTATATATAAATATATTTACATACGCTTTTCAGTGTTGGCTAATGACACAGATTTCAAATATACATATGTATAATGAGTGTTGGGCATGGATAATACGCTTTTGTACTGTAAGTAAGCAAATCAAACTATCGATTTTTATCGATAATAAGGAATACTGAATATTGATAAACTTGTGCTGCTCGTACTGTACTGGTATGGACGAAGTCTCTGCCTTTGGCTAAGACAGACGTACATATGGCTATATAGATTTATCCATTTGCCTCTAAATGTTGCCCCTTTCCATTTCGGCTTAGAAAGAGACTGATAGTGAGGGAGAGAGAGAGAGAGAGAGAGAGCGAGAGCGAGAAGCATTTCGACGGCATATTCTTTGCCAATTATTATTATTATTATATTATTGTTATTATTGCGCAGCAATTGTTGTGCCAAATCAAATAACTGTGAATGCAAAGAACACAACGACGCAGCAGCTAAAACGTGAGTGCTAGAAAGAGAGGGAGAGTGGGGGAGAGAATGGGCGGTATACAGTTGAATGCTCAATCAGTCAAAACTGCGGCGCCGTATTACACGTGCTGTCGCTTCCGCTGCTAGCTTCGCTGCTGTTATTGGCGGTGGGTGGCGCAGACTGCATAAACTGCGCTTCAAAAAAAAACCCAACACACACACTTCCATAGATAGACGAAAAATAGCCGCGTCATTGTCGTAGGCAATTGAGGAGGAGGTGAAAGTAATTCGTAGAAGCGCAAATTGAAAAAAACGTCATTTCTTTTGTTGTGCTATTTATTCTAATCAGACGCAACGAACGAATTAGCGAGCGCGAGAGAGAGAGGGACAGAGAGTAAGAGCACTGTTAACTGCTGTATGTGTCTGTGTGTGCACTTGCAAATGCGTGTGTAATAAACCGTAATAATAACAATAACAACATCAATAACAATGTGCAGCAATAATAACATAAACAACATTCTTCTTGCAAAGTCGCAATTTCGTAGTGCACAAGCAAGAGAGTGAGAGGGAGGGGTAGAGGTAGAGGTAGAGAGTCAGTCAAAGAGTCGGAAATTGTCTAATTGGAATTTATTCTGGTTGCGCAGGCAGCGCGCAATTGCGACAGCAACAGCGGCGCTTGCATGATCAGACATCTTGTTGTTGTTGCTGTTGCTGTTGGCAATTTCAATGCCATTGTCAAAGCTGCGCGACGGCGTCATTGATGGACGCACGCACACACGCAAGCGCGCGCTATTGGTTTTTTTTTGTGCACACACGCACACGCATGCAAGTATTAACTGTTGCTCTTTTGCTGTTAATAATTGCAATTTATCGATAAATATTTTTAAATAATTATACACGAAACCTTTTCAATATTCGCAGTACATTCAGTCTCCATCTCTGTAATACAGAGGACATTTATAATTGGCATTTTTTTGTCGTCTATGTGTGTGTGTATTAATGCATATTATTTGTGTTATTGCGTTTTAAGCAAAAAATTGCAACTCGATTATTGCGTTGACCTTGTCTCTGTATGTGTGTGTGTATTTGCCAAGCAGTGGCAATGACAGCGACGCTGTCGTCTTCGTCGACTTCGAGGGCAACAGCGACTGCGCCGCTGAATTCGTCGCGGCGAAATCGGTCATTGAACTTTGAACCAAACAAAAGGCGAGAGAGCGTATGTATAATAAACGTTGCGAGAATGTAAATTTTGCCGTTCATATATTTGTGTGTGAGTGTGTCTGTGTGTTTGCATGTGAATGCCAGTGGGCATTCCGTTACGCACTTAACCAAAAAATTAAAAATTAAAAATGAAATGAAAACATTTCACTGTCTGTTTTTAGTCTCGTTCGCTCACTCTTCAAGCCATTTAAGAAAATGCTTTTAAGAGTGCAAAAAAAAAAAGAAATGTATTTTTCTTTTTTTTTGTGGCTAATCAGCAAGCAACTCGCACCGAAAAACGCCTACAAAGTATTTTTGGTGCCGCGCGCACCTATAAGCGAAAAAACAAACGGGAACTCACACACAGACAGACACAAATATTTATTAACTGTTGCGCAAAAGACTTTCTAACATTTAAATATATATAAACTATGTGTATTAAATTATATTATGTCTGTTTTTGTTCAGTATTGCTGATTTGTGTGACCATCAAAAAGGAGGAGAAGCAGAAGCAGACAAAATAAACTGAAGCAGCAATGGCGGCTATTTGGGTCACGCATGACGCGCGCGCGTCTGCGACTAGAGTAGAGCATGCGTCTATCCGCCTAAGAAAAGAAAAACACGGCAATGTAAAAAAGCTAGAAAGAGAGGGAAAGAGAGAAAGATTGTCTGTGGCAGTGGCAGCGCAACCAACAGTGCTGATCAATATAAAAAAAAACAGCCAGAAATAGCCAAGAGCAATAGAGATCTAAAAAGAGTTAGAATAGCTTACGAAATAATCCATATTTGGTTGAACTGCAGTAGTAATGATTTCAACTGGCTCTAAAAACCGCAAATTAATTTATATATGTTTTATGACTTCTATAATTAATTATTGCTATGCTATGTGTGACTTAATTTACAAGTCAAATACATAATTTTTGTTTGGATATATTCAAGTTTTTTCATATAAAAAAGTAGTATGTGCTGGTAAAGCTAGAAAATAGCTAATAGACCAGCACTGATAGCGCCAGGCTACCTTATGTATGTATGTATGCGTGTGTGTGTGTGCAAAGCGAAAGCAGAAGCACGCGCGTTCACTCTCTTTCTTCCCCGCTCTTTCTCATTTACTTTATGTGTTGACGTCAAACGTAGCTGGATCGCTAAAGTTTTCTTTTAGTTACAAAAAAATATGAGGAGAGAGAGAGAGATGGAGAGCGTTGGCTGTAAGCGACCACCCACCAAATGCAGAGTTGCCAGCTGCTCGTGAAATTTAATTGGCGCGTCGTGTGGGATTCTGCGTGGGGGCTGCTGCCATCGCCGCTGCTGCCTTTGATTTTGCTCGTAGACCAAAAATAAATTATGATGCATGCGAAATGTTGTTGCTGCCTGGCTAAAAATAAACACGCACGCACACATACACACGCACATACATATATTGTAATTCCACATATATGTGAGTAGTTAGTTAACTTTTGATCAGAACATTTGTTGCTCTTGATTGTCGGTACATTAGTGACGTCACAAGAATCGGTCACAAGCACAACTCGTGCAATTGATAAGCTGCTGCTGCTGCCTTGACTGACTGACGGCTCGTTTTGATTGATGAACATGCTAGACTACATCTGTATGAATGAGTGCAGCATTCGTTTTTCATGTTTCATGTTGTATAGTGTCAATCAGTGCTGCCAATTACGCTTTTTTAGCGTCACTTTTAGCTGTTTTTAAAATGAAATTGCGAATCAATTAATTTATATTGTATGATTAAATAAATTGTAGCCATTTATATAAAATTCGAATATAAATAAAGTGCTTTTCATTACTTTGGAAGGGGGCAACCTTGTCTGCATGACTACAAATGCCGATTGATTTTTTGTCGCCGTGACGCATAAGCAAAATGTTTTTTGTTTTGTTTTGTTCTCTGTACATATGTATATATAAAAACTTATTTTTTGCACCGTGTGAATCAGAGAAATTAAAAAGAATCATTCATGATGGAACTGGTTTTTGGCTTGCATTGAACTTGTGCCGGCTAACTGTGTGTGAGTGCGCGCGTGAGTAATGATGTTTTTTGCTGCAGCACTTGCAATTATGTGGCAACACTGTTAGTTAAATTTGCATGGCAACAGTTAGCGCAAACAAATGCCAAAATATATATAACAATACCAGCAACAGCAACAATAGGCAGCAGTAAATGGCTAAAAGTTGCGGTCACTTTCACCGTAATTCGCCGCTCTCTATGGTGTTTGGATGTGTGTGAGTTGACTGTTAAACACATTAAAACATTTGCGCACACATTTAATTAAAAAGCGCAAATTTTGCCTGGCAACAGGCGCTTAACAGCTGTCTGCTTATAGCAAAAAGCTTTTAGTCGGCCAGCAGTGCTGCCAAGCTGCGCTTTCTATGAATGCTAATATGTGTCTGTGTGCGTGTTTGAGTGCGCGTGGCGCTCAACTGAACTTGTTCGCCGCTATTAGAACTTACTCTCACACACAGACACATCCACACTTGCATAAATGATGACAGACACACATGCGTCGCGTGTCGTTCGTTCACCTGCTGCGCTTGACAGAGAGAACGGGAGAGAGTAAGTGAGCGTGTATCTGTGTATGTGTGTGTCAATGGAAGTGTGTATATGTGAGTGTGTTCTTGTGAGCAGCGCGTGTTTTTCCTTTATTTGGTTTCTTTTACACATCATTTTTTTTTTATTTTGCGCCGCGCAATTTTTTTCTTTTCTTTTTGCGATACTTATTTGTGTATAACTGTAAACGTGCTGTTTATAAAAAAGTCCAACTAAGCTTTTCTTTATTCTGTTACTCTTTGCAGCTCTCCAAGACGACATCAACAGCAACAATAACAACTATAACAATTGTGTTCAACTTATAAATATATATATATATTATTATATATATATACATATATAAAAAATCGTGCGTGTAATTTTTTTTGTTGTGTTTCGTTAATTCGCTCATGAAATGTTTGTTCCCATGCAAAATGTGTACAGCAGTACTTTGTATTAACAACAACAACTCCAAATACAATTTTAATAATAACAACAAAAACAACAGTTTAGCGACAACAACAATAACTTAGCTACAAAAAAATACAGTTATTTTTTTGCTTGGCATTGGACATTATCTGTCCGGCCTGCTCCCACACGAGTTTGCTCGCCTCGTTCGCTCTCTCTCTCGCGCGCGGCATTCGGTGTTTGTGCAAAAAAAAAAAAAAGATAAAAAGAAGAGTGGGAGAGAGAGTTGTTATTTTTGTTGTGTTTTTTTTCGTTTTGCGTTATTTTGGGCGCTTGCGCGCACACACACACACACTCACAGACAGAAAGAGAGAGAGACACAGACACACGTGCGCGACGGCAGTGTGCGTGTGTGTGCAATGGATTTGCACAGTGAATGCAAATATATGAGCATGTGTGTGCGTGCGTGTGTGAAAATACGTATCTGTGCGTGTGTCTAGATGAAGAAACCAAAAGCAACAATAACCACAACAATTAATTCTTGTGTATATAAATATATATATGTGTGTTTGTGTAACAAAAACAACAACAACAGAAATTTAACAGTCGCAGCATTAACATTAACATACACATAACATCAACATAACATTCAAAGCAAAACCCAACAAAAGACTTAAAAAGTGTGTTCATTACTTTAAACTAAAAATAAAAATAAAAAAACGAAAACGAAAACAAAAACAAAAAATATAGAAATAAAAAAAATATATATATATATTCACATGATTTAACATTATATATATATATATATATATGTATATACATATATATATATGTGTGTGTGCAAAAAGTATTTAAAATTACAAATAAAAATACAAGAATAAAAACAGCCCAAAAAATTATAAATATATATAAATTATATATACACACGATATACATATATATAACGGTAAACGAACAAACACACAACAAAACAAAAATTTAGTAACCAAAATTAACAACGAGAAGTAATTTATTAACTACCGCAACAACGTTAATAATTTATTTAATTTATACAACAAATAAAATAAAAAATTTAAAATAAAATATAAAAATAAATCAACCAAAACGCAAATTATATATGAACAAATAAACGCAATATATTTATATGAATAATTATATGTATGCATATATATATGCCTGTATCTAGGTATATATATATATCTATATATATATATATATATATATATATATCATAAAAATAATTCAGCATAAAAAGCATTAAACCAACAACAAAAGCAAGATGTATAGATTGGAGGATACGAACAGCGGCGCTGTTATGGATAAGAACAAACAGAAATGTAAGTTGAATTAACACTGTTAACTGCTTAACGTTGTTTAACAGTTGTTTAATGTTAAGCAATGAAATGAATTTGCACTGTTAACTACTTAACAGTGATGTTCATTAATAATTAACAGTGTTGTAATGTAAAGCAAAGACTGTGAAATATAAGAGAGCTTGACAGGGAAAATATCTCTTTGTTTAGCGAATGATCACTATGTGGAAATGCTCTAACAGCTCTATAACGCACGAGTACCATAGCAAGCAGCTGCTGCTTATTGCTGTTACCTGTTGCTGTCTCTCTTCAGAACGAAACAAGTGTGCGTGTGCCTATGTGTTGGCTTGACTTATCAGTCAGCTTTTGCTTGCTCATTGAGAGAAGGAGAAGGAGGAGCTAATTTAGCAAGTAGCAGCGCTACGCTTGTTGGACTTTATGGACTTCCCCTCTATTTGTTTAGTGCATGTGGATTCCACGAAAGCGTTTTATCAACGGCGCCTTGCGTCTGCCCTTCAATTTGTCAAGTGTTTATTATGTATTGCAACAAGTTGGCAATGTTTTAGACCAAGTCATACCCTGTAATTAGCCTATGCAATAAATACGTATATAAAAAGGATGATCAGATGGACAGAATACAACTTGGTAGAATAATATTATCTAGGCCTAACTTCGTTTTGTATTTGTGCTAGCATGGAAAACTGAGCCAATCGATATTTATCGATTTTGCGTAATGAATACCATTACGACTTGTGAGCAGTTCATAGACTGATCTTTCCATTCGATATACTCTATAAATAATGCATATATATGACAAACATTGCCTTCAAGGCAAAACACCCCGCCTTCAATACCACTTTTAATGGGTACGGGGTATAGGAAGCGTCGCACAATTGCACCCATTGATGGGTCATTCATGACTCACTTGGCAAACAGCGACCCGACTCAGGGCGACTCTACACTAGACCTGTTTGCTGATAACGTACTTTATATATATATATATATTGCCCGGATTTAGCATCGATGCGAAATATTTGCCCCCCCTACGCACCCCTTTTGATACGTAAACCAACCCCCTGTTCACCAATCAAGAGAAAAATGTCGTTGCGACTATTATTGGCCAAGCCGACGACGACCACATTTCGCTAGAGCTAGCCACAAACGGATCACAGCAGCGATTCCCCCGTCCGTTTCTATAAATAGACGCACACTTGCAACAGCAACAGCAGCATCATCATGAAGCAGATGCCAGGGAGCAGCAGGTCGTACGAGGAGCATCCATTTAGCTCCATAACCCAACAAATTGGCAAGTGATCAACTTTGATTTAATAATAAACGAGACGAGAAATAAAATTCGGGCGAGGCCTTACTGAAGTTGAAATACCCTTTTCAAACATAGGAAACTTCTATGTGGTAGATACGGAAAACAAGAAAGCATCTGCCTCACATATGTTTACAAAAGTTAAATTAAATATCAATTATATTTAACTAATATTAACTAATTGATGTTGAAATGGTATTCAAACACATTCGAACTCTTTGGAAAATTTGATCTGTGCCAGGTCTGTTTAAAAAGTATAGAATTTTGTGATTTTTTGTGAATATCTATTTTATGCCCTTCTCTAATTCTAATCATTATCCTCGCTACACTTCAAAAAATCATTCCTATGAACTTGTTCAGGTTCTACCTCTCTACATCTTTAACTCCGCAATGGTATCGTAGCGTTGTGCTTCCATGGGTCGTTTGACTTCTTCGGGTAGATACAGGGAGGAAGAGTCAAAAGCACTATTCAAAATGAAATGAAATTCAGAATTCGCTCTACTTTTTTAACAGATCTTAAATGAATCCAAATGAAACTTTGTAAGGAAGGAAAATTTGATAAAGAGTCTTTCACTCATCAATTAAATGACTCAATAGATTTGCATAAAAGCATTTGCTTCAATTTGTTCCACCTGCATCAGGGACTCTAAAACTAAAACTAATTAGTTAACATCAGGTCGTTAGGGTATAGTATAGGTATAGGTATATGTATAGGGTATAGTCAATCTGCCTTTCGTGTTTAGTGGCTTCGCTTGCTGCCTCAGGTTAATTTGTGGCATTAATTAAAATTAAATAAAATTTTTGCATTTTATTTACTTTGTTGTATGATAATTTTCCGGTTCTACTCGTTCACAAAGTGAAAGAAGAGTATATTGGCTTTGTGTAATGCTCGTACGTCCTAATTGAAATTGGATAATTTGTAATGCAAATCGCAATATAAATGCATATAATATGTTTACTGGAGGCATGGAGAGTCGGAAAGGATCATATAGAGTTCAGATAACTTTTGTAGTTGAATCGCAGCTAGATCTATACATTGTGAGGGCCGCCCACTAGGGCGTGGCAATATTGATTTTTGATTGAACTAATTTTGGAATGCAAACGAGTATTGAACAGTCGGTCACACCTGACTGCAATGTTCTCGCTTGTTTTTTGTTTTGTTTATCGACTTCCTCATCGATACAGAAACAAAAGAAACTGTGTGAAGGCTGTGTGGGTGGTGTGTGGTGTGTGGCGTGTGTGGTGTGTTGTGTGTTTATGCATCATATGCTATATATATTTATAGATATCTATATCTTTATTCTTGACGATCTCACGTTTGGCCGATAATTGGAATTTAGTTACATTAAAAGACCATAATATAAAAAAACAGCTGAAAAAGTGAGAAAATCTTATCACGGTACAAATTGTTTTAAATATATATATGCAACTATGTATATATATATATATATACGAATGTTGAATGGCATTACGAAAAGGAAAAACAGCTGTTGCCTAATTGAAAATCAGCTGAAAAGCTTGAATTATCCGCATGCCAAGGCGGAGAAGTTCATAAGTACTGCACAAAGTCAGTAAATTAACAAAACTCTAAGCAACTCTAGAGGTGGTAACTCTGAACAGTTGATAAGCTTGTCAACTAAAATGCCACAAAAAAAACACTTACACACGATATTAGAAATGTCTAAAATTGTTAAGCAAAAGTTGGAAAAGATATTTATAGCTTTCGAGCTTTTCGATTAAGTCTGAAAAGAATTGTGAAGGATTTTTTGCAAGTTAAAACTTGATATTTCACAGACAAATAACTAAGTAAAGCCTGCAACTGTGGATATCAGGAATCTGAAGATTAAAAGCTTGCAAATTGAAAGCTCTCCAGTTCGTATATGAAACGTGATTTGTGTCTGAATCGACGACTCTGACATGAGGTAAAGATCTTTTCAGTTAATTTGGACAATAAGCCAAAGAGACGACAGATCGAAAGCTCGTTTGGCGTGCCGTGACTTGAGGCAATCAAAATAGAACGTGTTGAAAAGGGGGAATCAGCAGATGCATTTGATGGGGATTTGGGGATCAGCGTGTTCACTGCGCTCAACAGATACAAATTTTGGCAACGGCACCGAAGGGAAGAAGAAATGCAGCAACAAACGTAATTAAACGTAACGTAACGTAACGTAATGTCGCGACACAAAAAAAAACTGACGACGAAGACGACAAATGTTGCGCTCGACATGATTTTTCTAGCTGTAAAAAAAACATTGACGCAGTTCGCGTTGAAATCTCACGCGACGCAGATCGCGCGAGTAGTCGCCAGCCGAAAAATAACTAAATATACATATATATATATATATATATATATTTATATTATATACTATATATATATATATATATATATTTAGAGAGCTCTTTGTGGTACGAGTGTCGCTTAGAATTTTACGAGCTATGAAAACAGTGCAAACAAATTGTTTAATTGATGGAGCACAAATGCTGTCAATTAAAATTGGAAGAAAAGCTTCTTTCTTCTATTATTAAGTGAAAAAGAGAAGCATCTGATTCTTTACTTTTTTGTTTGAGTGATCTATATATATATATATATATATATAAGTGAATCTCGCGATAAAAGAACTTTTGCATAGCGTGTGAAATACGTTGCGCTATGTGCGAAAAGAACGAAAGAAAGATAAAGAAAGCGAACACAAAAAGACAAGTTGGAATGTTGCAGTCGGATGCTACCGACTGCCTGATACTCGTTCACGTTGCAAAAGCAATGAAAATTAATCAAAGTTTCCCTATTAACGATATTAACTGTATAAGTCTATCTCTATTTCTATCTCACGAGGAGATGCACAAGTCTTAAACTGAGCAAGTTCTTCCGATGCGCCACAATTTGGCCAGCAGGCGTGGATAGATGAGGGGTTCTGCCACGCCCCAAGAGGCGTATTGCTTAGTCGAGTTTTTGAGAGGGGGACCTACGAACGGACAGACGCTACACATAACCGAATATACTCTTCTTTCACTCTGTGAACGTGTATAATAAACAAGGAAGGAAATATTTATATAGCCATTAATATAGACAACATCTCTCTGGCTTTGCTGTCGCTTCTTCCGGACATTGACTCAATCGCGATGTCAACGGCTTTGGTCTACTGGCAGTCAATGAACGCCTCGATGGCTGGCCATGAGCCCGGCCTGATCGGTAGCGCGACGGCAACGGTAACAGCTGCGCCGACAGCTGTTCTCGTCGGCTCCTCTTCATCGTCGTCGGCCTGGCGTCCATCGTGGAGCAGCTGGAGCAATGGGGGCAATGGCAACGGCTATCAACTGCAGCAACAACAGCCTCCGCACTATTTGGCCCAAATCGATTGCCAGCATACGATCAAGAGCTTCGCCTCCAATCCCAGTTCCAAATTCAGTGCAACAATCAACAGCAACAATCACTCGAACCATCATCAGCAACAGCATCAGCATCATTTGTTGTCACAGCGGCCAGCGCAGTTAAGCTGTAAGCACGAAATAGTCCAAGAATTTTGAATTTTGAATTATCTTCCATCATCCCCGATAAGCTTATCACTCAACATATTCTGCATAACAAGAAGTTCGTTTACCCACCTGCACCTGTAGTGTACTCAGCATGCACCTGTGGCATGTTTTTGTTTCGATAGGTTTTGATAGCTATCGATTGTTGAGCTTTGACGGCTTTTCTGAAAACCAGCAAGAGCTTTAAGTGCATTAAATTGCATATCAACTAAAAGCTTGTTTGCTTTGTAAACGTTTCCAACACAACTGAAAGCTTCTTAAAGCTTTCACAAGCCTCAATTGAAAAGTTTCAAGAGTAAATTTAAGTTTTCAGAAAACTAAAACAAAGCTTTTAATAAATTATAGAGTGTTAAGCTAGCAGCTCTTAAAGCTAACAAGTCTCTAGAATTTGATAATTTTTACTAGCTTATTTAATTCGTTCCCGAATCAAAAAGCACATTGCAGCGGTTGCTACTTAAAGCTTTAAGCGGCATATTCGAATGAACTTTACACGTCTCGCTTGGGTACAGTTAGATTTCAGTTCATTTTATAGTTCGAAATAATGTTATCAAGTATTATTAAGTAATATTTCATTCAGCTAACATATTGGACTAGACTATGGAATGTGAATTCATTTGAATGTGCGTTCTCCTACCTCCTGCCTGCTGCTCATCTATTGCCTCGTCGCTTTTGTCTCTTTGTCTGTTCTGCTGCCCATTCACTTGTCGGCAATTGCGAAATGCAATATCAGTTTCAATGCCCCCTTCATCTGCTCCTCCGCCAATTGTGCCCCAACCCCTGTTCACTGAGTACCCTTTTTGTGCTATTTTTGACTCGGAGCAAAACAGAGACGCGAACAACTATATATATATATATATATATATATATATATATGTGCGACGATCTTGGTGTGCATATTGTGTAATATTTCTTATTGGGACTTTTTGGTCTTTTTGTTGTCTAGTTCTAAATTTAGTTGGGGAAAACGTATTTTGGGCGGTCTTTTTGGGCTTTTGGCAGCTGCCTCAGGTGTGTGTGTGTGTGTGTGTGCGGCAGGTGCAACACCTGTGCCCAGGTACAATCGGTCAATGAACTCGTGCGCGCTTTCTCTCTCTATCTCTCTCTCTCTCGCTCCCCTCACTTCCGCAAAATGTAACTTTTTATATTTCTCTATTTTACAGTATCCGCCGGCTATGGTTCCAGTGGTGGCGCCGTGGACACATCGCAGGGTAGTGGGAGCGGCGGAGGGGGCGGCGGCGGTGGCGGTGGCAGACAGCGCCATGCGCCGCTCTACGGACGCTTTGTGGTCGAAGAGGAACTGCCTGCCACGCATCGCGATGTTATGCATCATGTGAGTGCCATTAAGAAATAACTCTTATATTGAACTATTCAACAATACTCTCTCTCTCTCTCTCTCTTTCTACCTCTGCAGCACTCTAGTCCTTCGTCTTCGTCGGAGGTGCGCGCCATGCAGGCACGCATACCCCCGCATTTTCGAGATCCGGCCATTGCACCGTTGCGAAAGCTGAGCGTCGATCTGATAAAGACCTACAAGCACATCAATGAGGTAAGCAAGAGCCACATACCCCCTACCAGAATCCCTCTCTGTATTTCTTTTGGCAAACATGTATTTGGCTACCGATCAGCGCGTGCCTGTCCTTGACCCGGTTAACCTGAAAACACGTCAATAACTCGCAACTGAAATGTTGCCAAATGCCAGCCCTTGTCACTCAACGGCATGTTATTAACAGAATTATACGAAGCGTACAGAGAGTTCTCGCTCTATCTCCCTCTCTTCTATCTTTCGCTTTCAGTTAACCAACAGCTCAATAACATAAGCTGCTGTTCTATTATTAGCTCGTAACTTAACTCGTATATTGCAGTTTCTGATCGCTCGGTAACTGTTAACCTGCAGCATAGTAACAGTTTAATTTCTGCTCTGTGCTTAACAGTTGGCAAGCTCGCTCATACGCATTCTTTTCCTCTTAATATTCTGCTTTTCTGTTCTGCAGCAGACAACAGTTGCACTTTCCGCTCTATGTCGCTGTCATTTACTGTCATTTGCTTATGCAAAGTTTTTAAACGGCGCTCTCGTTTTTCATACCCTGAATCCATTGAAAAAAAGAATTCAGGACAACTAGCTAAATCAAGACAGACATATATTGCAAACAATAAAGACTTGAAGCTTAGAATGCTTGAAATTTCAGCCGTATGCAGGGTATAAACTAGTCGGGCATTGCTGACCCCAGCTGTCCTGGTTTTTTTTACTGTTATGCAAATGGTTGTACGATTAGCGGCTCTGTATTTGTTAAATTGCTTTTCACTTGTAATGTGTAAAAAAATGTGTAAGGAAATGCAAAACTGCTTAAATGAATGCATGGAAAAAGCGTTAGATGTTTGTCAAAGGTGAAAGTTGCGATAAAAAATGTCGATCGTCTGATTAGCTGAAGCCAACAGCAGTTACAATTAATTGGCTGGCAAATTGTTGCACACACACTTAAGCAGAGTGTCAAAGACAAAAGCAGACGTCTACAGCAGAAGCAACAGCAGCAGCAGAGTCAAACGCAAAGTGCCTAAATATATGCACCGTTACTTGTTACATTGTTGCTGCTGTCTTATCAGCTCAAATTCAGTCGCTGGCGCTGACTTTGACGTTGACGTCGCTGCTTTGTATACTATATTAAAGCACAGACAAGACACACACACACACTAGGAGAATGGGAGAGAGAGCGAGAGTGCGCGATTAACTGTGACGTTGCGTCTGCTAGGCACCACAAGCTAAAAACGTCATTGCCAGGCAACAGTAGCAGACGACAACGTGAACAGCAACAGCAGCCGCGGCCGCAGCCACAGTCGACGTTGTCGTCGTTGTCGTCGACGTAGTCTTCAGCATACACCCATTTTTGAGCATTGTTTTCCGCATAGCGCTCCACATGTATATTTCTACAACGCTCGGCTAGCAGCAACAGCACAGCCGCAGCAATTGTGTGCAGTCGTCTTTTAGGCGTTGTTGAATTCCGCGAGCGCCACTCTCATCCTCTCTCAGTGTCTGGCTGTCTGGTTACACCAACGTACAATGCGCTGCAAACAGCGCTCTCGCGACTGGCCCTCGCCCTCGCTCTGTTCAACTTGTTTGCACGTGCAGCGCTCTCGCTCACACCGACGGTCACATGCGGCGTTAGCAACAACTTTTTTTCGCCAAGCAACCAGCTGCATACAAAATTTTTCGCCAAGCCAATGAACAAAGCAAAGAAACGAGCGAGAGGGAGAAGCAGTGGAAAGATGTAAGCGAGTGTAACCACAGTGAGACACGAAAGGAATGGGGGACAAGTTTGTTACTTTAATGTTGTCTTTGCATAGATGTTTGATCCTAATCCAAATTAAAGTATTAATTAATAATCATTAACAACAAAGGTGGATATTCGAAATATCTATATATATATAGACATATAAATACCTATGGCTGGTACAGCTGCATAATAATTAATATTTAGAGCGATACAAACCAGGCATACTGTTGGCTGACAACTACGTTAACAGTAAGCGCAATATTGAGACATCTGTTAATTAACATTTAATTTTAAAAAACTAAAGTAGAAATTTGATTGAAGCTACTGTTAGCTCAAAGCTGCGTTAACATTGAGCGCAATGCTGTCAATTTACAAAGCGCTGTTACAACTATCGATATCAGGCATAATTATTGCCGAACTGTCACTTTATTACCGTTATGCATGTGTTTGAAAAAGAATCGAGACCGAAAGTACCCATTGAAATGTTTGTCAAAATGTCTTCAATGTGAAAGTAAACAATTAAATATACTCGTACAAATCTCCATATAAATATATGTATACATATATTTATAAGTATACATTTTTTTAAATCACCCTTTACCAATAATACAAACATGAAGGTATACTATGCGAAGAAGAAGCGCCGTGCCCAGCAAACGCAGGGCGATGATGATTCGTCGAATAAAAAGGAACGCAAATTATACAATGATGGTTACGACGATGATAATCACGACTATATCATCAAAAATGGCGAGAAGTTTCTGGATCGCTACGAGATTGATTCACTAATTGGTGCGTATAAAATTATAGTATATCAATATATCTTTATATTAGAGTAGAAATAGAAATAGAATAGGAAGAATAATTTTTTTTTTTATTTATAGTTAGCATTACTAGCTAATTTCAGTTTATAATATTTTGTTGGCTATATTTTTTTAATGAAGGACAATCAGTCAATCTATCATTCATTCTGTTTCTTAGCTTAGATATATATATTGCTTATCAGCTTGATCATCAATCAGACAATCAATTATTCAATCAGTCCTTATTCATTTACTTTATTAAAAGTTATTACAATTCATATAGCTTGCTAGGCGCTATATTGCTATCAATCAATCAATCATGCTCACTGATTTTTAATTTGCAGGCAAGGGCAGTTTTGGTCAGGTGGTTAAGGCCTACGATCATGAGGAGCAATGCCACGTGGCAATCAAGATAATTAAGAATAAGAAACCGTTCCTAAATCAGGCACAAATTGAAGTCAAACTGCTCGAGATGATGAATCGTGCGGATGCTGAAAACAAATACTATATCGGTAAGTGAATGCAACTTAAAGCCAAAGGCTCGAAAACTAAACTTTCTCTCTCTCTCTCTCTCTGACGCTCTCTGTTGTCATCTACAGTCAAGCTCAAGCGCCATTTTATGTGGCGCAATCATCTGTGCCTCGTCTTCGAGCTGCTATCGTATAATCTGTACGATCTGTTGAGGAACACGAATTTCCGTGGCGTTTCGCTGAACCTCACGCGCAAATTTGCGCAGCAACTGTGCACGGCTCTTCTGTTCCTGAGCACACCCGAACTGAACATAATACACTGTGATCTGAAGCCCGAGAACATATTGCTATGCAATCCCAAGCGATCGGCCATCAAAATTGTTGACTTTGGCAGCTCCTGTCAGCTGGGACAACGCGTAAGTATCTGAGTATACCCTGTGAACCATGTGCATATGGTGGAAGCTGAGCATATCTGTATTGCTGCTGTATACCCTGTAAATGAGTGGTACATCTAAATCTAAGAATCGTATATAGTGGATATAACTTTCGCTTTTCGTATGTTGATTATATTTGAACTCGCTTAGTGCTTGTATACCCTGTAAATAGTTTGAATCTCTGAATGGGGCAAGTTAGGCAATAAGTCTATGAAAAATCCCAAATATTAAAATTCCATGTATTGTAAGAGATCTTTTACTTACGGTACTTTCTTGAGTGCCCATATACCCTGTAAACACATCGAAACCCCCTGTGTGAAGAGAGTATATTAGAAACTAGATAAAATAGTAGTGAAGTAGTGTCAGACTCGAATCCCTAGCTTACAAATAGTTGAGGTTCGAGTTTCCAGGTTCAATTGAAACTAAGTTTAGAGACTCTTCTCATTGCAACTCTGTCTCCCTCTGTTTTGTAGATCTATCAATACATCCAATCGCGCTTCTATCGATCACCGGAGGTGCTGCTGGGCATTCAATACGATTTGGCAATCGATATGTGGTCGCTCGGCTGCATTCTGGTGGAGATGCATACCGGAGAGCCGCTGTTCTCCGGTTGCAATGAGTTCGATCAGATGAACAAGATTGTCGAGGTGCTGGGCATGCCGCCCAAGTATCTGTTGGATCAGGCGCATAAGACGCGCAAGTTCTTCGATAAGATTGTCACCGATGGCTCCTACGTGCTAAAGAAGACCCTCAATGGACGCAAATATAAGCCGCCCGGTTCCCGCAAGCTACACGATATACTCGGCGTTGAGACGGGCGGCCCGGCGGGTCGGCGTCTGGACGAGCCGGGACATTCCGTGTCCGACTATCTCAAGTTCAAGGATCTGATATTGCGCATGCTTGATTTCGATCCAAAGACACGAGTCACGCCCTACTACGCCTTGCAGCACAACTTCTTTAAGCGCACCACCGACGAGTCGACCAATACGAGCGGCGCGGGCGCCACTGCGAATGCCGGCGCCGGTGGCAGCGGCTCGGGTGGCTCCTCGTCCGCGGGTGGCGGCGGTGCCGGCAGCGGCGGTGGTGCAGGTGGCGGTGGAAGTTTAACTGCAGCGGGCAGTGGCGGCACAGGTCCTGGTGCTGGTGGCACCACTGGCAGTGGACCCAACGCCAGTAGCAGCAGCAGCAGCAGCGTCGTCTCCTCCAGCGCAGCAGCAGCGGCAGCCGCTGCAGCTGCAGCAGCAGCAGCCAGCTCCTCATCTTCGGGTGGCAGCAACAGCATCGGCGGCGCTGCCAATCAACAGCAACAGCAGCAGTCGCTCGTCTCCAGCAGCAACAGCGGCGCCATCGATCCACAATGTCTAGGTAAGTTTTGATCCTCTTCCTCTCCCTTTCTCTCCTTCTGCCAAGCTCTTATTTTGTATAAAATATTTGTTTTTTTTTTATTTGTTGTGCTCCTCTTTCTCTCTCTCTTTTTATAGCTGAAATTTGTCATTTTTTATTATTTGTAAATATCGGAAATCGAAAAGAAAAACCGTATTTATCGATAACGATCAGTAATCGATACAATTGAAGTTAGGTAATTCAAGACATTTGTGTTAAAAGAATGAAATGTCTTGTAAAATCCTATCGATAACTATGCATCGATCGATAATTATCGATAACTATTAAAATATTAAAATGACAGTTGCGCAAATGCTTTTGGTAATCGATAACGATAACTATTTCAATTTCGCTCAATAACCATTTTTTAGTACAATTTCAGTTTATTAAGCCACAAAGGTTTTGTTTTTTGTTGTGTTTTTTCTTTTTGTTAATAATAGTATTCATAATAATATTGTTAACAAAAAATAGTCATAATCAGTAATCAATGTATTTAATTTGTACTGTAAACAGTATTTAATTTAGTATTTATCTAGTATGTATTTGGTACTGTTGACATTTTATGTGTTGAATTTGGCAACTGCACAACACTAACTTATAGTATTATTTCAAACATTGATGCCATTTGCAGAAAATTTGAATTTTTCGATTAAGATTTTCATTTCCTTAGCTGCATGGTTGTATATATATGTAATTATGTGTGGGTGTGTGTGTGTGTGTTAAAAGAAAAAAATCAATTCGATTTGAACAAATTTAAATATGTTTTGTTTTACAAAAAAGAAATATAAAAATTGAAAGAACAAAAATTGTCAAAAAAAAAAACCAAAAAAAAAAATTGATTTAAATTGTAGCTAAAAATGTTAAAATTAAGAATTTATATATATATATATATATATATACATACTATATACATGTGTATATATATGTATATATACATATCGATTATGATTTTTGTTACTACATATATCTGATAAAAAGAAATAAAATATTTAGTTGCATTTATACATATTATTAAGCATATATAATTATTATATATATAAATTGTAAGTGTTCTTTCGTTTTCTTAACGGTAGCACCTTCCCCATTTTCAATCCAAAAAAAACAGTGTTGTCAAACGTAGAAACATTTTTGTTTGTTTTTTTTATTATATTTATTTTGATTATTGTATTAATTTCTACTTGCAAGGCAGAAGCAGGCGGAAGCCAACAAAGAAACTCAACTAATTTATGCCCACAATTATTATGCTCTCTTTTTCTAACAAACAAAAAAAAAAAAAAACAAAAAAACAAAAAAAATTCCAAAAACGATACACTTTCGCGTGCATATTTCGAATACAACAACAAACCACGACACAGACGAGCGCCGATGACCAGCAACAACAACTACAACTACAACTACAGTAACAACAACAGCAGCAGCCGCCGTCGTAACAACACCAACAACAAAAGCAAACGCAAATTAGGCATATAAGTACTCAGGATAACAGTAGATAACGACAGTGCAGCAGCAGCGACAGCGTCAACAGTGCAGCTGCTATGCAACAGTAATATTAACAGCAACTGTTATTCGATACGATATGTTTCGTTCCATTGAACGAAAGCGTTTCCATTGCGCACGTTAAGTAAGGCTAAGGCCATCTTATTGTAAATATCCAGAGGCTCGAGCTCCACCCAAAACACGTTATTTTCCTAATGTGTGGCGCATTAAATAAACTTATTTTTTTCCAAATAAATATTTACACATATATGTATGTGATTACGTATATATACATATATATTTTTTTCGCACCTAGTATACATTAATATAAACAAGGAAAATTTAGACACGCTCCAAAGAATAAGTAAAATGAAAAGGAAAACCCAAATAATAGTAATTAAATTAATGTATATTTTAAACTTGTTTCGTTTAGTTTTGCGTGTGATTTTTTTTAATAAATGTCGCTAACAGTTAAGCATTTATTTGTAAGCAACTAGGGCCATAGTATTGTAAATTTAAGCATTAAAAAAATTAAAAAAAAAAAAAACAATTTAAAATAAAAGTAAAAACTGTTAAAAATATAAGTAACACATAAAACAAGGAATCCTTAACGACTTTCTTAATGACTGCCATACATATATATATATATATATGTACATAATATATATATATATATATATATATATATATAATAACATCATAAGTTTAACAGTACATAACATTTAAAAATTAACAGCGTACAGACATACATACAGAATAGTAAAGAAGTGTGTACATAGGCTATATATATATAACGTGTGTGTATGTGTATGTATTGAGGCAAAATAGGGCGCATAGCTGCTAATAACAAAGCAAAGCAAAAAGAAAGATAAACATTAATTAACAGCTCTTCCCAATGTGAATCACATACACACATACATACACTGTCAACTGTCAGAGGTATATATCCATGTCTTGCTTGCCTACTCTTTTGGTTGTTTACGCTTTTCACTTCACTCACACAAACACACACGCCTACACACACATCCTCGCTCTGTTTGTCCAACTGCACTGCACTGCACTGTACTGCACTTTGTGAACACCTTATACTCATGGGAGCTAATAAGTTTGAGTGAGAGACTTGAAAATTTGCACAGACAAATTCAATACAAATATGGTCAAGCTTTGAGCACAACAGCAACAAAAAATTGAAATTTCGATCTATCATACAACATAAACAGAAGGGTATTACGCCGTCGCACTCTGAAGAATGATGTATTTTCGTCCTTATATGTTGTTCGTAAACAGCTAAGAGAGCATGCTCGACTGAATTTAGATTGTGCTCTCGCTTTCGCTCTCCGTCTCTCGAATGTAGACGCGATCCACATGTTGATTGCAGAAAATGTAACCGTTAAATAAACATGCTTGCTTCTACTTGCTGAGCCAACTGCAGCTATTCCTCTCTACACACACACAAACGCACGCACCCTGACACGCATTCATTGCATACGTAAACAAAACTAATCGTGCTTCAAATCAATTGTAAAAGCAATGTTAAATAACAGATCAGCTAATCTGGTCGATTTAACAGAAGCTTTGTCGCAAGACAGTAAACATACTTGAAAAATTTTTTTTTTACCGAAAAAGATAGAAAATAATATATAAGATAACTCATACAACAAATACCAAATCTAAACACAAATCATAGTTTTTAGGTGTGTAAAAATAGTAAAAAAAAAATTAAAAAAAAAGAAGCAAACGAAATAATTAACATTAGGAATATTATTAATAATTATAAAATATATTTAATGATTTAAAAGGAAATACGAAGAAATCGATAGCATTGCATACAACAGAAACATAAATCAATACTAAAAAAAAATTTAAAAAAAAACTAGCATTTAACAGATACACACACACGCATACGTACATATACGTATATACACACATGTCTACATATATACACACACATACATATATATACATGTGTATGCAAACATATATATGAGAATTGAAATTGAAAACGAAAATAAAAATGAATTCAATAGAAGATAGAGACAGACAGACAGACAGATAGATAGATAGACAGAGACAGAGGCACAGATGGGAGTTGCATATGTATTGTATATGTGTTTGTATAATTCTACAATTTAGCGTTTAGCACCCGAGTAAACAATTCAAGAATTTAACAAATAATTAATAATTAAAACAAAAAAACAGAAAGAGGAAACTTTAAAAAGTTGTGTAAAATACTTAAAGCAAAAGCCGATAAAGAGTGTTTTAAATTTAAGTTAAATTACAATAAACAGACACATACACACAATCATCACACACACATACATAATTTAGTTGAGAAATAATAAAAAAATGGCATAGAGAAAAGGAAAATTAAAAACGAAATCATAAAATTTATATGAAAATTAATTGCAAGCATTTAGATTTAGGCCACGAAAAAAACCCAAAACCAAAAGTATTGAAAACATATTTAGAAAACACGCAAACCAAATTTAATAACCAAAAAATAATAAATAAAATAAAAATTCAATCGCAAATGCAAAGCGATCAGTGGAAATGCCTCAAGATATGCAGCAACATTTTGATGTCAAGCCCATGTTAACTAACGGCAAATGGCTGCAACCAAAATGGCGGCCAGCTGCAGCTATTTTAGTGCTGCGCAAAGAGCAATGCAATAACGAAACAGTATTGCAAAATGAATATGCAAAAAAAAGACAAACAATGTAGGAGATGAAGAAAAGACAGAAACTGGTTGAAAATGAAACGCATTTAGTTTGACAATTTAATGAAGATACAAAGACAACACAAACACACATACACAGGCAACACACACATACACTCTCATGCATTTGTGGCATTTATATATATATATACATATATATATATATAACGTAAAGCTGATGGTTTAAGTTTAATGAGTACGAAATAATTTATGAATGATTACTAAATAATAAGTTAAAAAGAGAGAAACCCAAGAAAACATGAAAACTAAAAGCAAACAACAAAAAATGACAAAAAAAGCGAAAAAAACCCTTCAATAAAAATTTATGATATAATCAACAAAAAAAAAAAACAAAATATGAGAACTTTTGCAGTGTCGCAATATTAACATTGACAGATTTAACATTTATTGAATTATTTAACATTTGCCTTTGCAGGTCTGTTATTGCACCATGCGAACAACAACAGCAACAACAACAACAGCAATGCCAATGCGATGAACTTTTCGGCGCTCAGTCTGCAGCCGCAGCCAGCGACAACAGCGAACAGCAGCAGTAGCCTAAACAACAACATTAACATAAACAACAATAACAGTCTGAATAGCTTAAATCACAGCAGCAGCAGCGTCGGTGTCGGCATTAGCGGCGGTCGCCGCAATATTTATATGAGCAATAGTTATCCGCACGCCATGGACTGTGATCCGCCGCTGGGGCAACAACAAATGCCGCCGCCGCCGTTGCCGCCCGTCTCGGCTGCTACTATGGCAGCGGCAGCACTACGCCTCGGCCAGCCGCCGTTCGGACGCATGCGCAGCAGCGGCGTTGCCATTGCGCCACATCAGAATTTCAGCAGCATTAAGCATAACGGTAATGTAGTACAACCGCCACCACCGCCGACGTCGCTGCTGCTGCCGCCGCTGCCACCACCCGCCGCACATCAACAAATGCAACTGCCGACACAGCCGCAGCCGCATCACAGTTATGCGCCAGCATCGTTGCCGCTCGACTTGATGCATCACTATGGCAACATGTCCGCCGCTGCGTCACATCTGATGATGACAGATTCGAGCGTTATCAGCGCCTCTGCTGCCGGCGGTCCTCCAGCTGGTTCCGGACCGGCCTCATATGGGGTGCTACTCTATCATCCACAGCCGTTAGCGCCACTGCAGCTGCCCATGCCGCTGCCAGCGTCTGCATCGACATCATCATCACTTGCTGCATTGCCAGCGTCGGCAGCGACGTCAGGCAGCGTTAGCTCTGCAGCGGGTGCCAGCAGCGATGCCTCTTCGTCGTCGCCCATGGTGGGCGTATGTGTTCAACAGAATCCTGTAGTTATACATTAGCGTTACCTGCCGTCTATATAAACTATAATTTAACATTTTATATTTTATTTGCTCTTTTTTTTTACACCACACACTCGCACACGCAAACGTCTGTGTAGCCAGCTTTTGTGCTCCCCTTTCTCTCTCTTTTGTGTGTGCGAGTGTTTCCGTTCTCTTAGCTCGCCAGCAGACACTGCTATTTATTGCACATCCATCCAAACACACACACACACACACACACACACACATCATAGCTAGCTGAAATTTACACTCACACACACACACACGCATCGGTTTATTTAAGTCATGCTTTCACCATGAAGCCGTCTCGCTCATACACACACACACACATGCAAACACGCATTGCTCATCGCGTTTACAATTAGCAAGAGTTCTTATTAATTAGAACGTTTTTTTTTTTACCTAGTTTTAAATGCATAAATTTAATGTAACCATAACGAAATAATTTTACTTATACAGAATCAAAAGTAAATTTTATTTAATTTTTAATTTAAATTATGTAATTTTATTTGAAGAGCAATTGCGCAGTAATTTTCAAATGAAAACTAATTTTGCTTGATTTTAAAAGCGAAAACAACAAAAGAAAATATTATTGTATACCACACAAGTTGTACTCCATTTCTTGTGTCCTTAGATTAGCACCTGGGCGCGATAGTGCTTCTGCAGCTTATTGGCCTTAGTGCCCAACTGCATCTGCCACTTGGACTGTACGCGTTTCATTAGATGAATGTCGCGTGCCTTACGCGCCGCTGCTTGCTGCTGCGTCTGCGTCCAGCCCAGTGCTCGATATTCGCTCAGCACGCGATGTAGCTTCCGATCCGACTTCTTGAGCGCAACTGCGCGAGTCGGTTGCAGGCGCTGCTTGTAATAGCGCAGCAGCGACCGATGGCCAATAACAGCGCCAGAGGGCAAAACTAATTGGTACTCATCGCCATCGAGCAGATCGGGCACAACCTCTTCGTCAATGTCCATGCCCGCTTTCTGCAAGATAAATTTGTAAGAGATAGTAAATGAGACACAATAAGCAATAAGGTGCTTCAACGAAATGGGCTTTTTATCGATAGTAAAGGACTGAACGAATGATATCGATGATTCAATACTTACATGATCCGGATAACTAGCGCTGTAATCATAATATTCAGCATATTCGGCCAAGGCGACGCCTTCGTGGAGCATCTGACAGTGTCCTTTGTCGACCATATGTTTTCGGACAGCATCCAGCGAATAGAAAGTCTTGCCACGATCATTGCACCACAGGCAAATGAAGTAATTAGCCACCTTTTCGCCCAGGTAGTAGAGCAGGCCCTCGATATCCGTGCAGTAGTCGGTGTCAGGTATGAAGAATGAATGTGTGATTGACATGTGCTTGAGGTTCTCTACCAGATCCTCGCTCTGATGGGCGCAGAAGAGGCAGTCGCGTTCGGTCAACGGATTCTCAGCTATCTTATCCCATTCATCCGAATCGATCTGAAAATGTCAATTGGAGTTTAATGCCATTCAATTTAATTCTCAGCTGACACTCACCTCTTCCTCTTCAATGTCCTCAAAGTCGTCGTCGTCATCATCATCCACTTGCATTGCCCGCTCTGCGAATGCGAGGCGTCCTTTGCCCGCAGCAGCTGCTGCCAGCGCCGGATGTGGACGCGGCTCCACAATGCTTTTGACACACACATCGGATACACTATCTGTGTCTGTCTGCTGCCGTTCGAGCCGAGCTAGCGCCTCCTTGTGCTTCTTGCTGTTGAGATGATTATCGTGCGCCTTCTGGTTGCCAAACTGTTTGCGACATGCGGTGCAATAGATGCTCATCTGTTGCTCCTCGATGGCCGTTTCTGTGGCGCTGCGGGCGCTCAGCACACGCTGCTGGAACTCCTCTGCTGTAACTGGCGGCAACTGCGCCACGCGCCTCTTTAGATTGTAACGATGCCAATCAGTTTTGTAGTGCTCCCTCTGTATATCCGCGTTGGCGAAGCGCGCATCGCAATTGATACACGTGAAATGTGACATTGTAGGGATCTCTTTTTTTGTTTTTATTTTTTGTGTCTACCTAGATTTTGGAATTTCGCAACGAATCAATGATTGGAAAACAACAAAAGACTCAACACGTTCTTGGTTATCGATAGACCGATTGCACGCTGTGCGTGTGGCGGCTAACGATTCACTTTTGTTGTATACGAGTTAAGGCTGCCTGATATGATACTCTACGGCGTTCTCACTGAATTTCAGGTCAGTGTTGTCTATTAGAACAAATTATTAAATAGTAACTCTTTGTACATTATATAATTTAAAAAAAATATTGATGGCGATAATACATACGTGAACTCACGGTCATCTTAATGTAGTGGACACATGGTACACCACATTGACATTTTGTAAAATGAAAGCAGCTTTAAATGGGGCCTTTACTTAATCAATACTGAATATTTTACTTAAATTATGAGCATTTTAAGCGAGGGCAACTTAATTTTATGAATTTTGTTATCGCAAACTTGATCGATGTGCGATAACATAACGCGTGTATTGAGAACGCAGCATTTGGGCGTGCGCACAGTTGCAATTCGATTCGATAAGAGTGAGTACCATGCAAGCCTTAAAATATTTGCACCGGCTGCCGCAGCCGATTTCCCAGCCTTCCATAAGTTATAATGCAGTAAGTATGCCGTGCCAGCGATATTGGTGAAAAAGCCAAACTAATTATCATGTTCAATTGTCATAGGCGTTCGCGGGCGAGCAGCACAAGCAGCGGACGTGCACCGAACACACAACCGCCAACTTGCCAGCCGTTAGAGGCGCCCAAAATAATTATTATACATCCGGGGTCGCAACATTTGCGTATTGGACGTGCCGCCGACCTCAATCCGTTGACCATTCTGCATGCGGTCGCCTACAGGCGTATACCTCAAGACGGAGATGCGCCGCATCACGATCCATTGCTACCGGCACTGGACAACCTGAACTCCACTCGGCTGCAAGCGGAGTTTGAGGAGCAACGTCTGGCTGTCTCTCGCCTGCTGCAGCATTGCGTGGTCGATGAACAGAATCGTTTGCGTGTCGCTACGCCGCCCCAGCAGCTGGCTCACTTCAATCGCAGCAGCATCGCCGAGCAAGTACCGTCACCTGTGCCGCTTGAAGAGGACAAGAACTGGCATAGCGAAGCGCCTGTGCTCTTCGATGAGCAAATTCTCCGCTTGAGTGCCAGCGACGCCCACAATTATGATATACACTTTCCTATCCAGCGCGGCGAGCTGAATGTGCATGGCGGAAAGGGTGGCTCCCTGCAGGCAACATTGTCGCACCTGGAACACATCTGGTCGCATGCTCTGGAGCAATGTTTGGGTATATCACTTCGAGAGTTGTGCACGCATAGCGCCGTTCTCGTTGTGAACGATGTGTATGTGCGACGGCATCTGCGCGAGGCAATGACCCTGTTGCTGCAGCGAATGGGGTTCCAGCGCTGCTTCCTTGTTCAGGACAGCGTGGCTGCCACCTATGGCGCTGGCATTGGCTATGGCTGTGTGGTGGACATTGGCGCCCAAAAGACTTCGATTGCGTGCATCGAGGATGGCATATCGCAGCTGGATGCACGCGTCCGCATCAGCTACGGCGGCGGTGACATTGACCAGGTGCTGCTCATGCTGTTGCGGAAATGCGGATTTCCCTACCGCGAATGCTGTGTGCAGGAGAGCTATGTGGATGCCCAGCTGTTAGACGAGCTAAAGGAGCGGTTCTGCCATTTGAACGCGAACGTTTGTGGGGCACAGGAGAAGCATTTCACACTTCGTCAACCGCAAGGCCAATGGGTGCGCTACACCCTTCAAGTGGGCGATGAGGCAATCATGGCACCCTTAGCTCTCTTCCATACAGAGCTACTGAACATAACGGGTAAAACAAGGGCTGTGCACACGCAGCAATCGGCGCAGGAGCAGTATGACTGTGAGGATTGCTGCGATGCCGAGTATCTACGAGAGACTGGACGACGCAATGGTGTGCGTGCCGGAGATATGAGCATCATTGGTAACTCTTCTGCGCCCATATTCAACTCGACTAAGCCGCCACAGCTGCCCATCACGGCCGACGATGAGGAGCTGATTGTGGTCGACCAGGATGACACGACAGTCAGCAGCAACAGCAACTCCCAGCAGCAACTGTTGCAGCAACAGATGCCCAAGTCGAGCAATGCGTGGTACTTCAATGCAGGCGGCCAGGTCGTGTCGCTCGATCAGGCTGTCATACGTGCGATTGGACGCTGTGGCAGCTATGAGACGCGGCGCAAAATGTTTGGCGCCATTCTGCTAGTGGGCAGCAGTGCCAAGATGCGCGGATTGGCCGCTTGGCTGGAGCAGCGTATCAGCCAGCAGGTTCCACCCGGCCTTGAAGTCAATGTCTTTAGCAAGGGCATGGATGTGGGCATGGTCGCGTGGAAAGGCGCCGCCATCATGTCGGTACTAGAGAGCGCACGCGAACTGTGGATCACGCAGCGGGAATGGCAACGCTATGGCCTACGCATCCTGCGCGAACGTTCGCCCTTTCTCTGGTGATATCGGATGTGTACAGCTAATTGAAATTGTGTATTTATGCATTTAAGAAATTATATTACTTTTATAAGCGCCAATTGAATTGAGAAATATTTCATAAATTTTAAGAGAACTTGTAAAAAATCAACATGAGCGTTTTATCCAATTAGTGAATTAGCACTTTATATATGATACATATGAATGCATCTCAATATCTGATTGCAGTACTCGTATAGATTAATTATTTACCTATTGACAAATTGATGATGTTCTATATAGCAAATTAAAATTGAACATTTATAAACTTAACAAATAACTGTAATAAGTCCTTTGTTCAATTGCTGATTGCACGTCTGAATGACAGACCTAGCATATTCACGATAACGATAACGATAAGCATCTGCACTAATAGCTAACCCTATCAAAGGACATTGTACTCTCTTTAGTATGGCCAACATTGTTATCGATTTCTTAAGTGCAGCTTACAGCACTGAATGGCAGTTCAAATAAGAATAAGCAAATACGTGTTTTTTATAAAACCAACATCAATTTAATTATGAAATATACACGCATATCAAAGGCGTTTGTAAACAGTTTAGAAAAAAATAACAAAAAAGCAAGCAATGAAACTAGGCCAAATACTTCGGCGCACTGGAGCCCATGTAGTGATAAAGATCACCTAATGTGGATCGGACTAGTTTTGCTTTTATGGTTTCCCGATTGAGCCGTTTGTGTGCCTCGAAGCGATGGCAGCCACCAAAGCTGAAATAATAGTTGCCGCCTTCGCTACCGGTAATCCATAAGATGTCAACTGGCGGCACATCATCCGCGTTAGTTTCCGCCTGCAAAAGAGAAATTTTTACTGCTTTTGCTGGAATCAAGTAAAGCATGTGTTTGTGTGTTACGCACATCAATGGTGGCCATGAGTGATTGAACTTTCATCTCATCTAGGACGGAGGGTATCGGCCGTTTAATAACGCTCATTGGCACATTATGCACCTCCTCAATGCCCGCCGAGTGGACGGAATTGTCCAAGCTAGCCATTCGTTTACTGTTGCCTGGATTGGGTTGGAGACTTGATAACTATTATTGGCAATACGGCCAATGTTGTGAAATGCGAGCAATAACAATTAAACTTGTGCCGGCGTTGCCACCCCCGCGAATAGCTTACCCAGTTTCTGTGTCGCCCACAATTTTTGTCCGCTGGGAGGCGCTGCAATGCGTCTGCTCGGCTGCAATGCGAATTGCTTAATGAAGTTCATGCAGGTGCCAACAGTCAACAAATTGGACGCGATATTCGCTGCTGGAGCGTTTAAACTTGTTTTGTTTTATTTCGTATGAATGTGGTGGTTGTCACACTTTTCTTTTCATTTCTTTTTTCTTGTGGTTTTACTTTATTTTCTGCATAATCAACAATCTTGTTGGCCCCCTGCCCCAAGTGCAATCTGTCGTAAACAAAAGGCAAACGCAAATGCGACTTGATAAAAGTAAATGAAAACGAATTCTAATTGAGAACAATGTTCTAAGACTGGGATTGTTTGCATTATACACATACCCCCCACATATGACTACGTGCGTATGTATGAATGTGTATACACATACATATGTATGTGTGTGCGTATGCCAACGAGCGCGTCAGGCATTTTGATTAGCATCCGTAAACTGAGCATTTGCAATCTCTGCCATACAAATAAACGTTGTTTTTACCAAGCGACTGCCTATCAGTAGATAAAGATGAATATATAAGCAATGCTTGCAAGTGCCTTTAAAATCAAGAATATCTAAAATAAAAATAGCAATTTTTTTCTCCCAATTGCAATTATTCAAAACTTTTGAGCTTTGTTTACAACACTGGTCAGCAGGCTGATCGTAATACAACATTGCCCGCCAAATTCAAATTTAAATTCAAATGAAATGATCTCGAACTTGTCATGAAGATTTTTTAAGGCCAATTTTTTGCACAATAAATGGGCCAAGGAAACAAACTGAAATGCATATATATGTATGTGTATATGGCTACAAGAATATTGAATGGGTTTTACCCGTGACATTGAAACGACTGTTGGTGTGCTTAGTCATGTAGACGGCAAAGACAGCAAAATTAGAATTTTGTCTATAGTGTATCGAATCTGTATCTGTATCAGAAGACAATGTGAACAATCTTCAATTAACCATTACCAGTTGTACGACAAGGCCGCTACAAGCGAATTCTAAGCAATTTCTTGAATATCGCAGACCGTTGATTTTGCTACCTCTTACAAAAGGTAAGTGACGGCGGAAATTAATCAACAGTTATGTTTTGGCATTTGCTGCTATTGCCGCAGGACATTTTCGATACCTAAAAGATATATTTATTTTGTTCGTTTTTTGTTTTGTTTTTCATACACTATGCAAATTAATTTAGTTAAAACGATTGTGTTGATAAGTAGCCTGATAATCGTGCAAATCGATGGCATACAAGGTGATGAAGGATATTTTCGATACCATCAAAGTGAATGTCATCCATTATTGTGGATTCTTTATTTACAGATGCCGATGGCAAACGTATTGTTAGCAATTATGAGCGTATCAAGAAGCTTTATCCACAGCTCTCGTCTAGTGAATCATCGCAATGGCGTTACGCTGACAAGGATCAGAAGCATCCGTGCAAGCGCGACTGTGTCGAGCAACAGCCCATGACCTGCTATTACTATATGGTGGTTCACTACGATGACACTATGACTGCTACATGCAAGCGCTATCTCCAATCCAAATATCGGTTCAAGGTGAATGGCAAGGATTATATCGATAGTTTTAAGCTGGCGGAACTGGAGACGCGTAATAATGATTGCAAATACGCCGACGGTATCGAGTCCCAGATCATGGTTGTCAATGGTCATCTGCCGGGTAATTCCATTGAAGTGTGCTACGGCGACACCATCGTAGCGGACGTTATCAACAGTATGCACGAGACGACGACTATACATTGGCATGGCATCCATCAGCGCTCGACGCCACACATGGACGGTGTACCACACGTCACTCAGTACCCCATTGAAGCCGGCCAGGCGTTCCGCTATCGCTTTGAGGTGGACCATGGCGGCACCAATTGGTGGCACAGCCATACCGAACACCAGCGCGCTTTTGGACTAGCAGGTGCGTTGATTGTGCGTCAACCGCTTAAGCTGAATCCCCATGCCCATCTCTACGACTTTGATGAATCCGAGCATGTGATCATGATACAGGATTGGGTGCATAATTTCGACGAGAGCGTCGCCGAGAATATACTAATTAACGGACGCGGACGCAACTTGAAGAAGAACAGCAAGGTGAAGCCTACGCTTTATGCAACATTTGGAGTTATTCGTGGTGGTCGCTATCGCTTCCGTGTCATTTTTAACGGTAAGTTGTCAAATATAACTTCTAGGTGTTTGGAGATATTTAAAATTAGGAATTGCCAGTTTTTTTTTGTACTACATACATTTTTTTTTTAATTAATAATTTTGATAAAATTCGGCTTTATGAAATGCCTTCGCAATTACTCATAGCAACATTCCACTGTTTCGATCAAAACTTAACGAAACGCGCCGTTACATCCAGTTCAGAGACACGAATATATACACGCCGTTTACAACACTGAAACATGCACGCTTGCTAATCCTAGTGTAGAATTTCAATTAAATAATGATTAAATAATAGTATTTGAAATCTTTAGAAATTACGATAGAATAATATTAATGGTAATATATTTGCAGGCGTGTCAAACTGCCCGATTAGCCTGAGCATCGACAATCACGATCTGGTGGTTATTGCGAGCGATGGCAACGATATTGAGCCTGTCGAGGTGCAGAAAATTATGTTCCATGGCGCTGAACGCTTTGATTTTGTGTTGCACGCCAATCAGGATGTGGCGAACTATTGGCTACGGGTCAAGGGCTATAGCTTCTGTGCCAAGAATCAGCTACATCAGGAGGCGGTGCTGCACTACCAGAACGCCAATACGCAAGCCCTGGACACAAGCACATTAAGCTATGCTTACGATGCGCCTGGCATTATGCTCAATGAGTTAGGTGACGATACGGGTGGCAATAGTGCCGAGAGCATATCGCTGGTAAGCTTGAATGCACAGCATGTGCAGCCAGCGCTTAATCCAAGTCACACTTATTACACGAGCATGAATGCGCTCGAGCTGCGCGGCGAGGGCTTTCGTTTCCAGATGGACGACATCACCTTCAGCATGCCGAAGATGTCGCTACTGCAGACTCGCAATCTGGGCATTGGTCAGTTCTTCTGCAATAGTTCGCAGCAGGCGGCGCTTGGCTTCAATTGCAAGAGCCGTCACTGCAAGTGCTCCAATGTCATCCAAGTGCCGGCCAACAAGAATGTGGAGTTTGTCATTTCTAGCAAATCTAATACGGCACATCCCATCCATCTGCATGGCTACACATTCCGGGTGGTCGGGATGGGTGTGCTCGGCGAGCAGCGCATTGGGCAGATAGAAGAGATCGATCGGCGAACACCACTGCCACGTCGCGGCCGTGGCGCTCCGCTTAAGGATTCTGTACAGGTGCCAGCCTTTGGTTATACCATCATCCACTTTAACACGGATAGTCCGGGCTATTGGATCTTCCATTGCCACATTTCACCGCACTCGGAGAGCGGAATGGCAGCTGTTTTACGCGTTGGCGAGGATGTCGAAATGAAAATGTGTCCCGTTAGCAATTGCGGTCTTTGTAGTTCAGTGGCGTAATAAAACTTAAACCAAACTTTATTAATATAACATTTAATATATCTATCTACCTGTCACAATAAACCGTTACAACGCTAGCCCATGTCGTTAGTCAGTGTTGAACAATCTCACATTATAAGTTCATCTTGCCGTTTGACACGTGCACTAGTTATCGTTTCTCGATAACCACAAAATGTAAACAAACAGCTAATATCTGTCTATAAGCGCATTATGTCTTCCACAAAAAATGGCAACAAAAAAGCAATCGAAACCGATTCAGATGAGGAGGACGAAGCACAAATGCGTTTGTTTTTACAGGCTGCCGATCACACGCTGCTCACTAATGATATGTATAAGACACAATTAGCTACAACTACGACGAGTTCCGTTGAAGCGCCGTCAGTTGCCTTACCCACACCAGATTTGCCTAAAAGTGAGCGCTACCTGGCAGATCAAGATGCAGCACCTGCTAGTGATCTGCAAATCAGTAAAGAAATGCAAACACATCTATGGGGCAAACTAAGCGCGATTATACAAAATCAAATTGAATACTGTGTGAGTGAGCAGCCTGTAAACAGATCACAGGAAAAGGAGAAAGGCTGGGTTAGCCAAGTCAGATTGGTGGCTAATGCCGATTGCTATGTCGTTGACGACATAGAGCTGACAGCGAGCCCACAGAAGAAGCCCAATATAAGGAGACGACTGTTGGAAGGCGACGAGAACCAAGCGATTACAGCTGCTGCTCTGGCTTCCGTTGTCGTCGATGGCGACTCAATACTCAGCGGGCGGGATATGGAAAGCTGGTTACCGCGCAAGCCACGCAAAGATAAACTTTTTGAATACAGAGCCAGTGATGCACTGGGCCACAAGCTGCACGCTATTGAACCCACGAATGAGTTCACCAAACAGCGGCGCAAGAACAACTGGAATGAGGTAAAGATTGGCCAAAGATTTCGCAACAAAAAGACAAAAGTTTAGCTTTGATAAAATTGTTATTGTTATTAAGAAAACCAGAAACTACTTTAGAGCACATTCTGCTGCTATTCTCCAATGAAACAGGAATGGAACCGGCTATATAAATAAATTCAATCAATATTCACAATTCATTTACAATTTAAAATACAAAATGTGATTATTTAATTAACATTGTTAAAAATTAAAAAGTTGTCATACATGAACATTCATAATTCATATATTTTTATTGTTTATTTGTTAACATTTCATATTCCTGAGTTTCCTTTCCTTCGTTTTTCACAACTCTCTTTTTTTAAATAGGTTTTATCTACTATTGTTTCTCAGTTTAGAAATTCTACATATATATATATATATATATATATATATATATATATATATATATTTAAACATATACGGTGTTAAGCTGGCCTAGATGCTAATTATTTTTCATTTAGAAAGATTCTAACTAAATTCAATTATAAACATTTACATGCTGTTTATATCGTTTATCGTTCATATTTTGACTTGTTATTTAAGTATTTTTCTATCTATGAAAACATTGAGTGTAGAAATATATAGGGTATTTAAATTTCGGCACTTTGAGGCTATTCTAATGGATGCTAGTGGAACTTTCCTGCTTCAGCCATGCTGTATGGCACTCTTCTCATCCTAACTGTTCCGATTTAAGCCTATAGCATAATATCTACTGTGACTAAATTGCTGTTTTAGGTATCAAAATTGTTTTGATAATTCGTTGTGCTGGCCATCGTATTGCTGTTGTTGCTCATTTGACCATCGAGCAGGCCGTATAGGGCATTGCTGTTTAGCATCTGTTGTTGGCCGCTGCTCACGTTGCTTAGCGAGATGCTGGAGTTGGTGCTGCCGCCGAGCTCTTGCAGCATTTCGCCAACGATGTTACCCATGCTGTTGCTGCCAGTGGCGCTGCTGCCACCATCATCGCCTGGCTGCATTTCGAGTATGTTAAGAAAATCATGTCCATTGAAATCGTGCTGGTTCTGCTGTTGTTGGAGTTGAAGTTGTTGCTGTTGCTTCTGCATGCTGCTTTGACTCTCCTTCATCAGCTTGTCGTATTCCTGAAGCACGCTGGTGAATTCACCGATCTCGACGCGATTTCGCGATATCACCTTATGCTTGTAGTAGTTGTGGACCTGGGTGAGCGAGGTGCCCGTCATACTAAAGTAGGCCCGCTCGAGCGGCAGCAACTGCAGCATCGTTGACTTCTCCAGCTTATCGTCGATGTCATAGAAGCTGCGATATTCTGTGATAAAGCTGCGCATAAATTCCTCGGCCGCATCCGTCAGTAGCATGATCGCCGTCTCAGAGCAGTCCGTGAAGCCCGCCAGACGGAGCAGGCCGCACATGACTTTTCGCATCGCATGCCTGCACGTGTTGCTGGAGATCTCTGGATATGGTTGCGGATCACCACGTGAATACGCCGTATCCACAGTAGGTATAAACCAAATGGGTTTCTGAAACTTCTGCTCGCTGACCAAATCGGCGGCATTCTCTGGTGGAAAGTCCACTTCGGGTATCATTTGGCAGGGATTGAGCAGATAATTTGAGGTACCCTTCAAACATTATACAACATGATTAACATATGTATATTCAAATATTCTAATTGGCTTACGTTTTTGTTCGAATACGTGTCGATGAGGGATTGCAACACTTCGGTTTGTTTCATAACTTCGATGGTTTGCGTGACCAGTGAACTCTTCAGCTCAATTTTGTCGCTATAGAAAAAGATCTATTATGTTAAGTCACAGGACGGTAGGCTTCGCTGCACTCACTGTTTATCCACTGCCAACAAATCGCCGCGTTGCCGTAACTCATCCAGTTTCGGCTTTTTGGCGGTCGTCGGCACGTATTTGTCCGACGCGAACGTCCCGCACTCCTCCTCAATGGCGCCCCAGTGTTCGGTTTGCATACTATTTACGCTACCTTAGTTTTTAGATTTAGTTTATAAACAATTGCCGCTGTGCTGTCAAACGTCAGAATTGGCAGTTATCGATAGTCAGCTGTGACTGGTCAGTGCGCGTACGTGGCAACGCTTGCTGCATACGTTACAGTTGTTTCAATAATATATATATACAAATTTTATTACCAATTTCTGTTGATTACAATTGACAAGCTTGCATTTTTGTTTTTTTTATAAAGAATGCATGTCCATGTGTAAGTTGAAGGACAACATGATGACAAGTTGATTGCATTTAATCGCTGGCGCCCTTGACAATTGGCAGCGCCGCTATGCGGTCGGCCCGTGGCAAGTGGCAACGCCGTTTAGATGGCAAACAGGGGCAATATGTAATATTGCCTTGTATTATTTGTTTTCTATTTAGACTATTTATTACTTAGATAAATTGTAAGTTGAAACAAGGAACAAACTGAAAACTAAATTCCACAAAGACGCTGACAACGCCTAGGTTTATACGCGCCGGCACACAGCGCCAATATGCATCAACAGCACATGGATCTCCATGCCCCAGTGGACCTAAACAAGGTAAGTGGAACACAGATAATAACTTATCAGCTGAGCTAAACCAATTTGTGTAACTCTTATAGTCCCTGGACGAAATGACGCCGGAGGAGCGAATGCGGTAAGCCGACATACCAACGTTTTCTAATAACTGGATACTCCGATAGCATGGTTCAAGGTACACTCAGCTAAATTTGCATACTTTACGTGGTTTCTTTGTTTTTAGCGCCGAGCACCAGTTAATGGTTGAGAAGCATAAGGGCCACGATGCCATGCACTCGGAAATGGTTATCATATTGTTTATGACATTGGTCATTGCCCAAATCATATTGGTCGAGTGGAAGAAGCGTCACTACAGATCCTATGCATTTGTCACACTGCTGGCCATGTGGCTAATACCGCTTATTATCTCGTGCACGTTCCTCTGGGTACGTTTTATTGTCATTTGGCTTATATTCACGTGCATTACGGCTCTCGTCATGCGTCGGGCCACAACAAAACCAATACAGGGCACAACGCCCAGGTGAGCGAGAGAGAGATAGATAATTTCATTGATTTTTGTACTAACTTCGGTTCCATTGACAGGCTCGTCTATAAATGGTTTTACTTTATCTACAAGCTAAGCTATGGCCTGGGCATCATTGGCTATCTGGTCATAATGGCCGCCTTTCTTGGCATGAACTATATATTTTCACAGCCGCCCCATATCTGGATGGATGTGGGTCTTATGTTCTGTTTCTATGGCCTCTATATTGGCGTACTGGGCCGCGATATATCCGAGATATGTTCAGATAAAATGGCAGCAGCCATTGGTGTAAGTTGACTGATGTGTATTCGAGTGCTTATCTCTCATATGCATATGTATATATTAACTATATAAATTTGTATTGCAGTACTATACGCCTCAGGGCATGCCCACACGACATCTAGATCAGAATGTATGTGCTGTATGTGGCAATCAGTTGCTGGTCTCTGAAAAAGAAGAGGGCGTCATCGAGAACACCTATAAGCTGTCGTGCAATCATGTGTTCCATGAGTTCTGCATACGAGGCTGGTGCATTGTAGGCAAGAAGCAAACGTGTCCTTACTGCAAGGAGAAAGTCGATTTACAGAAAATGTTTCGCAATCCGTAAGCGGCCCTTAATATTTGTATTATATGATTGTACTATATGTTATACCAATTGCAGTTGGGAGAAACCACATGTACTCTATGGCAGGCTGCTGGATTGGATTCGATGGTTGGTCGCATGGCAGCCGCTCATATTCTTCATAGTACAAGGCATCAACTGGATGCTGGGCCTCGAGTAGGCGAGCAAGAGTAACTGTCCAATTGCGTCTAGTCAAGCACATAAATTGCCTAACACACACACTGTGCTTTACACTAACAAACCAACCAACCAACCACAAACAAGACCAACTATTGCAAGAAACCAAAAAAAAAATCCAAAACAATTATAAAAATGAAGTGCACAGCTAAATCCAAGCGAATGAGCAGCATTGGCTGGAGCAGTTCATCTATGGCTTCCTTCAATTCCTTCAAAGCTTGGTTCCACGTCCCCCCTAATTGAATTTTTTGTTGCACATCTTCAGTTTCAGTTCTGTCACGTTAAGGTCCATAGTTGAAGCAGAGACCATGCATCTATCTACATATATATTTCCATTTATTCACTATTTTAAGCTGTATAACGATTAACTGGTATTTTAGATATATATACATATATATATGAGTACATATATAAATATATATGTATATATACTTTGACAGCGTGTATCTATATGAGCATATATATATATGTATATATATATATATATATATATATATCTGTATATATATATATATGTTGTCTGTGGTGTGAATGTTTGTATTACGTCTGCGTATTATGCGTTTTTTGCACTGGATATTGAATTTAATGATCTATATAAACGTAATGAAAACATTGAGTGGATTCTAAGAAAAACAAAATTGTTATTGTCTTTCCTTTGCATTTATGTTAAGCGAACGAAAACAACAACCCCATGAAACTGGTTTTTATTGATTTTATGCGACGACATAAAGCTAGAAAATGAAATGAAGATATATATATAGAATATGTGCTTTGAATACCTTTTTGATACTGACTGCTCTAGGCACATACCCTGTAAAAAGGAAAGGATAGAAAACTACATTTTTCTTCTCTTCAAATTGTATAGCTTCATAGAAGACGAAAATTTAAGCTATATAGAGTCGATATATGTTTATAGATGATTCCTTCATAAATTTTCAATGTAGAAGGCAACAGTTTAAGCTATTTAGACAAAATATATGTATCTATATTTGTCTTTTTTAATCATTATATGAGTAAATATACCCTGTAAAAAGGAATATATTTGCCTCTGCTGCAAATCTTTGAGCCCGGCTTAAGCTTGAGCCAGGCGAAGACGGTATGATGTGTACTTTGATATTTTTCTTTTATAAGAAGCGTTTCAGTTGACATATACCCTGTAAAAATAATATTTTTGGGACCTTTTCAAATATTTTTGCTTTGTATAAGGCTAAAGCCTATGCTATTTAGAGCAGGCTTATGCTTACGCAGTTTTTTCTTATGAGGTATTTGATTACACATATACCCTGTAAAATAAAATCCTTTTTTCTCTTCTTCACTCTATATGTCGGCAGTCATATGCTTATATATTTGTCTTCTATAAGTTATCAATGTAAATTTATATGTAGAGGTTTCACGGGAAATATACCCAGTAATATATCTGTATTTATATTTATTTATATTATATATCTATATAATGGGCTTCTCGTGTACTTTTATGTGAAGGGTTCGAGTAGACTGAGGAAGCACTTAAGATCTCTTGGTTCCTGCCACGAAACCCTTCTGTTTTGGAAACCTTGTTTACTCCCAAGTTGGTTACGCCCCGACCACAACGGCGAATGCCGCCTTCTGCATAAAGTTTAATCAATAAATTATGCGCCAGTACCGCATATATATATAATGCAATGACAAATTGCACGCTTCAGCCAATTATGCGAATCATTTTGCACGAAATGGCAAAGAAGGGCGGAGTTCAGCAGCTTCAGGCGGACATCAGCAGCGATGAGGAGTTCGAAAAGTTTTTGCAGCGACCCGGATTGTTGGGTAAAGCAGAGTTACCAAAGCAGAAAACCAACATAAGTATTCTCCATTTGCAGTGCTCGATATATATTCGGAGTGGTGTGGTCCATGCTTGGGCATGGTGGGAAGTCTGCGTAAGATCAAACTCGAGCTGGGTGGCGATAATTTGCAGCTGGCAATCGTAAGTCGCTTGTAAATTTGAGGTTAAGTTGCAAAGTGAGGTTAGACTCGAAACTAATGTGCTTATCTCGACGAAAATAGTGCAAAGCGGGTTCGATTTCGTATCTGGAGCGGTTTAACAAGAAAAGCGAACCCACCTGGATGTTTGTTGCCGTAAGTACGAATGTCGAAATTATTTTTGTATACCCTGCACCCAATGAAAATTGTAATTTAATTATTCTTATTAAGCTGCATGTAACAAGCAGGGGGGGGGGCGTGACAGACTTTGTATATAGCGTAAATATTCTTGTTCAGCCGAGAGTTCCATAGATTACAACTACAGCTCCACGCTGGTATCTCTAAGGTGTCTGCTAGTCGGATACTCCCTCTCAACTTGCTTGCATCTTTGCTTTATATTCAATTAGAATGGAAAGGCGATTAACATCATGTTTGGCACCGATGTGCCCAAGCTGGTGTCCATGATCACACGAGAGCTGCAGTCGACCATCGCTCGGGAGCCCCATCAAACCTACGAAATAACCGAACTGCAGCCGATCGAGCTCGAACAGTTGCGCATTCGGAACGAGGCGCTCGAGCAGGCGGCCAAAATCGAGCTGGAGGAGTGCCGAAGGAAGCGCATCGAGTACTTGAGATATGTTACGGACATGATTATGGAGAATCTGCCAGATATTGGCATAACGGTATTTGGTCCTCAAGTGAATCGAGATATGTTCAAGAAGCTCTCCGAGCCGGCCGATCCATTGAAGATCCAATGCAAAGACCGCAAAGTCTTCACAATCACCGAGAGCGATTTCAACACTGTTAACTTCGCAGCCGAGAACCCATTGCCTCGGGAAGTTATCCAACACTTGTACGACAAGGAGCTGCTGATGTGCTTCTGGAAGGTGGACGAAACGCTCGGCACTCCGCCCGCCATATTGCAGCAGTATGCCAACGAGCTGACCAAGAACATCGTCAAGCCACCCGATGAGTTCAATGAGGAGGAGACCGTTCTGCCTCCGCTAATAACAGACCTCGAAATAACGGTACAGGTCAAAGTTGAAGGTACGAGCTCCTCTTAGCACTGCTTCCGTACACTCTAGAACTTGAAGAGCTCTCGAACTATGCGCATCAATAACGTTTTGCCTCAGTTGCCGTTCGGCAGCTCCGATGTGCCTGCCTGTGGAGCTAGAGAAGTTCATTTTACACAGAACCCCAAAGCCAGCAGCATCGCACAAAATTTCAAAATGGGTTTAAATTTTCAGCTGAAACGAAGCCGGAAGACCAATCGGAGGAGCAGGAGTTGGAGGATGATTTGCAGTTTAAGACTATACAAATCCCACCGATATGGGTGGCCAGTGATCACAGAACACATGCAGCTCTCATCTACACATATTTCCGCGGACAGACTGCAAGTTTCTTGCCCGCCGACCCAGTCCCAGAAGCTCCCCACATCATCATGACTTTCGATGCGTACAAGAAGAAGGACTTGATCAACTTGGTCAATGCCTGCAGGGAGGATGTGCCACTCTATGGCTTCTTCTCCAGCGATAATCCGGAGGTTGCCGTTTTCATAGCCAACTCCGTGGACAAGTACAACACCAAGCCCTATGTGCCGTATGTGGAAGAACTCTTGCAGCTAATCTACATCGATACAAAATTGTGTTCTTCTGTCTCTTGAAGCACCGATAAAATTGTGTTGAAAGTGAACAAGGGACCGGGTCCGACAATCGCGCTGCTCATGGAATACGGACCGAGCTATGTTAGTCCCAACTCTGTGGTTGGACATAAGGAGGCTGCCAAGTTCTTTCCACCTAGCTACAAATCCGCACTGCAGGAGGAGGCCGAGCTGCATGCGGTCAAAGCCGAGAAGCCTAAAAAACGTAAAAAGGTGTCCAACTATTCCTATACTTGGTCATATATATATATATATGTGTATTATACAACTCTTTCATTCATATTCGTGCAGAACAAGAAGGGCGCCGATGCCGAGGAATCTGAACAGCCGGGTGCCAATGCCCAGGACAATCAACTGGAGGCGGATGAGGCGGCCAAAGTGTCACCCGAGGAGGGCGCCTCCACGACAAGCAGCGGCGAGGACAGCTGCGAAAGTCGCCCAGCGACTGCCGACGGCAATAATCTGCCTGCTGATGGGCCGCAACCCTAGATCACCTTCAATTCTGGACATCTTGCTCTGCGTATACTACATGGCATACAATGCCATGCTCTTGCTGTCTGTCGTCCTGCTGAAACGATGCTAATTTTAACTTAAATTTCACAGTGGTGAATGCATTTATAACATTTTACATTAGCTAATAAAATAACAGTTTAGCTAAGAATCCGATATATCTAATATATATACAGTTATATATAACTTATATAAAAATTAAGTCGATTGCTTCTTGTACTTTGGTATGAGGGGTCGCCTTTGGTAGCTGCCCTCGAGGTATTGCCAGATGCGTTTGCGCGCCTTCAGGGTGCGCGCCTTTTCCTCCTGCTCCTCGTGCAGAATCTGCTGGCAATCGGCAAGCAGGGATTCCAGCGCCAGCTTGTCAGCGGGAGGAGTCTGCTGCTTGCTGTCGCTCTTCGACTTGGCAACTGCTTCGTCGATTTGCTGAAAGTCTATGTCCAGATCGGGTCCCCAGACCGAATCGTTCTCGCATCTCTCTACTGCCTCGTCGATTTCATTTGGGTCGATGTCGGAGCCCCAGTCAAGCTTGTCGTTAGCCACGTTGCCCATGCGGCACGTTTGACGCAGCTTGGCCAAACGGGAAGTGGACTGGACGGTTATTGGCCCAGCTTTCGCTTGCTCCTCGTCCAGCCAGCAGCAGCCCTGAAGCGTCACCTGGGGCATTAGGTAGCCAAAGGCGCTCTTCATGCTGCGCTGATAGTCATCCTTGATATAACCTAGGGACTTCAGATGTTCCGCCAGTGCCTTGAACCACGCAATTGAACGATGCGAGCCCCTGCCAAAGTGCTCATGGCTGCGGCACTCGCTGCTGATGGACTTGCTGCGTGAGCCGCGCAGCGCCAGTATGAGCTTGCCCAGGCCCAACCGACCGTTCAGATCCCGCAGCATGCCCAGCAGCAAACGGGACTCGCTACTCACGTCCAGCGGTGTGTCGTCCACATGAACTGTCGGCTTGGCCTGCATGGCCTTGCGGCAATTGTCGCAGCAATTGGAGCGCCGCTTCAGCGAGGCCAACGTCGCTCGATCATCAAAGTAGTTGAGTATATATTGGCGTCTGCATTGACTGATCTGTGTATACTCTAGCATGGCCTGGGCCAGATGCTGCAGCTCCTCGCTGCGCTGCGCCGTCACGGGTTGGCTGTGCTGCAATCGTCGGTGGATCGCGGCATCTGCCTCGCCGTAGAAGAGCACGCATTTGGCTGGCAGGCCATCTCTGCCGGCACGTCCTATCTCCTGATAGTAGCGCTCCATGTCGCTGGGAGCCCCATAGTGTACAACCAGGCGGACATTGGGCTTGTCAATGCCCATGCCAAAGGCTGTGGTCGCCGCCATAATGTGCACCTCATCGCTGGCAAAGTCCTGCTGATTGCGACGCTTCACCTCGAGCGGCAGCTTGCTGTGATAGCTATGACAGCGTTTGCCCCGGCTGGACAGCTCCTGTGCCATGTGCTCCGTGTCGCGTATCGTATTGCTGTAGATGATAACGGCGCCTGCCGCCTCGGCGGCCCAGTTCAAATATTGCTGCAGATCGGACCACAGATTCGAGCTACGCATACGAACGGTCAGCTCCAGATTAGGTCGATCCAGGTTGCTGCAAAACACCAGAGGCCTGCGCAACTGCAACTGCTCGCAGATATCTAGGCGCACTCGCCGCGTTGCCGTTCCAGTTAGCGCCAGAAGACGTACCTTGGGCACAGCCAAGCGCAGCTGATTGAGCTGGCGGTAAGCTGGACGGAACTCGTGGCCCCACTTGGAGATGCAATGTGCCTCATCGATGGCAATCAGCGCCAGATTGTGGCCCAGATCACGCAGCAATTTGAGGCCATTGCCACGGGTTATGTACTCCGGCGTAGCGTAGACCAATTTAAATTGAAGCGCCAGGACGCGTTCCTTGATAGCTCGATCCTCTTGCGCAGTGCCCAGCAGGCAGGCGCATGGACCGGTCTTGGATCTCTCGTTCAGTGCGTTCACTTGATCCTCCATCAGAGCAATCAGCGGCGATATGACTACAACTACCTTATTTAAGAAAAAGGCGGGAAACTGATAACTCAACGATTTGCCATAGCCGGTGGCTATAACTGCGCACACGTCCCCGCCACGGGGCTGGATTATCAAGGCACGTATTATCTTCCATTGGAGCGGCTTGAACGTATTCAGGCCGAAGTATTGTCGCAGACAGTTGATGTATTTCTTCGGCTTGGGCAGCATAAAATACAATTTTTAAATGTTTAGCCAGGTAAATCTAATTGGAGTGCAACTACAACACCGCGCATTAGAGATGAGCGTTTGGTGAGCACGTGCGGCTAATAAAAAGTGAGCTACCTATCTTTTAAGTTGCCTCTCTAATTCCTACATGTTTGTTACATGTGTTCGTGCACCTGTTACACCATATCAGGGCATATTTATAGTACGATATCGTATACAAAGTGCATTGCTGTAAGCAAGTGCACACTTATCGATAATTCGTCAGTAATAGCGAAGGTACAACACTCAACACTCGCGACATCTGGCGGCAAAAGGAAAATAGATTATTAACTATGTCGATAAGTGATAACGATAGTTGTATGTAAATAAAAGATATGCAAAACGCGACGGTCAGCTGATATTTATGCCATCCCTAGACTCAGTGTAAACAACAAAAACATATACATATATATTCAGTTTTTATTGTTATTAAACAAACAGACAAACAAGCGAAACGATGGCAAAATTAGGTGAAGCTAAAATACCAATAACAGAATTCCTCGACGCATACAGACGCCAACCATGCCTCTACAATTCATTGTTGGACACCTATAAGAATCGTGGGGCCCGCGAAGACGCATACGAAGCGATAATTAGAACATTAAAAATACCGCAATTGACAGTACTTGACATCAAATTGAAAATTAAAAGCGTACGCACCGTTTACACAAAGGAATTACGTATATTAATGCGGGAAAAGGAGCTGGGCCGATGCTATGAACCAAAATTATTTTGGTTCAAGCGCGCAGATGCATTTTTGCGCGCCGTTTCGTTATCGCATTACAAACGCGTAAGTTGTCCTAAAATATTGATATGAATATTATATAAATATACAATCTCTTTGACAGACTAAGAACAAAGATTCAGATGTACCCATCAAAAAGGAAATACCACAGAAATTGCTGCTCAATGCCGCCAGCCAAATAGTTGAAGATGCAGTGCAACAGCAGCAAGATGACCACCATGAGGATGAGCTGGAATCGATTGGCCAAATGGATGATGCATATCATACCGATGTGGATGAGCATGTTAAAACGACTATGAGCACAGGCACTAATACCAATATACTACCAAATGCAAGCAGTCAAACGGATGATCTGCAAAGCGTCTGTTCTTCTACACGTACGCCGCCCAATAAAAGTGAGCTCATCATCGATGACTCCCAGCTTAGTATTATGGAACAGCAGCAACAGCAGCAGCAACTACAACAACAGCAGCAGCACCAACAGCAACAACAACAGCAAACATTGCCTCGTAAGTTAAAGTATATGACTTATGGGCAAAACCATCAACAGCAGCCCCAGAGATTAGCAACGCCTTTTCCATCGCCTTCGCCATCGCAGCACTTGGAATTAGCAACAAATGGAAATCCAAACTTGAGTTTTACTGGCGGCGATGATGATCTATACGCCTTTGGCCAAAGTATTGCATCGCAGTTGAGATCAATAGTCGATCCATACGCACGTTCCGTGGCCAAGCTGCGCATACAGCAAGTTCTCTTTGAGGCAGAGACTGGACAGAGTAGCGAAACAGTCAGTACGACGCATTTGCATAACTTTTAGCACTACAACAATAAGTAGGCCATAAATCATATTTAAATCTGTACATAGACATATATTATACTACTATTTATTGTAATTGCATTTAGGATTGTTATCAATATATTTAACATATATTTTTTATTTTTAAGTATATTTAGTTTCCTATATATTAATAAGCAATTCAAGCCAAATATATTTCAATTAGATTATAAACTATAAGTGCATATTTACATATGGATGGAAAAACATTAAAATTTTTTGTTTGCTCTTGAAATTGAAAACATTTAATTCAAACAGTTTTTTGAACACAATTTTTAATTTTTACTGGTCTGAGTTTTGTTTGCAAAATTTAAAGAAACAAAATAAATACTCGAATTTATGGCTGAATTATTTATTAAAAATATACAAGAGTAGGCTCCGATTTTATTGACTGTAAATCAAAAATAATTTCGGCTAAAACAAATTTGCGCTCGTTGTAGCAAAAGGATTATGTTATTATATCGCATTGTTAATCGATAAGTATTTAAGCATTTCTACCATATTGTGCAGCCCTCAGTTCGCTCAAATACAGTGTTGCATAGTCTAGTCCTTTTTTGGGTGAATGAGCGAACTGAGAAGAACGGAACCAAGTGGGCCACATTCAAATAATTATATAAAAATGTTGTAAGTTTTTTTTTTTTGGCTATTAATTATGTGTCAATTTTATTTTATTTTTACACAATCAAAATTGTAATAACTATATATATTTACTTAAGCTTTAGGTGCCGACTTAAATTAACCATTCTGCTCTATGCCATGCTGACATGTAACGAGAATAGAAATTGCGCATAAATCCAGCAACTAGCACTTGTATCGTTTTTTTTTTTTTTTTGGAAAGAAGTTAACATTTCTATGGGTAAGCACAAAATGCCTAAAAATCACTTATCCGAGTTTACCAAACACGAACAAATTAACATTCACATTCAAAAGAACAACTGCGCTTTGTGAACGAACGAAACTCGTTCGCATTGTAGTAATTCCGACAATTGAACCACAATTGTTCACAAGCTGCCCTAGACGACGATAGTGTTGTTTCTAAAGTATAAGTGTGTAAGTGCGTGCTGAGGGAATTTAACAAACTGAAATTACAATTGTCAAACCAAATAAGAACGTTTTTAGATCGAAAATAAGATAACAATACTAGCAGCAATATGCTGTGGTTTAATGTAAATGTAAGTATCGACTATTCGTTTTCTACTTAAGTGCAGTTACTTACACACATGCTGGCTGCATTGTGTGGCCTGTGGCAATCTCTTTTTTCTTTTTTCTTTTTGTTACACTTTTTTTGCGACTAAACGATTATTTTGATATTTCTTCGGCACTTTTGGTTTTTCTTTTCTTTTTTCACTTCGTGCTACAAAATTTGCCGTCGTGTGTACGATTGTGTGTGTAGTTGGTTTCGGGGAAAAAATGCGCAAAGGACCATTAAATGTATTGAAAATTAAGACTTGAGTTGGTAAAATAATTATGCTGTGCTGACTACTATTGCAAAATGCTGTTTATTATATATACATATGCATAGGCATATATACATATATATTCATATATATATATATATATATAAATATATATATATATATATATATATATATATATATACTTATATGTACCTGTATGTATGTACATTCAGCAGACATGCATATACTTCTGTGTGTTGATGTCCGACCAAAAAAGCATTTGTTGCCATTGCTTAAAATGCAACAACCAAATATTGTTGCCCATAGCTCTCTTGATATGCCATTGGCTTTCATACAGTACACAATCACAAGCAATCTGATACACACACTCGCATACACAATCATATATATATATATATATATATATATATATATATATATTTGTGTGTGTGTGTGTGTGTATGTACATATATTCAAACACAAACACACATCCAAATACACATACATTTGTTGCTACTCTTTTTCGGCGAATTCGCTTTCTGTTGTGGTTGCAGCTGCTGCGGCAGCGACCGCGGCGACGTCTACGACAACGACGACACCTAAGAGTTGCTGCAGTGCTATCGACATCGTAAATTAATAGAAATCATAAACAAGTTGCGGTTTACATAGTAACGCCTGCCACAATACGTCCTCCTTATTGCTTAGCGTATATTTGTCTATAAGTGATGCAGATACTAGTGGCATTCCCACAAATTATAAAATTAGTGCAGGTTAAGAAAAAAATTGTATTCGGTAACTTTTTGGAAGCCGCTATTTATTGATCTCATTAACTGCATAGAACTTCCTTTAAATGTGTCAAAGCTGTAATATAAACACTTGAAATTGGCCACAGGGACACGCACACACTCAAACATATGTACTTACACACATAGCAAGTGGGGCCAGATTTTTGATTGATGAGAGTTTGTATATTGAACAGCTGACGTTTATCGATAACATTTTCTCTGTGCATCGGCAGGTTGGAAAAGCAATTTTTATATTAGAAAGTGCATATTATTAAATAAATATATTTAGAATAATTTCTAAGCAGAGGTATAACCTTAATTGTTATGCGATCGCATGCACATTAATTTTTGAGTTATTTATTTATTTGTTCTTTGTTTTTCTTGTTGAAATTCGCTTTCAATTGCAAGTTGTTTGTGTTATTGTTGCAAGAAAGCAGCAAGCGAATTCAAGACGAATCATCGTTGGCGACGGCGACGACGTCGTCGTTTTCGCGTCGTAGGCCACAGCTGACAACTGACAACGGCGAGAGCGCAGCTAGTTTTCGCATTCATTTCATTTAGACGAACGACTGGTGTTTTTTTTTTTTTTTTTTTTTTTTTTTCATTTTTTAGTGCCAGTAAAAATCGCATTTTGTTTGTGTTTACAGTGCGTGCCTGAAGTGGATTCTTGGGAATTGTAGGGGGTTCTTGCTTTGCTGTTTTTCCTTCTGTCATTTGTTTTTTTATTTTTCATAGTAGCATTACAATTGACCAAATTTACCGAGTTGTGAAAACTGTCTAATTTTAATAATGCATTTTTACTTTTTGCAGTTTATTGAAGACTTTGACGTATAAAATTTGTACAATTCGATGCATAGCAATTAAAGGAGAAACGATATACTGAATTTTGAACGGATTATAATTATAATAAGTTACTAAGATTGAGAAGACAAAAAACGCAGCAACTTGATTGAACCAACAACATTCGCACGGCGGCGTCGGCAGCTAACGCAGCAGCAGGCGTCAGCCATGAAGGTGGATACCGTTAAACTGAAGAAGGGCTCTTCGGAGCTAACTTCAGAATGTCGCGAATTGATTGATGAATTGACCAAACGACGCACGCGTGCCGAATTGCTAGAATTTTTGGATACGGTGCATGTTTGGATTTATGGTAAATGTGAATTATATCATTGGATTGAAATATTGGATCGCTTCGATAAAATACTCGATGAGGCGGCTCGCCATGTTAATGGTAATGAGTTTGTGCTGCAGTGCGATACAACATTCATTGAAGCGGTAAGTCTTTAAAAGTTTTTAAAACTAAATATATATAAATACAAATATCGATATATATGTATATATTGTCCTCATATATCTGTATGCATATGTCGATCGATATTTATTTTAAACCCATCTCTAATTAACTTTATTTTGCAGGATGTAACTCTGCTGCTGCACGTACTCAATTTCACAACACTGCTCATCGAGCATTCATTCTCGCGCCATTTGTACAATTCAATTGAGCATTTGACGCAGCTTTTGTCGTCACAGAATATGGACATAGTGTTGGCCGTGCTCAATTTGCTTTACATGTTCTCTAAGCGAAGCAATTTCATTCCACGCTTACCGCTTGAGAAGAAAGAGTTGCTTATTGTCAAACTTTTCAATATCGCAGAGGTGCGCATAAAAACACAATTGAACAATCTAATTTATCGATAAATATTTACTAATCTGATTTTTTTTATCGACACTTGTAGCGTTGGGGCGATCCAAATTACGGACTATCGTTAAAGGACTGCTGCATTGGTGAGCCAAAGCTGGAGTTCCTTTATCAGCTGTGCATTGACTATGTCGATGAGCATGGCCATGCCGCACAGCTTGAAATACCAGACATGATGGATCTTTGCCAAACAGCGGCAGCACCAGAGGTTATCAAAACAATAGCCGGACAGATCTCAAAGCCCAGTGAGGCCATTAAGGTGCGTTTTAATTGCGATTCGAATTTATCAATATTTGAATTTGATTAATTTTCCCTTTTACAGATGCGCATTGCTCATCGAGTGCGCCTTATTTCTGGCTTCAACAATTATAAGTTGCGTTTGCAATTTGTGCAAGCACGCCTGCAAGCTGTATCCATATTGATATATTCGAATGCGCTTCAGGATAATACGGAAAAAGTGCTCTATCCTGGTTTCGGAGAAGAGTTATGCGAACTCATCGATAAGGAAGATGTGCATTTGGTGGAAATACGAGCCGCTGTGCTGCGCACGCTAACATCAATGCTTCACTTTGATCGAAATCCCAGTGTGCCCAGGTAAGAGATCGAATATCAAATACCAATTGGTTCGATAGCTAGCTAAAATGTGAATCATTTCACCATGTTTTCCAAACCATTTGTCATGCTTTTAATTTTTTTATTTTCAGAGCTGGTTCCCGTTTGATGAAAATAGTGCATTACACGGGTGCTGAGAGACAAGGCGGTACACTGCCTTTGCTTGTGCGCGATTGCATTGACAATTTAACCACACATGGCTTAACAGAACGTTATCCATTGATCTTAGCCACGTCGCTATTCTCGCTGCTTTACCATCTGGCCAGCTATGAGTTGGGCGGTTCGGCACTTGTCAAGAGCGGCATGATGCAATCACTGTTACGAGTCATTAGCTGGCCGGGGGTTGATCTGGAGCACATCACATTTGTGACACGCGCCGTACGTGTTATTGATCTAATTACCAACATCGACATTGCACGTTTCCATCAGAACAACGGTCTCAATGTCTTCATTGATCGTCTCGAGAAGGAGATCAAAAGCTGTTGTCGTGCTTTAGCCGAAATCGGTATCACATTGAAGGAGTCAACGCTGCGCGATGAGCACAGTCTCACAGATAAACTGGACAGCTCTCTCGAGCAGGCCGATGACGATGGTAAGATAAAAATAAATGGTCATTTATTTAATCGCAAAGCGCTAAGTTGATGTAAAAATTTCAGATGCTGCCACGGAGAATGCATCGGTGGCCAGTGGCAGCGCATCACCGCGCCGCGATAATTCGAGCAGCGATGGCAGCGGCAGTGCCAGTGATCATGCCCAGCGTGCCTATCGGGTCTATATGGAACATAGCGGTGGTGATCATCCTCGAGCTACTGGCGCTGGTACACCAGCCAGTTGGCTGGACATTGGATCTCGCGGTTCGGGTATACATGCGCTGAGCAGTCTTGCGGCTGCGGCCAGCAGTAGCAGTGATACAACTGGACGAGACAGACCTGTACAGTATCCAGCGAATAGCTATTATGCTCGACCACTTGCCGAGCGTAAAGCAGAGTTATCTTCACAGCTGCGCAGCAGTTTGCAGCCAAAGAAACCGTCCTGTGTGACACAGCGGGCGGCGTTGTTGAAATCAATGTTGAACTTCTTAAAGAAGAGCATACAGGATCATGCGCACTTTAGCAATATGCGAAACATTATGGAAACAAGCCTGACCCAATCGCTGCGACACATTATCGCCAACGCTGAGTATTATGGACCATCATTGTTTTTGCTGGCCACCGACGTGGTCACCGTTTATGTATTCAATGAGCCATCGTTATTGTCGTCGCTGCAGGATTTGGGCATAACCAGTGTAATGCTGAAGGCGTTACTGCAGAAGGATGTGCCGGCAACACGTGAGGTGCTTGGTTCGCTGCCAAATGTCTTCTCAGCGTTGTGCCTGAATGAGCGTGGACTCTTTGAGTTTCTATCGTATGATCCATTTGATAAGGTATTACGCGTGCTGCTCTCACCTGACTATTTGGTGGCTATGAGAAGGCGTCGCAGCTCGGATCCATTGGGTGACACGGCCACCAATTTGGGCAATGCCATGGATGATCTGATCAAGCATCATCCATATTTGCGTGCCGATGCAACCGAAGCGATTGTTCGTTTGCTCAACGAACTGGTACGCCTCGGCTCGGATCCCAGTTTCATATGCTGGCGCGCCAACAAGGACAACAGCGGTACAAGTGCCGCACACACGGCGGCGCCTTCGACACCATCGCCATCGGCCATGGTAATGGTGGCAGCTGGACCAGTACTGCAAAGTGCTGCTGATAACAACGACAGCAGCGGAGATGATGATGATGATGACGAGGAGATGAGTTCTGCGTCTCAGCAGCAGCAGCAGCAACAGCAACAACAGCAGCAACAAACGCGGGCCAATACACAACAGCCACCAGTTGCTGCAGGCCATCGGCAGCAACAGCAACCACAGCAGCAGCAACAACAACAGCAACAACAGCAGCCACAGCAACAACCACAGCAACAACAATTACAACAGCCACAACAACAACAACCACAGCAACAGCCCGAACGCGAGGCCATTCCACTAATCGATTATATCTTGAATGTAATGAAGTTCATTGAGGCAATCTTCAGCAACAGCCCAAATGGCGATCATTGCCGTGAATTTGTGCAAAAAGATGGCCTGACGCCGATATTACAGCTGTTATCGTTGCCCAATTTGCCAGTTGATTCGCCGGTGTCAACAACTTCGCAAGCTGTGGCCAATGTGTGCAAAGCGATCTTGAGCCAGGCGCAGGAGACGAAAGTGTTGGATGTGGCACTCAAGCAATTGGCCGATATTGTTGCACAATTGAAGCCATTGATCAAGCATTTCACGTTTCCCGGCGGCAGTGTGTTGCTTGCGGAGCTCGTGTGTTGTCAGCGTTTGGAGGATGGTTTCGCCAATGCCGAATACACGCCCATATTGCACAACATGAGCTTTGTCCACGGCTATGTGGTCATGCTGGTGCATCTCTGTCGCAACGCCTCCACTGAAATGCGAACTGTGCTGCTCAAGCGTTGGGGCGCCAACCGTGAGACGGGCGTACAGCTCTTGCAACAACTGGTCCAGTTGTATATATCGCTGGTATGGGAGAGCACAATATTATTGAATTTATGCTCGGATGAGCCCACCCAACATCCGGATCTCATATGGGATGAAATCGCTGCGCAAATGTCCGCAGCTGCCGGCACAGCGGATCCAATGACCGAAGCCGAATTGTCACGTAAATTGGAACGCGCTGCCGAATTCCGTACCAAATATACGCCCGAAGAACAATTCCGGTATATCAAATCGCTGTTGGCGGCCAGTTCGCGTCTGGGCCGTGCCTTGGCTGAATTGCTGGGCACACTGGTTAAGTTATCCGTGGGCTCACCACAGGCGCGTCAACGTCGCATCAATGACCTCATTAGCAACATTAATAAAGTTCCTACGCCGGAGGCACGCGAAATTGCTCGCATTCTCAGCTCCATATTGGTGAATGGATTCAGTCATGAGAGCATTTTGCCTAAGCCGGTGCCCAAGCTGAAGTTAACGTTTCTCATTTGCTCGGTTGGATTTACCGGTCCGATGCTGTTCGATGATAAGCGCAGCGCCTTCCATTTGATGATCTCACAGTTTTGCGCGGAGAATGGCTTGAAGGCATTCTTCGAGATGTTCTATTGGGCCTTGTCGCTCGATAATGTCTCACAGAAGTTTGTCTTCGATCAGTGGGCACCATTGGACGATCTAATGCAAACGCACGAGGATGATAAACGTGATTGTCCAGAGGGCACGGGTGAATTTCTCGATGCCTGGCTGCAATTGCTCGAGAAGATGGTGAACCCACGCGCAATGCTCGACTCGCCATACACGATGAGTCCACGGGTCAACTATATGCCAGACAGTGTGCCGTTCGAGCCGATATTCTATCTGATTCATATCCATCAATTGGCCATGCAGGCATTGCGTCGCATTTGGTGCCGGCGTCCCATACAGAACTATGGCACCAGCATGTTTGAGACGATTCTATTGATACTGAAACATTTGATCAAGTCGCATCAGATGCTGCTCGATCGTTATCATGCGCGCATGAAGGAGATCAAATTTGAGAATCTTTACATACGCAGCACGGACGATGGCCTCAATGCGGATCACATTAAAACGCTGACGGACATGGGCTTTCGACATTATCACATTATCGAAGCACTGCGGAGCAATGCCTCGTTGGAGGAGGCCACCGATTATCTGCTGAACAATCCGGAGGCCAGTGCTTTATCACACTCGGGACAAGGACAAACTGGAGCGGGTGCAAATACGGGTACGGGCACAGGAACTGGCACTGCCACTGGCACGGGAACTGGCACTGGCACTGGCACTGGCACTGGCACTGGGACAGCAACTGGCACTGGATCAACTCAAAGCCTATCGCAGGGCAGTTCGGCATCGAATGCTGCTGTTGCTGGTGATATGGACATTGATATGGAACTACCGGGCAGTGGCGGTGCAAATGCATCCACATCCAGTATGAACACAGATGCCGGCGCCGCAGCCACCGACGGTGGTGCAGCCGCAGCAGGTGGCGCTACGCCATCGCTATTAGTGGTCAAACCCACGGCCAGCAGCACAAGCGGCTATGATTATAGGCAATTGAAATTAATGCCACCTTTGTTGTTCGATCACTTCTGTGATGAGGCCGTATCGCGTGCCTTTGAGTTCATGGAGGCCATACCGGACACGGTGAATAGTGCCGCTGATCTTATAGCCGTGCTCTACAGGCGTCTCAATCAGCTGAATCGACAGGTGTTCGTCACCAATTTCGTGCGCAACATCATACAATGGGTGGACTTCACCCTGCAGCTATTCGAGCCGACAGCAGCTGCAGCCGGAGCGGGAGCAACGCCTGGCAGTAAGCCAGCACCGAAAGTTGGTCGCTTGGAGGAGTGTTTGACTGGAATGACAGCGACACGCCTGTTTGTACGCCTAAAGACGTCCACATTGTTGCTGGAGGAGAACTACAGTGATATGCATCGTCCACTGGTGGAGGCCATAACGGCGCAGGATGCGATGGTGTCCCTTGTTAAGCTGCTCGATTGCATGAGCCAATGGATGCTGGAGCAATCGCAGTTAGTGGACGGGCAAGCGCGTGCTACGGTGCCACGTTGGGTACAAAACCTGGTCGATCTCATTGACGCCATCGATAGCATCAGTCATATATTGCAGCGCAAATCGAATATGCGCGCGGTCAGCAGTGATCTGTGGCGGTGGTATGACGCCTCGACAGGCAAGTGGAATGCCTATTCGGAGGCCAACAATGAGCTAATACGCAGCGCCTATGCCGCTGGCGAACGTTGGCTTCACATCAATATTGGGCGGCAACGTTGCACCGTTAGCTTCAATTGCATGACCCAGGTGAGCGATGCATCTGGCAGCCATCGGCCCGTCTATCCAGCATTGAAGATTTGCGAAGCAATTAGCCATTTGCAAAACCCGATTGCGCCGCAAAAGATTGATAATGTCTTGAATCGTGTGGTGCGCACATCGCCCGACGGCAATGGCACCATACAGACCGATGAGCTCGTACCACTGCGTCAGCTGATCAATTTCAATGAGCCAGCAACAACAGCACCAGCAGCACCACAGCCGCCACCGACGCCGCCAGCGACAGCAGAGCCGCAGCAGCAGCAGCTGGATGGCGAGGAGGAGATGCCAGGAGCAGCTATAGTTGGAACAGCAACAACAGCAGCAGCATTAGCATCCAGTGATGATTTGAGTGGAAATCATTCACCGCCGCCAGCAATGACAACGCGAAGCAAGTCGCGTCAGAAGAGCGCTGCTGCGGCAGCTAAAGCAAAGGCTGCGGCAGCCGCAGCTGCCAGCAACAGTAGCGGCGGCAGCAGCAGCAGCAGTAGCCACAACACCACCAACAGCGGCACGACCATACCGAAGCGTACACAGAAAATTATACTAAACGAGGAGAACGTGGGTCTGAGCAAGTTCGATTGTGGCCGAATTATTGGCAGCATTGTGGCATTGTTGCAGCCAACACAGTTGCTGCACCACGAGACAAAGCTGTCGCTGTTGCGTCTGTGCGCGCGCTTGACCCGCAACTTTGAGAATGCCCAGGTGTTTATACGCTGCGGCGGCGTACGCATGCTGCTCCACTTGCAGCAATCTTGCAGCTTCATGGGCTTTCCCACCTATGCGATAATCATATTGCGACATGTCCTGGAGGCGCCACCAGTGCTGCAGGAGGCCATGGAACGGGTGCTGGGCATGCGCGCCGCTGGCATTGTGCCAGTGGGTCATCGTGATCTTATCTATGTGCTCACCCAGGTCTCGACAGCGGTGTCGCGTGATCCCAAAATCTTTGTGGCCGCCGCCAAGGAGATGCTCAAGGGCGAGTATATGATCAATGCGAATAGCACCAGCAATCTGATAGATGATGGTCGCGTCATGGTCAAGTCGAAGTTTGGCCAGCAGCCAGTAGCAACGACAACGGCCGCTGGCACAGCAGCCGCAACGACAGCGGCAGCGGCGACACAAAAAGAAGCCACGCCCAAGGATGACATTATCGATGATCCAATGGTGCAATCATCCATTGCAGTGCTCAAAGAGCTACTTCTCGCATTGGTGCAGCCCTGTTGTCATTATACCGCCAATGTGACCGAGCAGCAACAGCAAAACTCAGCTGCTGAGCTGCTGTTGCCCGACCAACCGCCAGGCACTACGGGTGGATCAATGGCAAATCCCGATGATGAGGTGAGTGTGGGCAGCAAGTTGTTGTTATTAAGTAAATGGGTCAGGGTAGCTCACAGTCGGGCAGCGCCGACAACAATGCTTCTTCTATACCACTTTTAATTGTCCGATATCGGTTTCGTTGCAGGACACAACGCCCACGGCAAAGAAAACAACTGGCTCAGCTACATCATCGACTGGTGGTGGCTCCACGTCAACAGGTAGCAGTTCGGATAAGTACGAGCCCTGCTGTTGCACCTGGCATATTCCGACCAGTGCGCATAGCCACAATAAGCCAACATTGTCGCGTGCCACACTGCTCAAGCTGTTGGCAGATACGACGCGCGCCTATCAGTCGCTGGTGCCACGGGTCCTGCTCTCGCATGTGTATGCGCCAGCGGACAGTCCGTTGATTGGCAGCGGATCGCAAACCTTTTTGGCCGTGCTGCTCGATCGGTTTCTGCCACTGACCCAGCGACAACATGTGCCCGAGGTGAGCACCATGGCACGCGTATTGCTATGCTCGCTCTCCGATTGCTATCAGCAGATGGGCGTGCAACAGCAGGTGGCCGAGGAGTTGCATGCGGCGGTGGCGCGTGCACTCGCCCAACCGGATTCAGCGGAGAAGCACACACGTCTGCAGGTGCTAATGAGCCTGTTCCCCAACCTGATCGAATCGCCCATGCTGTACGATAAGGTGCACATGCATCGGAATACAATGTATCGTGTGCTGTTGCGTCAGGGCGTCATGACTTACCTGACCAAGGTGGCCCAATATAAGGATCTATCCAATCACAATACGCTGAGCACATTGGGCGCCATCCTACGGCCCATGGAGATTCTGTTGCGCTTCAATGTGGCGACGACAACGCTTGGATCGAAACGGATACTGTTTGGCGGTGCCAGCTCGGGCGCCAATGGCAGCAACAACGGCAACAATAGCAATGCCAATGGCATGGGTGGTGGCAATACAGTTAGTGCGATCATCAATCGTCGTTTGTATCCGCGCCTAGCGGCACGCACCGCTGTCAACGCCGCCGTCGATCGCTCGAATGCGATGGGCGGCGAGCATGTGCTCCGGGATATCATACGGAATGTGCTGTCGGATCGTCGTCATGCGTTTGAGTTCATATTCAACTCGGATGAGATGGCTGTGGACTCGGAGGATTCGGCACCGCAAGCATCGTCCGGCTCTGGTGCTGGCAACAGTGGACCAGGGATCATTGGCAATCATAATGCGGCCGCCATTGATGTTGTCGATGAGCGCAGCAATGGCACAGAAGCCGCTGAACCACCGCCGCCGGCTGCTGCAGCTGGCGGCTCATCGGTGCGTCCGGTGCTCAATTTCGATCAACTCTGGGATGATTTCCTGCAATGCGAGGGTCTATTCTTGGCATCGCGCGGCGGTGGCAGTGGCAGCAGTGGCAACAGCAATGCCCCCGGCAATGCCAATGCCAATGGTGCCATAGGTCCTGGTGGTGCAGCTGCCGGTCAACAGAATGGCAGCAATGCCGCTAACCAAGCACTTGATGGCATCATAGGCACTGGCTCATTGGGCATCAGCTTAGCCGTTGGCAGCATCGGAGACCCACGTTTGCGTGGCAGCAGCAACTCGGATGTCGATGTTGACGGCAGCGGTGGTGCTGCCAGTGGCAATGCCAGCAGCAGCGCTGCCAATGATAATGGCCTAAGCGGCAATGGCGGTGGTAGCGGTGGCGTTGGCGGCGGTGGCAGCGACGGCGCCTCCACATCATCAGATACCGCTGGCGGCAATGGCAACACTGCCAGTGGTGCTGGTAGCGGTGGTGTTGGAAGTGCAAGCAGTGGTGGAGGACGTGGTGGTGGTGGTGGTGGCGGTCCACGCGGTGCTCGGGACATGAATGCATCGTTGTTGGGCGATGTTAGCTCAAGCGATTCCGATTCGGAGGCCTCGACGGAGAATGATGAACGCAATGCTGAGGAGGAGGACGATGACGATGATGATGAGGCCGCCGATGAGGAAGTGGATGAGCATAGTGAAACCGATGTGGACGAGGAGCGTCCGCGTCAATACATTGAAGTATTTGATCATATCTATGAGCCAGAATCATCAGAGACGGCATCAAATGATGCCGATGTCGATGCCGAGGACGATGACGAGGATGAGGATGATGACGATGACGACGATGACGACGAGGATGATGAGGACACACGAGCACGCAATGCCGATGACGCGGCTCTAATCGATGAAGTCCTCGCCCAAGTGAATGGCAGCGGCAATAGTTCGAGCACCTCAGCTGCAGCCAACTCCAATAATCGACCACGTCGCAGCGCCGCCATTGAGCCGAATGGTGGTGGCAGCAGTGCTGCCAACGACAACCGCATGGATGATTCGTCCCGTGATGCCAACGCCTATTTGTATGAACGTCTGGGCGGCGACAGCGGACATGGACATGGACGTAGCCATGGGCACGGCCATGGACATGGACATGGCCATGGACACGGCCATGGGCACTTGATGCCACAGCCACCATCCAATTTCCGTGTGCGCATGAATAGCTCGATTGCCCTGCCCCTGGACATAGATGTGAATGGCGGAGCGTCGTCGTCATCGGCGGCGGCAGCAGCTGCCGCTGGTGTTGGACGGAACAATTCGACTGCCAATTCGGTGGCAGCTGCATTGCGCTCCTCATCCGATTCGTGGATGGCGCCCGATTTTAATTTCATTGGCCGAGGTGGCGGCAGTGGTGGCACGGATGCCGCCAATGCGGGTGACGGCAATGTGAACGGATTTCTGCCGCCCGCCATGGTGCAAATGGAGCGCAATGCCGGCGGTGGTGCCAGTAACAATCAGAATATGAGCAACCTGCTCGACGAACAACCATCGGCAACACAAGCGGCTGCTGCCATCGGCACCGGTAATAGTGGCACCGGCAATGGTAGCGCTGGCGGTGGCTCCAATCCGGCTGCCTCTCATCCCAACAACAATTCCTCCTTGTGCAACAATGGTGTGCGACGTCGTCTCCTCTATCTGGATCAGCAGTACTGTGTGTGCATGCCAACGCATCAGAATCCGACCGAAGAGACGCAAATGGAGATGTTCACACAGGACGGTGAGTAGGACTTTGGGTAAATGCTTCACATTCAATTTACAATTATTGTTGTCACGCTGCAGCTCTTCACTGGTGGCTGGAGGAAGCCAAAGCCTTGGACATGGAAAGCCAAACCGACGCCTGTCTCTATGCGGCACACTTTCTGCTGCCGCATTTGATCAAGGAACTCAAATTGGCTCATCAGCAACGCAAACAGGAGGAGGCTAGTCGTGTGGCTACGGCAGCAGCTGCTGCGGCAGCCTTGGCTGCTGCTTCCTCGTCCTCCAATGCTGCGCCTGCTGCGGCAGCTACCACCCCAGCCGCTGAGCCAGGCGCAGCTGCTAATGCGAGTGCGAATGCCAGCGCAACAAGTGCTGCGGCAACAGCTGTGAACAACGTCAACAGTTGGCTGTCGAATTCGAATTCGACAACAACCAGCAGTAGCAACAGCACTAGCAGTTCCAGTGCAATTGCACCGCCACCACCACCACCTTCAACAGCGGCAACAGGAGCAGCAGCAGCAGCAGCAGCAGCAACGGCAACAGCTCCACCTGCTGCAACCAACAATTTCCGCAGTTCCATACCCAGACTGATTCCATCGATGCAATTCGTGAATGCCGCATCGCTGGCAACGGTGACAACGGCAAACACGCCCTATGGCAGTGGCATTGTTACCGCCAGCAACGCAGTACAGCCAACACTGGCAGCCGCCTTCAATAGCAGCAACAACAACAGCAACGCCAACAGCGGTAGCAACAATGCTGCCTATGCACCAGCAGCACCACCAGCACCAGCACCAGCACCAGCACCAGCAGCGGCAGCTGGTAAGTTTGTTCTATTTGTAATTGTATTTATAAATGAATACTATTATTACTCTTGATAGCTGGCAATGTTGAGCCACGTCGTCCACGACATCGCAACAATGGTGCTCGCCATCAAGCGCTCTATAATATCTACGCAGAAATCGATTTGACCAATGAACAGGATTCAACTGGTAGTGGGGGAGCGGGTAGTCCTCCACGTCAACAACAACAGCAACCACAACAACCGTCATCGCAGCCGCAACAGCAAGCACCACCTCAACTATTTCCCAGTGCGCAGGGCCCGTCGCCGGGTATTGGTGGTGGCAATGGTGCGATACCGCCATCGCATCCGCCACGTCATCCACCAGTGCCGCATCTGCCGTCCAGCGGGCGACCATCACGTACACGAACACGTGCTGAAGTTGCCGAGATCATGGAGTTCCAGGTATTAGCTATTTATAATTATATATATATATATATATTATATTTGTATGTTTGCTTTCCAGATGAACGAGCCACGCCCAGCCACCATGCGGCGTAACAACAACATCATTGCAAATTCATCGCGGACCACCGGCGCTTCGAATGCTCGGTCCAGTCGCGAGATGCCCGTTGCTCGTTTGCAGCGTGTCTCACTATCCGGACGCACCAATTCGGACGATGCAACTGGTTCCAACGATGATCAATGGCGCGATTCGCCTGTGCGCATGGCGAATGCTGATGTCATTTTCCCACTTGATATGGTGCCTGGTACGTTGAATTTCCCCGATCCACCGCCGCCGCCGCCGCCGCTACAACAACAACCACAACAAGAGCAGCAGCAGCAGCAGCAGCAACAGGAATCGCAAGAGCAAGAAGATGTGGAGCAGCAGGAATCAGACTCTGATCAGGATATCGTGCCAGACTTTTCTGGTGTCACAGATCCAACCACCCTGTATGCACCGCCCGCGCCAGCGGTATCCATATCGGAATTGGCCGCTCAGCTTATGGCCAACGATCAGCATGAAGAGGCCCGACAGATGCTGAGCACAGCACCGGAGCCGTATCATCAGCTTAATCGTGCAACTCTCTCCGCTGTGGCTGCAGCTGTTGTAGCTGCCGTTGAAGCAGATCCGTTGCCCGATTTGCCTGACTTGGAACCGCCCGAGTTGGATTTGGAGTTACGTACCCGCAGCGACCCGCCACCCGAAACGGATTCGAGCTCTGGCTTGGACTTTGCAACATCAACAACAGCCGAGGGAGAACCAGCGGCCAATAATGCGGAGGCTGATAGTATAGAAGAAGCTGCGGCTGGTGCTGCCAGTGCAGCTTCTTCAACAGCTTCTTCAACAGCTTCAGCTACAGCTACAGCTACAGCTACAACTGCAACTGCAACTGCAACTGCAACTGCAACTGCAACAACTACAACTACAGCAACTGGAGTTGGTGCTACAGCAAGCGCCGCCGTTGTCACCGACATGAGTCCAGAGGTGCGTGCCGCATTGGGTGATCTAGAGGTGCCCGAGGGTGTGGATCCCTCCTTCCTTGCCGCCTTGCCTAGCGAGATGCGCGAGGAGGTGATACAGGAGCATTTGCGTATGCAGCGCATACGCCAACGCGCCCAGCAGAATGCCATACAGATAGCGCACGATTCGCTGGTCGAAGTGAGCCCAGAATTTTTGGCAGCTTTGCCGCCCAATATACAATCGGAGGTGCTAATGCAGCAGCGTATCGAACAGCAGCGTCAGGCGGCGCAAAGCGCCAATCCCGATGATCCGGTCGATACGGCCGCATTCTTTCAGAATCTGCCCGACAATCTGCGTCAAGCTGTGAGTCGATACATATAGATGTCTGTAATTTTTACTTATATATATATATATATTCAATTTACGCACAGATATTAACAGATATGGAGGAGTCACAGATAGCAAGTTTGCCGCCGGAGCTGGCGGCTGAGGCACAGTTCCTGCGTCGTGACTGGGAGTCACGCAATGGCGCTCGCATGGATGCCCATCCACCCAGTAATGCGCTGTGTAAGTCTTCCAACAAGAATCTTGATAAATTGATCTAATCGGAGTGGTATCTATATAAATGTGACATATATATGTAGAAGGAGGCGTGGTCAACATACCAAGTTTAATTATTCAATATGATAATCAAACCTCATTTTGCCCATCTCGCTTTGCAGCCCGATTCCAGACCACGCTACAGAATCTGGATGAGGCGCGCTGGCACAGCGCCATTTGGTATGATGCCAGCGGAAATGCGCAGCCCCAACATCATCAGCATACGACAATTGTGCATCATCATCATATTGCACCGAGCACGGGGAAGCCTCTCGCACTGCTTATGATGGAGGATGAGAACATATTGCTGGATCCGGATTCGCTGGCCACGTTATTGCTGTTCCTGTTCGTAGAGGATCAGAAGGTGAATAGCGTGCGGTTGCATCGTGTGATACGGAACCTATGCCATCATGAGCCGACACGTGATTGGATCATCAAGGCCCTGATTAGCATTATACAAAAGACAAACGAGGACAATTCCAATTTCGGTGCTGCCAATTCGGGCAGCAAACCCGAATGGCTAAAGCTGCGCGTCGATGCCGCCTTTGGCTACAAGAGCAACATATTCCTAATCAATCGCATGTACGAGGGCAGCGCTCGCAGCATCAGCATCAATCCGCAGGCAGCCCAAATGATTGTGCGCAATTGCCTCGATTTGTTGTTTGTGCTGGCCAAGCATTATCCATTCAGTTTCTTGCCCTACAATCGTGAACCGAAGGCGCGTGCTCGCATGCTCAACGCTGTCTTTGGCATGCCCAATGCGAATCCAATGCCCCGTTTGGATGATGCGGCAAATGCTGCCAATTCAAGTGCGGCCAGTGGTGGTACCGGCGATTTGCGGTCCCGCTATCATCGCTATCAAATGGCTAATCGTCTGCGCGGCATTTTGGATGAACAGCAGCAGCATCAACAACTGCAGCTGCAGTTGCCCAAGGCACAGCCGCTGGATGAGGCGCCATCTACATCGAAAGCTGCTGCCGCCAAGGCAGCTGCCAGCGCCGCTAAACCACCACCATTTAACAACAACAATGATGGTAGTGGCGCCACCGTTGCCTATCAGACCAACGCGCACAGCTTTTGGGATGTGGTGCTGAATATTGATCGGCAGACGCCGCTGCGCTTGGCCAATGTGTCACAGTTTCCATTGACCTCACAGCCGGCCTGGAAGTGGCAGAGCAACAATAGCGAATTCTTATCATTTACCGATTCACCGTTTGGCCAGCTGCTCGAGATGTTGCCGTATAAAGTGATCTGTCGATCGCCGCATTTGACGGATATGCTGGTCAAGTTGTTGGCCTCCCTGAGCGTTGATTTGCCCAAGGAGGAGGAGCAGACGCAGTTGCAGCAGATACAGTTGCAACAACAGCAGCAGCAACAGCAACAGCAACAGCAACAACAACAACAACAACAACAGCAACAGTTGCAGCAACACCAACAACAGGATGAGCAAATGCCCCAACAGGATGAACAAATGTCAACGCAGCAGCACGATGAGCAATTGCCGCCATTGGTGCCACTTAGTCAATTTGCAGAGGAGATGCGCATTGCTTCCATCGCCACCAATGCCAATGCAACACAGGGCGAACAACTACGGCAACTGCCGCAGCTGGTTGCGCATGATGAAAACGATTCAGACGACACTGAGGACGAGCCGGAGGCGGATGCCGATGCGGATGATGATGAAGATGAAGACGTCGATGATGAGGAGGATGATGAAGATGATGATGACGATGTCGATGAGGATGAGGATGATGAGATGCCACTATCTAGCGGTGCAGTAGGCGGCGCTAAAATGCCAAAGCCACCGCCTCCAACACCAGCAACGCCCATTCAATCACATAAGCCACGTCGCAAAATCTATGCCAAGAACTTCTCCCAACTGCAGCTGGTGATCGAGGTGTTGACGCATCAATGCGGCACCACCGAGGGACTGGACAACGTAACGAAACTTATTGTGAATCTCACACAGTGCTCGCAGGCATCGAATGCCATATTCATACAGTACTTGACCGCCGCCATACTGGGCCTGGCCGAGGAGGTGCGTCAAGCTATTCAGACGCTGCTCAATGAGATTAGGGCCTACAACACACTTGGCCAACAGGTGGTGGATAGCAGCAAGCCTGGCACGAGCAGCACTGCCACCAGTAGCAGCACTAGCAACAACAACAACAACATCAACAACAACAAAAGCAGCGCCGTCAGTGGCAGCGGCAGCGGCAGCGGCAGTAATAACAACATTAATAACAATAGCAGCAGCAGTGGTAGCAGCGCCGCTTTGCTATCTAATTTAACCGTCCATGAGGGCACGATGCAGGATCGCTTCACATCCGAATCGGTCATCATATCGGCCCCAAAGAATGCCAAGCCAACCTGTGAACTGCAGTTGCCCTCGATGAAGAAGCTGATGTCGAATTCATCGGCTCAGCCTTATTTCCTGCGCACGTTGAAGATATTTATGCAGGTGCGCGATATGTACGAGGTGCAGAACAGTCAAAACGATGACACCGATGATATCATTGATATTATTGGCGATGCGGGCGCAACTACAACTACTGCTGCGGATAGTCTTGCCGCGGCTACGAGTGGTAGTGGCAGCAGCAGCAGTAGCAGCAGCATGGAAACCGATCAGAAGACATCAAGTGGCAATGGCAATGATGGCATTAACAATGGCTCAAAGAGTCCAGCTGCCAAGCCAACGCTTAGCCAAATTCTATGCCTGGACGTGCTGTGGCACACGTTGAGCGAGTGCCTGGTTGCTTTGGAGGAGTCCAAGGATGAGTTTGCTGTGTTGGTGCTGCAACCGACCGTTGAGGCCTTCTTTCTCATACACGCCTCGCATCGTGTTACACCGAAGAAGCCAGGGCGTGGTGGTGTTGGCAATGCAGCAGCTGCAGCTGCTGGCGGCGGCTCGGGATTGCGCGTTGTGCCGCACCCAGTGGCCGAGCATAGTAGTCCACAATTGGATGATACCAACAGCAGCAGCAACAGCAACAGCAGTCAAGCCCAGACATCAACCAGCTTTGAGGGTGTGTACAGCGTAAATGCAGTTTATATAACAACAATTTATCGATTATTTCTATTCTGTTTTCCCTTACAGATGAATCCCGCATGCAGGATGGCTCCACGTGCGCTGCTGCTGGACAGCAGGTGGCGCTAACCGCACACGAGGCCCAACTGAAACAGGACCGCCAAAAGTTTTTGCAATTCGCTGAGAAGCATCGCACGGTGCTTAATCAAATATTACGCCAGTCGGCGACACATCTATCCGATGGCCCGTTCGCCGTATTGGTCGATCATACGCGCATCCTAGACTTTGATGTCAAGCGTAAATATTTCCAAACCGAGCTGGAGCGACTGGATGAGGGCATACGCCGTGAAGAACATACAGTTAGTGTGCGGCGTATTACCGTCTTTGAGGATTCATTCCGAGTGCTTTATCGTCTGGGTCCCGAGGAATGGAAGAATCGCTTTTACATTGTATTCGAGGGTGAGCGACGACTGCGTGCTTTAAAGCTGGAAACTTAAATTTAATTGTTTTTATTTTGTTTTGTAGATGAGGAGGGCCAGGATGCTGGCGGCTTACTGCGTGAATGGTATGTGATAATATCGCGAGAGATCTTTAATCCCATGTATGCCTTGTTCTGCGTATCGCCGGGCGATCGCGTCACCTATATGATAAACCCATCGAGTCATGCGAACCCCAATCATTTGAGCTACTTTAAGTTTGTCGGTCGCGTCATAGGTACGTAATATGCTCTATCTTTCTCGCTCTCTTTCTTTCAATATGCTAATGTTATCTCTTTTGCTTTTTGGGCGCTTGCAGCCAAGGCCGTGCATGATAATAAGCTGCTGGAGTGCTATTTCACGCGCTCATTCTATAAGCACATTCTGGGCAAACAGGTGAAGCATACGGATATGGAGTCGCAAGATTACGAATTCTATAAGGGGCTGGATTATTTGATGAAAAATGATATATCAACGCTTGGCTATGAGTTAACCTTCTCGACGGAGGTGCAAGAGTTTGGCGTTACACAAATCCGTGATCTCAAGCCAAATGGACGCGACATTGCAGTCACCGAGGAAAATAAGTTTGAATATGTTCAACTCGTTTGCCAGCTGAAGATGAGCGGCTCCATACGTCAGCAGTGAGTAGTGGGAATCTAATTTCAATTAGTTGCGATAAAAGCCAAACCAAACTTGGTCTTTACCTTTACTCTTCGACTCATTGCAGATTGGACGCATTCCTTGAAGGCTTCTATGATATAATTCCAAAGCATTTAATATCCATATTTAACGAACAGGAATTAGAGCTTCTCATATCCGGCCTGCCGGATATTGATATTGAAGATCTAAAGGCAAACACTGAGTACCATAAGTACACATCCAAATCGGCACAGGTGCGCTAATATATAATTATAATATAGATTTATATTTAATAAGCGTGCTATATGCTTTATGTTATAGATTCAATGGTTCTGGCGCGCATTGCGTAGCTTCGATCAAGCGGACCGTGCGAAATTCCTACAGTTTGTCACCGGCACCTCGAAGGTACCGCTGCAAGGCTTCGGTTCCCTGGAGGGCATGAATGGCATACAAAAGTTCCAAATACATCGCGATGATCGTTCCACAGATCGTTTGCCTTGCGCGCACACCTGGTAAGTGTTCCTCAAACTGCATACACTTATCGATCTGTATGTATACTATTACTAATACTCGTCTGCTCTTACAGCTTTAACCAACTGGATCTGCCAATGTATAAGTCGTATGATAAGTTGCGCAGCTGTTTGCTCAAGGCCATACACGAGTGCTCCGAGGGCTTTGGATTTGCCTAAGCTGTGCCGTCCGAGAATACACACACAATAAGAAGAATCTAACTAAATAAACACACTCATACACATATACTCATACACTCATTCACAGACACATTCTCTCACACACGCACACACTCACTCAAATTCAAGAACTCCTACAACAAAAACAAACTGCGAAGAAAACTAATTAGAGAACAGCCACAACAAATGTGCTATAACAACAACAGCGACAACAACAACATATAAATATAGTACATATAGTTATATAGTATATATATATATATAAAAAAAAAAAACATGTTGAATTAATTATTAATTTTCGCGCGTATATTATACACAATACTTATATCTATATATAGTATATATAAATATATGCACACATATATATATTTATATATTTTCATAAATTTTCAAAAAGAATGAGGGCAAGGAATGAGCCGAAGATAAACAGTGAAAAAGAGGAAGCACACAAAGATAAAACGAGAGCGAGAGAGATAAACAAGTATATCAGTCAACATCAATGTATTCACAGCTGTTTTCTTAATTTTATAATTATTTTTTTTTTGCAACCCTATTTTTGAAAGAGTAAAACTAATGCGAAAACAAAAATTTAACTAATATATTTCTATTTTCTTAAGTCGAAGCATGTCCTCAAATGGATCGGTGTGAAACAAAGCAAATGCAAAACATGCACATTACGCTTTGATTCTTGTTTATATATATATATATATATATATATATATATATATATATATATATATATATATATATATATATATATATATATATATATATATATATATATATATATATATATATATATATATATATATATATATATCTATATATATATTATATATATATATATATATATATATATATATATATATATATATAACAAAACAAATAAAAATAAAAATTAAAAAAAAATACAAAAATGAATAAAAACTGCACGAGTAAGAAAAGGAAAGAAGAAAGGCATAGGTATTTGATATAACTATAAGTTTACGTTATGCACTTTATGTTTATCTTATGTTTAAACGATTAACAGAGAGCCTATGAAATGAAAAAGCTCATTGGCAAACTACATATATATATATATACATATATATATCTATACATATAAATGTATATATTAAAATAAATTTCAAAGAGCAGATAATTCGGTTGCAGACGTCTTGGGATTAATTTAAATGGGTAGTGCTGCCCCATCGCTTTAGGAAAAGGGTGCGCTTAACTAAGTGGCAGCACTGCGTAGAATCTTCGAGTTAGCAGAGCAGCTACCTAGGATCAGAAACTTATCGATAAATGAAGACGGTTTACAGAGTATGCAAGAATTAAAAATTTCATGTAAACATTGGCTTAGAGAAATAAAATATAATAATGGATGCGTATATGCGAAATGAGCTGACTGTTGACAGTGAGTTAACGTTAGATCAAGCTGTACACCATTCCACCAAACTGATCGTTTGGCTACTCGATTGTCTGGAACAAATGCAAGTGGAACAGCCAAAGCATCTGGAGCTCAGTCACACGGACATCGAGTGCATGTTTAAGGCGACATTATATTTATTTGAATGTCATGCACAGTATGGTGACAAACTGGTAGAGGCTGTGCTGCTACAATGTATTCAAGCGCATGCGATCATAAGACGCTTCTATAATAACTTAGAAGCAGATCGGACGCAATGCATTCAGGAGCTGTGCGCCAACATTATCAATGGTACACGCAACGGCCATACACATGCGCCACTGTTATATCAAATGCACAAAGCTTATGCAGAACTACAGCCAGCTTGGTCAACAATTAAGGATATGGATTGGTCAGCCATGGCCAGGAATAGAGCTAACAATACGACGTTGAATGCTGCAACAGCTGCCACATCAATTGGACTAAATGTCCATACGCTGCAAATGCGGCAATTGGTTCGACGCATATGTCGCCTAACAACAATGCAGGACATCAAAATAGCGCTTGCACGTTCCATGCAGCTCATCCGGAGCTGTGATCTCTGGCTGCAGCTATTCCGTGAGCCCAAAGAGAGTTTGCTGTACACTCGCTGCTATATGTTGCGTCAAATGATCTGTGATATGCTAAACGAGGGCAAAACAGCGTGCTCGGCCAGCGTTTGTTTTGTCCATCATATTTACGAATTTGTGGCCAGCGGCAATTGCTCCAATCTCTCGAGGCTCTACTGTTGGCTCATGCATGCGCGTTTCGCTACCGCCGTGGGCAGCTATTTACATGACTATTGGCAGCAACAGCAAGTTCTGCAGCTTTTACAGCAGGATGATATACCATGTTCCACAATGGAGCTGCCACTGGATGAGATGATCTACTTGACGCATTTGCTGCTCAAACCAAAATCGCCGTGTCGCAGTCAATTCTATGCGAAGTTGAAGTCGCTGCCGTCGCCAGTCCTCGCACAACTCATGGACTTGCTCAATAAAGTTGCCTACGTTTACAGCTAAATTGCAATTTTATCTCTACTTTCTTTAATTATTTGGCAAATATTCATGTTTATCGCTAATAATTTTTGTAACTTGTTCTCCCTTTTCGGCCAGAATTTCCTCAATGTTTCGCTTGCCATTGAGATCGGTGAACCAATTAAGATTGTCAGCAATTAGATGATGATTTGCACAGCCCTTACAGGTGACAATAACAACACCTTTATTATAGGCCACCTTTGATATGGTCTCCATATTTCGGCTCTGGCACACTTTGCACGTATAGATTAGCTGCATTTTGGTCTGCAGCTCTGCCAGTGGAATACTATTGCTAGCCACGCGATTGTTGTGGTCATCTTGCTAAAGTAGATGTTTATTTATATGTCAGTATAAGGCTCCATTCCATATATTTTAATATTTACATTTTTTGTTTCGAGTTTGTCGCTAAAGCAAGCGCGCTGGAGGCACGTGTATTTGTTATTTGGTAAAGCAGTCACAGCCAGCAAATGGTATTGACGTTGAGCATAATTGTGTGCAGGACATAACAAACGCGTCGCACCTGTTATATGGCATCTACCAGCGTGGGCATACAATTTGTACATTAATTTGAAGGTGCTCATTATGGCTGTTGTGATATAAACAATGAATACGAAATCAGAGCTAATTATATCGATAAGATTAGACATTTGCAAACACTGGATTATGCTTTAATTTAAGGCGCCAACATTTAAAAAGTCTGTGTTGAGTAAATAACATGACAGAGCTAAACAGACATATGTTTAAGAATACGATGCATTTGATTTATATAAATGTGTTATGTCTTATAACATACAGTTGTAACAACAATAAATGCATTTCATATTTAAAAAACAATACCAAATATTATCGATAAAATTATACATTAACAAGAGCTGTACCATAGGCATCGATTTAAAAACGCTGTTACAAAGTCATAAGACTACACACAAAATGAATATCTGACATTAATAATAGGAAATATTTTATTTTACAAGCAAGTTGCATATTTTTAATTGTTCCTTAGCTGGGACGACTAATTGTTTACAATAGTTCTTGCTTACGACCGAGGAATACTGGCTCTGCTAACAGCAGTACTTGTTAAATACTTGTTGCAATTAATCGTTATCAATAGTTATCGCTCGTCACATCACTAATCATTAGTCTTTCTAGAGTTTTCAGCTGACAACGACACACGTCTCGAACAAAGAATTACAAGTCAAACGATTTTAATTATTTTGAAAAGCAAGTCAACAAAAACTAGTCGAAGTTTTAATAAAAATTCAATCCCACTATGGATTTCGGTGCATTGTTGCACTTTGCCAAAAAGAACAACGATGCAGCCACAAAAGAAGAGGTTGGTTTACAAACTGTTTTCGCTTTACAAATAGAAACTTTTCAAATACGGGTAAGATGCATATAGCTAGTGATAATGACAAGCAATGGTAAACAACGTATGGATACGCATGGGTCGAAGGTACAACAACAACTGCGAATTGCTGCAATATGTTTATGTTTAATAAATGCATTTCGATCATACAATTGGGTCAATGATGACAAAAAAAAAACTAGCCTTTCGTGGGTGGTGGGGCAGGCGGTAGGCGTCACCAAAATAAAAAATTCAATCTCAACAAGTGGCTAACAGTGTTGTTTTTTGCTTATGCCATTCAAGCAGGGCAAATACTATAGCACAAAGTATGCACCGCCCAAAAAGGAGAGCAAGGAGAGCAAACAGCTGTCGAGCAACATACAGAAGTTCCTGAAGAAGCGTGAAGCGGAGGAGGCCGAACGCAAGCGACAGGAGCGCGAGAAACTGAACAGTTTGCTGGCGATGCGTGACGAGAAGTCAAAGAACAAGATACGTAAAATGTTAAAAGTAACGAAGTCAGCTAACAAATCGGTACTGGAGGATGCCAAGGACTGTGATAATTCTGCACTGGACGGTGCTGATCAGCCGGAGGGCGATGATTATGGCTACGTGTCGACAGAGGCGAACGCCTTCTATCAGAAATATATTGAGAAGGTGAAGGATGTGCAGGAGGATAAGGGCTTTGCGCCCAGCCGGCCACAATCTCTGCGAGATCTGTCCGGGACCAAGGAGCGTGTCAAGGCGGCGATTACACGCGAGCGTGAGGAAGCCAAAACGCATACGAGGCAACGCATTAGCCATGCGACACCGCGCAGCGACAAGGAGTCGCCGGTGGTGCGTGCCTACAGTACTGGGGACAAAAAGCTCTACGATCCAGAGGCCGAGCGACGAGACGAGGAGCGCAAGAAGCGCGAGGAGGAGCAGAAAAAGGCCAAGGTCAAGCGGCCGCCACAACCGCCGCCCATGGACTTTCAGGCGCTGCTACGTCTGGCTGAAAAGAAACAGCACGAGCCCGTCAATATTGCCATCCCAGAGAAGAAGAAGGAGCCGGAACGGTTGCTCTCTGCGCGCGAGAAACGTGAGCAGGAGGAGCGACAGCGTTGGAAGGAGCAGCGGGCACAACGCGATCGACAACGTGAAACGGAAGCCAAGGCCAAGGAGCAGCGTAAAGAGAATGGCGCCAGCCAAGCAGCTCGCATGGCGCCCAATGGACGAATACCAAAGCTGAACAAAGCGCCCACAGCGACGGCTGTTGCTGCCGCTGCAGCTTCTGCTCCTCCTGCTGCTGCTACTGCTGCCAGTGAATCCAAAGTCAAACATACTAGTGATAGCCTCAAGAGGCCAGCGCCAACAGCGCCCAGCAGCTCCAGCGCCAAAGTCAGCGCAAGTACAAAGACAACAAATGGCAGCAGCAGCAGCAGCAGCAACAACAGTGCCAAGCGACCGCCAGCAGCTGCCGCTGCTGTTGCTGCTACACCTACACCTACTACTGCCAAGAGCAGCGGAACTGTGCAATCTCGTAATCCCTATGCGGCAGCCAATAAGAGTGGAGCGACACGCGAATTTCCGCCAAGAGAGCCATCCAAAACGCGTGCATTTCCACCGGCGGATGTACACCGTACGGCGCAACGTAAGGCAGTCGGCTCAGGAGGAGCCAGTGGAGGCGGAGGAGCTGCGGCGTCGGCACGCCGCCCAGCCTCAACCGCTGGTGCGGGGCGCAAGCCAGTGGAAGCGAGCAACAAAAGTGAGTGCCGCTAGAAGACTTAGAAGCTGTTGTATCATTTATGTATATGTATATATATATATATATATATATATATATATATATATATATATATATCTAGATATATCTATATATATATGCCAATATATTCAGATATATATATATAGATATATATATCTTATTTGATTGTAGTTAATCATAAATCACAAAGCTCGAAATTCATCTTTGATTTGTTAATTTTTGATTTGAGGCTGTGCTTAATTTTAATTACAATTAATTAACTATGTAGTTTATTTATTGTCTTGTTCTTGTTTAACTTTAGTTTAAGCTGGTAAAGTCGGTATAAGTATAACTATAAGCTAAGTCCTTTAACTATGATCTACGTATATATTATTAATATTAATTATATATGCATATATTTTTCTAGGACGCATTTACGATGATGATGATTCGGAATATGACTCCGAATTGGACGACTTCATCGATGATGGCGACTGCAACGAGGATATATCATCGCATATACGCGATATCTTTGGCTATGATAAGCGGCGATATCGCGATCTCGACGAAGACGACGCTCAAATGGAGTCCAGCTTTGCTCAGGTGCAGCGCGAGGAGTTTATTAGTAAGAAATTAGGTAAGTATGAACATAGATATGGGTATGTAGCTCCAGAAAGTCAGATCTAACTTGTCTTCTTCTGCTGCTGCAGGTTTACAGGAAGATCTGGAGGATATGCGTATGGAGGCGTTGCATAAAAAGCGAAAAATGGCCAAAAAACGTTCGTCACGCATCGATGACTAAGAAGAAACGCCTTAAAACTTAACAAGAACTCATGTCTGTGCAGCGGCTGCAACTGTGGAGGAGCCTCCGCATCTTGCCGCCACCCCATCATCTTAGACACGCCTTCGAATGCCCCCGCTCAATTTGGAACTGGTGCTCTGGACTTCCACCTAGGCTTACAATTTATTTTGTGCAGGCGTCGGTTTTTTATTAACTTTCCTTGTTAACTTTTTTAATTTAATTAATTAATTCTTGTTTGTCTTCTTCTTACTTTTTTGTTTTAATACCTTAAATCGGAGCCGTAGCTTAGTGGAAGTAAGACCAAAATTTATATACAAAAAAAAAGAAAAGGAGACTAGAATGTAAATATCAATGTCATATTTTTGCTAAGCCACTCAAATCTATTGTATATTTACAGTCCAATTGAATATCTCAATTTGTTTTTTATACATTTATGAATCCCGTTCAAACATATAAATGTAAACTGTTCCTACATACGAGTTTATATAGACGGTGACATGGAAAGCCTTTTTTGCTACTACAAATGCTGTAAACAGTGTATATATAGTATATAGTCTATATCATATATATGTATGTGATATGTATACATGATCAATGTCAAACAAAACTGCACTTTATTTAAGGCTCTTTAGCTGGATAGGAAACTCATAGACTTTACTAGGACCTTGCTCCATATTAGAGTTCACGGCTAGTAAAGCGAGTATATTGGGTTTTGGGCAATCTGTGCCTGTCTTTTATAGCAACAATTGGGTATATAAAGTTATGCGTCTCCCTCAACATAATCTGCAAATAACTAGAGCCTTATTGAAGTGATTTATATACTCAAGGATAACATATATATAGTCCACATAGCTACGTCCATTGAGGTCTTTATTAATGGGGTAAGACTGTATCAGCTATAACCCCTAGCAACTAAGTTTCTCTTGAACTCTGCCACAAGTTTTTATATATGTATATAGACAATAAGTCTTATTAATCATTTATAGAGCCCAGGGTCACTGTGGATCTTATCAGCTTGTAGAATTATCAGTTTTGTGGCCTATATTGAGGGTGTGGCAAATCCGAAATAAAGATCTATATCGTATCAAATTTTGCATTATATTCATATATCTATAGACTCGAAATCTTCTGTCTATATATCTTGATTTTGCTATATCTTTGGAGGCAATTCTCTTTAGACTCTGTTCCTAGTTAATTTTCTATTTTCTCTCTCTTTCTACCTTTCTCTGGCTCCATCTCTTTCGTTCTCAGGTTCTTTCTCGCCCTCGGCGTGTCTTTGCCTCTCTCTCTCTCTCATTTATACGACTATCATACCCTGTTAAGACCCGCTCTTATCTCACTGCGGATTGTCTTTTCGCTTAAGTTTTCACCTCAACTTGGACAACCCCCCTTGACCTCAGTGAATACATATGTAAAAGTTATAAAATTTCAATTTGAGTCCATAAATACCAAAGGTTATACAATGTATTTCGAAATTGTAGTTAAAAATAGATTTAGTTAATATAAAGCGGTAAACTAACGTAGATACATGATGACACTGCAGTTGTCCGTGTGTATGAGTGTGTGTATATGAGTGTGTGTATATGAGTGTGTATATGGGTGTGTATATGTGTGTGTGTGTATGTGTGTGTGTCTGCTTTATGTTGAGATCTCGGTTCAGTTAGCATTGGAGAGCTCAACGACAACGGCACTGCCAATGCGTCGGTGATCGCACACGGGTTCTGGCTCCGCATCCATATATCCGATGGCCGTCAAAGCGGAATAGGCTTTATTCTTGGCGAGAAAGTGGACTTTGTGACCGAGATTGAGCAAATAATTGATAGTATGATTGGGCACCTCCGGCTCCGAGTCGATCACCATGGGCGCTAACTGGTGATGCAATCGGCCACCATTGACCGCCTCCTGGAGAGGTTCGCGCAGCACAAAATAGTGGAGTATCGCTTGTGCCACTGAGGTGGTTATTTTTGAGCCACCGGCACCGCCCACCACCAGAGCCACATTGCCGGCATCGTCGAGTACGATGCTGGGGCAAGTGGAGGACATTGGACGTTTGCCGGGCTTTATGTAATTGGCCGGACTGGCGGGTATATTGAATGCATTCACGTAGCCCGGCGTCGAGAAGTCATCCATCTCATCGTTTAGTATGATGCCCGTTTGTCGGGACCGTACCTTTGCACCCAAGTGCCCATTGATCGTGCTGGTCACCGAGATGGCATCGCCATTGGGTGCCAGCACCGAGATGTGCGCAGTGCCATGATCTTCCACATTGCTGAAGTTGGCCCCATAGTAGGACATATCTTCGAACGTTCGATCGTCCAAGATGAGCTTGCGAATCTCGGCCGCAAATTTCGGATCGATTAGGTCTTCATAGATCTCCCGCACCGAGGGCTCAAAGTGTATGTCACCCAAATTCGTACGATGACCATAAGCATGCTTAAACGTCTCAATTAACCGATGCCAATACTTGTCTCTGCTGCTCACATACATCGGTTCCATGACGTTCAAGATGAAAGTCAATACCGCACCGCTGCTGGGCAATGGCGACGTAAATAGCTCATGGCCATTGTCGAAGCGTGCGCGTAAAGGCTTCTCCCAGCGTACACTACAGTGAAAAGAAAATACTTATTTATAATACAGTATATTCATAACTGTTTTAGATGCAAATCGAAAATTAAAATGTACGCGCCTATCTGGCAACGTCACTTGAACTTATCGATAAGTTCCTACAAGCAAGTAATGAAAAATTTCCCATTAATATATTGTGCATCATTTTCTATCGATATTTTTTTAAGCGAATCTCTAAATATTGTTGTCTACCGACGCTTATGTAAGATCGAACTCACTCGTAATCCATTAGATCCTGTTCGGTAATAATGCCGCCCATAGCCCTTATATCCTCAGTGAGCATACGACCAATGCGACCGCCACCATAAATGACTTCCGGCCCTTCGATGGCAACAATTTCCAGGGTATTAGCTAGTGTGCGTCGATACATAATCTCGCCCTCCTTGTATGGGTTATTGGTTTCTGGATTGATAAAGATCTCCGACATAGAGATCTCATTGCGTATATGCTCCTCGTGGTTGGCCAAAACACCAGCCAAATAGCGCGAGACTAAAATTCCACGTCGGCACATCTCGATAGTCGGCTCAAAAAGTCGCTCCCAGGGCAGCCTGCCGTATTTCTTGTGCAGTTTCCAGTAGCCATAGATCTCGCTGGGCACACCACTTGAAAGTGCACCAGCGATATTCTCCTGGCCAACGAACATGTCTTCAGTGGCTGCAGCTGGCGCCGTTTCTCGCGCAATCAGCGCCTCCATGTTGCCTGTTTCCTTGGTGTAAATGGTGGCAATGAAGCCACCGCCTACGCCCAGGCTGTGTGGCAGAACTACGCCCTCGCACAGCATTGTGGCAATGGCTGCATCCGCTGCCGAGCCACCCTCATCCAATATATTGCCACCAATCTCGGCACAGCCAACGCCATTGGAGGCTACGGCACCAATGCGCCGTCGCTCCGTCTCATTGCTCAGCCCAAAGATCAGGCCCAACGTGAGACCCGCAATCGTCAGCACCAGAAGTATCCAAACGACGGCATACTGCTTGCAGCAATTCCTGATCGAATGGTGAATCAAGATTTGGGATTGAATTAGAGATTGCACATAAATAACTATTTATATGATATGATACGATGTGATTGATATGTGATATGATGTAATATGATGGGATATGATGAGATATAATGTCATCTGATGTGGGTTGTGGCATATGATATATAAACAAGATGTTTAATATTATGCTCGTTCACGAATTGAGAAGAGAGCATATTCATTCATGTCTGTACACTCTCTCCACTCTATCCAGTGTGGTAAATTAGAGGTCGAAGACATATATAAGCCTTGTTTTATAGAAGTTCTGCAACTATTCACTCTTTACATGGTAGAGCTATAAATGACTTGGGTATATAAAGTTCATTCATTTGCTTTTGTTTTGGATCATAGACGGCTATAATGATGTCGATTTAATTGCTCTTTCACTATACTTCTTTATACGAAACACATACACACACACACAAGTATACAAAATTTTTGTCTCATTTTCACTTACGACATTTTCTGTGTATTTATTTTATGCAATTTTATATTTTATTTTAATTCTTAAAATATCACTTAAAATTTTTTTGAAAAATATGTTTAAAATTGTGCGATTTACGCCAATTCGCTGCTTAGTTTATAATGATAAAATAATGCGAGCAAGGGCCTTTATATAGAGCCCGAAATATATTATTGAAGTCCATTTTCTCCGAAGATAACAACAGTAATTTCGAGACTCTTGAAAAGCAAGAAAGTTGTTGGTAGGCTGACTAACTGAACCGAAATGAAGTTTTCCCGCCGAAGGCGTAAATACTAGATATTTTTATAAAATCCGTGCTATATTGAAAGAAAGAAAGATAGCGAGAGATATATATGTTTATCTCTTTGCCGATAAGGCGTAAGCCCAAAGTTAAGGCCAACTTTGATTTGGTTATTGAAATTATTCGTTAATCGGTTCACGGTTAAATTGTCTGGCAGCATTCCATTAGTATTACAAATCAGCATACATATATATTTTTAGTGAATATCAGGATTCGGCTTTTGATAAGACAGCTGGCGTTCGAAATTAATTAGTTTCTTAGCTATTTGAAGACAAACAAACACAGGTGATAGCATTAACTTTATCTTTGAACGCTGTCTGCGTTTATTTTTAATTTAGTTATTTTCGTTTCAAATTTTAACAAGGTTTTCGTTACAGAAACTAGTTAATTCAGTTTAAATTGAAACCGTTACTACTAAATATGATACAATATTACTTTTCATTTACCAGCACTGTCTGCGTGGGTGGTGGGCCGATCAGTCAACTGCATAGATTATTTGTAATCGATAGTTCCAAACGTGCACCACCAAGAGGGACATTTGAAATTCTAAGTAAAATAAACTTAATAATAATTTAATAAGAAGAGACGATCTCAGATACTTTGAAATACTGAAAATTATTAATGTTACTTTAATATAATAAATATCAAAATGTATTTTGTATTTTTATTATAGTGCATATTTCTTATTTATACTTTTTTATTAAATTCTTACATTTACGCAAAAATTTTCGTAGCAACAAACCTGTGCAAAATAAACCACAATGTTCAATATCAAAGGTAGTTCGATGCTAATCATATTATTTGCCATTGCAAATTTTTGCATTGTCTTAATTTCATTTAAACTTTAAGTTATATTTTCGAAAATATTACAAAATTAAAAACTAATCGATATAATTGTCGTAGCCAGTGCTTAAAAACACATGCCCATTATAGTATCTTAGCGTCGCGCGTACTTATCGATAGATATTCGACACATCGGTGTAATTTTACCATCTCTAATCCAAATGCATACATATGTATATGCAAATGTCTTCTCATCTGCTCGTATGTGTTGTCGGTTGTATGTGTGTGCGAAGTTATTTTTTTTACGAAGCGAAATCTAATTGGAATTAAATAATAAAACGTGAAATGGCATATGAAACAATATAAAAGTTGAACCGCGCGTCGGTCGATCCCAAAAAAGGATCTGCATATGTAAGTGCGATTGCGGAATGGACAGGGGCGCAGTCACATCAACAACAACAACAGCAGGAGCGGCGCTGCCACCAAAATTGCATATGTATGTGTGTGTGCGTGTGTTTGCGTGCGCATGAAAACTGAACAAAATGAATGCGTCTGCGCCTCCAACGTAGCTGATGGAGATGCACAACAACTTTATGGCCTTGGCTAAGACTAAAACTAAAAACAAGAAAGAAAAAAATTATAAATGATGTATCTCCCGTTGCAGTTGCACACAGACACAGCATACAAACGCATAAGAAAGGGCAGCGTAGCAGCAACAACAACTCGCAACCAAACATACACACAAACGCAAACACATGTACAACTACAATTACAAGTGCAGCAGCACAGGCAAAGCATAAGAACAAAACAGAAACCGAAACACAAACACAAAACTGAAACTGAAAACCTTTCAAAAGTCGTGATGCACTCGCTGCTGCTGCTATTGTTGTTGTTGGTTTTGTGTTGTTGTTTTCGGGTTGTTGTTGCCGTTGATGATTCGTTGACTACGGCTACTGTTGTTTTTGTTGTTGATCCAGGATGCAGAGAGAGCGCGCATTTGCTCTCCTGCATGCAGTCACACATATACACACATCCCCATATACACGCAAACATGCATTCGCTCACTCCCTTACTTACATACAACAACACACACACCTTTACAGGCAGGCCAGGGCGACGCAACGCAACGCAACGTAACGTAACGCACAACTGGCGCTTCTTACATAAAAAGCTCAAGCCGTAGTTAAAGCTTTCGCTCTCACCAAAGTAAGCAGCGCAGCAGCAGCAGCCGTAGCAGTTACAGCAATCACCAAGGGGGGAACAGCTGGTGCAGCAGCTGCTGGCCGCCGACGCTGTAAAATGAGCGTTTTCGATGATTTTCAACGCTTGTGGATGCAACGGTTTCCACAAAGCTCCCTATCCGATGATTGGGAGCAGGATGTGCGCGGCAGTCTCGAACGGCATAAACAAAAAATAACAGAGTTAAGTAAAGAGTTGGAACAGGAGACGCTCTACGTCGAGTATTTGGAACGTCTGCTCTCCGATGTTGAGAAATATCGTGAATCTGGCGGTGATCCGACAGCGCTATTCGAATCAGCCACCGGCAATCCGGCGGCATCGCAACAATCACCCAGCAGCAGTGGCGTCGGCGTCGCTGCCAATGGCGCAACTGCAGGCCCAGGCGCTGGCGTGGACAAAGACTACGTAAGTATTTGTAATGCTCTTTAAATATATACAACACATATTTATTTATATATATAAATATATAGATGCATATGTTTTGTTCTTATTATTGTTTATTAATACTATTATTATTTGTATTGTCATTGTTATCAATTTTGTTGTTGTTGTTGTTGTTGTTTGATCTTGCAGTAAGAGTTGCGTCTGCTGATTGCGTTAACCGTTAGCATTCACCAGGCGCACAGCAATTGCCAAATGTGGGCGGACTGGGCACCCTGTGCTCAGCCATTCATTGGCCGTTAGCCTCTTATCAGCCGTTATCAGCTCAGCTAGCGCAGCTGTTGAGCAGCATTGTCGTATTGACTCAGCCATTGACACCAATGAAAGCCCCTGTAATTGTAATATGTTAACTGGTTAGCTAGGCTAGCGCCCAATTGTACAACAGCTTTACACCTATTTGGAACTGCTGAATTGTGAATTGTGGCTTATGGATGGTTTTAGCCAGTTTTATACCAAGTCGGAACTAGTTCTTTTCTATCTCATATAATTGTAATTCTGAGTGATTGGCTATAGAGTTCCTACTGATTCAGCCGTTAACTTCACTTGAACTGGCCTTTGTTCTTGGGTGGAACTAGTTCACTCTGCGGATTGGAATTGTGTTGCGGTTATCTAGGCATCTGCTGCTTTAAATGATATTCAACAGTTTCCGCTGATGACGCTGTCTGTCTCACACTTCGCTCCTGCAGCCCCTCCCCTTTGTGTCTCAGTGTGTGTGTGCGTACCGTACCACTGTACGGACGACTCAGACCGTTCGTGTAACTACGTACGTCGGTTCTACCACTTCGATATCTTTAATTTTGCCCGTTATCTACGCACACACGCTCATCCATTTGTTCTATTCATGTTGTCTGTGTGAATGAGCTTTTTTTTGTATTTCTTTCGGTTTTGCGCGCCGTCGTCGTCGTCGCTGACTTCGACTGATTCTGACACCCGGAGCAGCCGCCGACAACGCCGCGAGTCGCCGCCAGTCGGCAGTAGTCACTAGATTCGGTGAATAACAACACCCAAAAGCGGGCCCAACGTTAAGCGGTCAGTGTTGTATCCATCCATCCATCCAGGTGGTGTATAGACCCATTCCCACACACACGCTCACCACCTGCGCACACACCCGCATACTCCACACTCCGCCCCATAGACCCAGCCGCAATCAACGCCGCCAACGCGGGCTACGCATACGAAGTAACAAAGAACTGAACTGCGTTGAACTGAAGTTCTATGCAATCTGTCTGCATATGCATAATAAAAAGAGTTCAATTTCCCTTGAAACACAGTTTGAAGTGCGAAAATTACGTAAAGAAAATAATTCCAACGGTATAAAGTGCGAGTGTTTTTGGGCCTAAACCGTAATTTTGGGCGTGCGTGTGTGTAGTTTTTTTTATATTATTTTTTAACGTGTTCGTTTGGCTCAAATTTCGTGGTCAACTTCAACGCCAACGTCTGCGTCGCAGTTGCCGTCAGCGTCAGCGTCGTCGTCGTCGTCGTCGTCGTCGTCGTAGTCACCGACGCAATCACCGTAGTCGTTTAGCCTTAAATTTGCAGTTCTTGTTGTTGTTGCAGCCAGCCAGCCGCAGGGCGGAGCTCGGCTATCAATTGCTTCCCCTCGTCTCGTGTCGTGCATCGCGTCGTGCTGCGTTGCTTCGCCTTTGCAATTGCAATTGCGTGGGCTACACACCAACAGCAACAACAATAACAGAAAGCGAGAGAACGTCTGTTTGCGAAAGAGAGTGGAAGAAGCGAAAACAGTGGCGCTGCTGCTGCTGCTGACGGCGCTGCTGTAAGGAGCATGTCTTCCTTCAAAGAGAAGTTCAAATTATGGACCAGAGGGGTGCGTATTCAGCCAGCGTACAAAGCGTATATATATATATATATATATATAAATGTATATATGTTTCAGTGTCAGTGTCTACTGCAACAACAAAGCAAAATGAATTTGTTGTATTTATCACAAGTTAAAATCAATAAACTTATCGCACTCACACAAAAGCACAAATTATGGGACTTGAAATAAAAACAAAACCGATATTTTCTTGAGTGGACTACTAAAAAATACCCTGTAGTGCCAATCATTCCATTTATTTGTGCTATTTTCTTGAGCAGAACAAAGTCACATGAAAATGTATTTCTTTTTTTCACGATTTTTTAACCAATATTTAAGCTTTAAAGCTGCTCTCAAGTTAATTATTAAAACCGTGAGATATACCTAATCTGAAAATATTCGTGGATCATATGAAACAACTTACTCTTTACTCTACATTTTAAATGGTATCAAGTAGCTATGTAACTAAGAACCCGTTAAGAGACTAAAGCAAAAACCGTAAAGTGAAACACTTCAAAACGCACGCACACATATTCATAAGTATGTATGTATGTATGCACACACACACACATATGTGCATATACATATCTGTTTGTTCGCAGCGCCCTTCTTTTACAGTTCTCTTTAGGCCCACAACAACGTCGACGTCCACTACAAATCCAAATCTCTGCGCCATTCTTCGCATTGATAAGCAGCTTGTGTGGTATCAGTAAAAGCGCCTGAACCAAGGCAGCGACTCACTAGACCTTAGTAAAGTGCACTGCAAAAGCGAATCGAAGAAAATGAGGGAGAATGAGACAGAAATAGAGAAAGAGAGAAATACTTGGCTGTAGCATATTTTAGACGGAAAACATCTGTAGCGATTGGTGTTTGATTAAAAACTTTTGATTAGCAAAGGTATTTTTACCTCCCCCCCAAGTAAAATGGCTTAATCAATTTTGTTTTAATGTCGCACATAACAAAAACAAGTCCCACTAGCCATTTGACAAATCGAATTTATTACATTTTTACGTTGGAAATAAATACTTCAAGTTGTGCAATGTTTTTTAATGCAAGTCATGCGAAAAGAAAGAACAATTGTTTTGAATTATCTAGGCTTAACATAAGCCAACGCTGTAGCAAATAGATATCTGTTAAATGCCTGCTAAGCTGCTGTTAAAGTGAAATTACATGCATATAATAACATGCATATATGTTTATGCACGTGTAGATCTATGTATGTATGTAAATACACACACAAGAGAGAAAGAGAGAGAGAGAGCATGACCACTTTTAGCACAAATCTAACGGGATCTGTCTAAAAGAGAAATTAAAATCAATATGTGTATTGATATTTATTTCTTTCTGATATGTTTAGCCGACGATCAACGAATTTAGTTTCAGTTAAGAACAAAAAGAAGAAAATTAAAAATTTTTAAAAGAAATATATAATTAATCAGCAACATTTAAGTGTGTATGTGTGTATGTGGATATTATGCACATTTAACCATTTTGCTCGCCCTAATATTTGTGCATGCATTTGATTATTTCTATGAATCGCTTAAATACATTTTCCCCGGAATAGTTTACAATTTTAAACAACAATTGAATGTGGATGATTGTTTTCGTTGCTTAAGAGCTTGGCGCCGCTAAATATGATTCACATTCACAACGTTTAGTTGAGCTAAGTAAGCGTGTATATACATATATGTGTGTGTTGGATGATTGAAAATATGCTAAATAATTGTATCGACATGGCGCACATGAATACCCCAGGGACAGAGAGCAAGAAAGAGAGAGAGAGGCAGAGAGAGTGCACCCAAAAGCTGAGCTCAGCTCTCAAACATCTCGCATGAGTTTGCTGCCAAGTGCGTGTATCTGTGTTTATGACGCGTGTGTGTACGACCTTCGCCGTCAACTTTTATTGCACGCTTTCTTCTCCGCTTCGCTTGGACACATTCAAACACACACACACACACACAGACAGACGTACAGCTGTTGCCGGCTGCTGCTTGGCCCAGGCCCACCCCCGAAACTCACACACACACACACACACACACACACACACACACACTTACTCAAGCACGTCTCTCTCACAAACACACACACACTTACACTTCAAATAAATAAGCTCAACAAATTCAATTTTTGCTGCCAATTTTCTTTATTTTGGCTTCAAATAAAAAACCAAAATTAAAAAGTTGGTCTCTTTTTAATTTTTTTTCTTGTAGTTTTCACTTTTTTCGTAGCCAAAAAAAGGCGTAAAATATGTACAACATACATACATATGTATGTATGTACATGTCTGCATCAATGTGCTCCGTTACACGCACACGTTCCACGCAAAGTTTGGCTTATTTGTCTGACTTTTTTCTGCTTTTTATTTTTCTTTATCTTTCTTTTTCTGTTTTGTTGTTTGCTTCTGCCACTTGTTGTTGTTGTTGTCGCTTTTAATGGAACCGCTCAACGTGTTAGAGAAATGCGTTACGTGCTCTGCCTGAGCAAATGACCAAGGCGTGGGCGTATTAGAGGGAGAAGGGTAAGGTTGGGGCGTGGTATTCAGTGCTCCGAAAAGCTTTCAGTTTCTGGCGAGTTCTTTGGCATTTTATAGGGGGCTAGAGAGAGAGAGAGAGAATCTTTGAACTCTTGCAATGCGAACTTGATTCAGTTGAACCTGTTGACTTTTGAAGTATATTCAATCTAACTGTTAAATCTTTAAAGAGCAGCCAGCATTTATGGGTGGCAGTAGGGCGTGGCATTAAACTACTTACCTGCAAAGAGCTTGCAGTTTCTGTAGAGTGACAAAGAGAGAGAGAGAGAGAGAGAGGTAGCTGGAGAGGAAGAGGGATCTGTGAACTGCAATTTGATTGAGTTGAGCCTGCTGACATTTGAACCAGTTCAATTAGGCGTTGCTTGAGCACAGTGCAGTCTCGATAACAAGGAAACCTGAAATGTACAGTTCGTTCTCAAGCAGAAAAGTAATTTCAAACTTCATAGATATTGAAATGCTTTTTATCTTTCTTAAAGAACATTCTTAGTAACCTAAGTCTTTTATGCATACGTTATTCACTTCAATATATTAAACACTTTTAACGTCTTATTCACTTTGGACATTCGCTTCAATTAATCTGCACAAAGCCACCTGTTTTGGGCCTTTCCATTCTTTTCATGCTGACTAAGTTAGCTCGCACATCTGTGTTCATTTGGGCTCTCATTAAAAGTTCCGTTGCAACTCATAGGGCGCATCATCCTATCCAAGAAGTACTTAGTTTCGGTTAGCTTGGCTTTAAGAAACTATTTTGATCAGGGCTAAAAGACACAAGTTTTAAGGGTATATGCGACACTTTATATGCCCTATTCGTTTAACTGAAAGGCATATATGTATATTGGCTTATAGATACCCTAGCCCCATGCCCATATGATGATATTGATATCCAGTCTCTGTCTCTATGTGATATACCTTGAAATGCATTCATCAGCTATAAAAATGTATTCACTTTGCAGAAATCTAGTTTGAATCTGCGTGAGGCATCGTTTGCACCGTCGGCTAACAAGGACAAGGACAAGGACAGGCTCTCACTGAGCACCGACAACAAATACACACACATACAGAATGATGGCGGGGGTGGATTGAGCAGCGGAGTGAGCTCGGCGCCGCCAACGGGCAAGCGCAGTCTCACGGAGCACAGCTTCGAGCGCGAGGATAAAAAAGACAGCGGCAATGAGAAGGATGCCAATGGGGCGCTGCAGCAGTGCATCACTGAGCTCGCGGCCTCCATTGGCAGTGGCGCCAACAAAGCCAACGAACAACAAAGGCCCAACGACAGCAACAGCAACAGCAAGCAGCAGCAGCAGCAGCAGCAGCAGCTGAAGCAGGAGACAGCTGGACAGGCGGAGGCGAGTGGGATACATGTGGAACAGCAATCGAAGCCGTTGCGCACTTCGCACTTCGTGACCGTCATCGAGGTGAAGGAGGCCAAGGACAAAGACCACGATGACGCCGCCTCGGCGTTGGGGCTCAATGACAACGCACTGACGCCACCATCCACATTCGGACGCTATCCGGAACGCAGCAAGGCCGCTGGAACGGAGGCCACGGCACCACCATTGTCGCCATCAATGACATCGCCCGCCTTGTCCGCCTCATCGTATACCGCACATCTGGAGGCCAAAAAGAAAATGCCACCCAGGTGAGTTGAGCCGAGAAAGATAGATAGAAAGACAAATGAAGCAAAACCTCGAGGCTCTGTTAAGGGATATAATTTACGGCTTAGGAAATATTTACTAGCATATTGAAGCTAAGCTGCGGCCTCCTCAATGTTGTTTCACTCAATCCCGTATCATTGCAGACCGCCGCCAAAGAACATACGACGCGTCGAGCCGCCCACCATTCCCAGCCAGCAGCAGCAGCAACAGCAGCAGCAGCTGTTGTCGTCGTCGCCAAAGCGTGAGACGCCCTATGCTGGCAGTGCAATGCCGTTGCCGGGCAGCAGTGCTGGCGAGAGTCCGGCCAGTTCGCTGGAGCGGAATATAAAGCCATCGGATATTTTGCGACAGAAGTCATCGGAGAATCTGGAGTCGAAATATGCAGCGAATCGAAAGACAACGCCAGAGCTAAGCAAGCTGGCTAACACGCCTGAGCTGATGGAGGAGCTGGGGCGCAAAATGGTTGGCAAGACGGACAGCCTAGAGCACGGGGCGAAGCGCAGCGATGCCAACAGCAATAGCAACAGCAATGGCGGCAGCTTAGGACGCACTGCGTCCACGCCGGGGCGCGCCCTGACGCCAGCTGGGCGCAGTACAGCGGCTGGTGCTGTCGGCGCTTCGCCAACGGGCAGCCTCAATAAGACAGCCAAACTGGCGGCAGCGGACAGCAGCTCGACGAGCAGCCTGGAGAAGAAGTCGCGCGTCTCACTGCAGGCCAGCGACGCCGAGCTGCCGGCCAATGCACAGCGCAGCGTCGGCTCCAAGGAGTCGCTCGCATCACAAGGCATATCGGAAGCGGTAAAAGTCTAACTCTTTCACAATCTATATATATATATATATTTTCATTTCCTCTTTGTCAGATCAAGAGCTATGAGTCGGTGTCTTCGCTCAGCTCGGACAGCGCTAAGGCGGCTCAGCAGACGGACAATGAGCCCTATTATGACAGCGTGCCGCTGGACAATGGCGATGGGGAGTACGTGTTCATAAAGCCCGGCCGCACCGGTTCCTCGTCTAGTCGCGATGATCTATCCACGCCGGGCAGCACTCTGCCCATGGCCCAGTTGAGCAGTCAGACGAGCGTAACGGATCCCGAATCTCCAGGCCGTACCTCCAACTATGTGAACATTGATTACTTTATGTAAGTGCCAGATCAGAAAAAACCACCCTTCACTAACTTCGATTCTCTTTGCCAGTCAAAGCAATGAGACGCGCTCCAGTTCGTTGGACAGCGATGGCGAGTACGAGGGTCCGCCCATATTGCGCACCATCTCGCATGACGAACAACAGCACAGCACATCCACATCACAGACACCAGGCGCCCTACGCAAGGTTCGTTGGTTCGTTGGTTCGTTGGCTCGTGGTCGGCTCATTTGGCCCAGTTGTTAGGCTAAGGCTAGGCTTAACTGATAAGGTCTAAGATATGCATACAATATACAGCTAACAGCTAATTGCTTTTGGCTAATTGCAATTCAATTGGCAGCCGCCGAATGATGCACACATTTCAGTTGCTATGACTAAGCCAAATCCGAACAACTCGCCCATGCCGTCCACACCTGCGCTGGGCATTAACATACGTTAACTTTGACTAATTGCGACCAAATTGCATGCGTCAGCTGCGTCTTCTCTTCGTTTCGTTGCATTCAGGATCCAAAAGCCAAGCTATTTGACCAGTTCAATTAATTGAGACCTTTTGATCAGTTTGCTCGGATGCTTGAAATCTTTACCTAAGACTATTATTTTCGAAAACTTCGTTTACCAACATAATACGATCAGATATATATTTAAGATCAAGTACTCAGCTCGCATTAGAGTAGAACCAATTCCATTTTGCCGTCTTCTTAGCTTTTCCGAAAGGGTTTTCCTGACCTTATGTAAACTGCGTCTTAGGCAGCTTAAGACTTGAGCTTTTGTAGTCATGTGAATTCGTGTTATCGAATCTGTTGAGGATATAGATCTTTAAAATATTATTATTTTATATTAGATCTTCATATAAGATCTTTAAAATATTATTATTATAGTCCGCGTGCTCATGAATATGTTTTAACCACTTTTATAGCTAAAAATAATATACTTAAAGATGGATCGATCTATAGGATAGAGATTGGTCTTATAGCGCATAATTCTTACAGATTTTATAGACCTTATAGATTGTAAAGTTATCTTAGATCATCTATAAACTTACAGATCTCATTGATCATATTACACTTGTAGGTGCTATTGCTCTTATAGTTTTCTTAGATCTTATAGATCACATAGGTCATACAGATCTTTTAGAACTTGCAAATGTCTTAATAGATCACTTGGATTTAATAGATCTTATAGGTCTAACAGATCTTATAGCTTACCTTGATTTTAGGATTCCTTTATAACTCATAAATCTGAAAGATCTCGTGAGTCTTTTAGATCTTATGGTTCTTTTTGATCTGTTAGATCTTGTGGATGTCATAGATCATATAGTTGCTTGAGAGCTTGCAGATCTCTTAGAACTCACGGATCTTATAGCTTTTAAAGGGCTTATGCAGCTTGTGCATTTTATATAGGTTTTATGTCTTATATATCTGAGATCCCAATGATATTATAAGACTATAAAGTATCATAGGGCATATGCTATAGATCAACTATAAGATCTATAAACATATACTCTTAAGAGTCAAAAACGTATTGTTCCTAAGTTTTCTCAAAGAATGAATGCTCAAGAGTTATGCTATATTTACATATTATTAATATAATAACAATAACCCTAATAATAATAATAATATTAATTTTTTTATATTGTAAGAGTATAACTAATATTTGAATATTTACTAACAACGATTTTCGATTTCTTTTTCTTTTTCTTTCTTCCTTTTTTATCTGCAATCTTTTTTTTTTTTGATTTTTGTTGTTTTTTTTTTATTTTTGTTTTATTTTACTTTCTCTCAACAGAACTTAGTTTCAGCGATACTCGTGAGTACCGGGAAAACCCCCTAATTCAAGCCTTAGCCTCGCCTTTCTGTATATATGTGCATATATATATTTTATATATAGACAAACCTTTGTAAATATTATATATATATAATATATATATATATACCATATATCTATATGTATTTGCTTCCTTTTTTGTTGTTCTTTTGGAATGCGCTTGTTACATCAATGTTCAATGTTTTTCCTTTTGTCGTTGTATTCCTTTATCTTTATGTTTTGTTTATAGTTCCAATACACACACACACACACGCTGACCCATACATATATATCTATATATATCCTTACTCTTTGTGCTATGCAACTTAATGTTTAGCTGCAGATTTTTAGAAATATTTTTGTTTTGATTATTCAAAAAACCTTTTTTAGCGCATTTACAAAATACCTATTTACTATATGAATCATATATCATTCATATGCTAAGAATATTTAAAAACACAAAATATGTCTACGAATTAATAGATATGTTATATATAATCCTTAATCCAATCCAAATGTTGTTGCATAGTGTGTTTGTATTATATATCCTACACTCTCCTCTCTCTCTCTATCTCTTTCTCTTGCTGCCTCTGTCTATGTCATGTATATATAACTTATAAAGTAAACAAAACATTATGTATATATATATATATTTCTATATCTGCCTATATTTATGAAATCTGTTCAAAAAGTATCGCGAAATTTGTGCTCTAGTTTGTGTCCCATGCAATCCTCGAGGCATAATCAATTCTCGCAATCTGCTGCTACTTCCTTGCCTTCATCTGTAGCTTAGCATTGTCCTTCAGTTGTCGATCAGATCAGATCCCCTTTGATACAGATTGCATGGACAAACGCCGCAGATGAGTCAAAGCAAACTTCCACGCACAAGTGGGGCATGCCACAGCCAACATAATGCTAGAAGAAACTCAAGTTGTAAATCGAATAATGCGCGAAACTTTTTGAAGAGACTCAAAACATGTTATATGTATATAATATATATGCGACTCTACTCATACGCCTTTGCTGTACATATATACCCCTCTCTCTCCTCTCTCTCTCTCTCTCTCTCTATATATATATTTATATAAATATATCTGTCTCGTTTGTTCCACTCCACACACATATATCTATAGATACAAGACTAGCTTCTTGTGCATAAATGCTGGTGCAGGGATTATAGCTAAAGCACACATAATGCCCCTCATGCAATCATTTTGTAGATGACAATCACAATTGTAGACTATGGAATTGAGTGATATATACACTAATGAAACTCCATCTATATTTCTCTAGTTATCGGGCAATGCGCGTGGCGCTAAAATACGTTCCATATTAAACTCCATTATACACAGCGAGGCGATCTATGTGGAGTGCCTGAATAAGATGATACAGGTGAGCGTTCAGCCATATATATCGTATACCTAGCGTATAGCTAACCGCCTCTGATTGCAGTATAAGCGAGCTATACACGCCACGCTGAGCACATCGCAGCCTGTGATCAAGAAGGAGGAGGAGAATACGATTTTCTTTAAAATCGAGGAGCTGCACAAAGGGCACACCGACTTCCTGGGCGATCTAAAGACAATTGTGGCACATGAGGGCGGCGATGTGTTGATTGGGGAGCCGTTCAAGCGCTTGGCCGATATGTTCGATCTATATAGCGCATTTCTGCATAACTATGGCCAGGCGATTGATACGGTGAAGAAGTGCAGCGCCAACAATCCGCAATTTAAGAAAATTGTCTCCACGATTGTGGTGAATCTGCAAACGGAACAGTCGCTGACGCTGGAGGATCTGCTGCATAAGCCGGTGGCCAGAGTTCAGATCAATGCGCTCGTCTTCAATGATCTGTTGCGCGAGACGCCGCCAAATCATCCGGACCATCAGCCGCTGCGACAGGCCCAGAAGATCATACAAATGTTCCTCAATCAGTTCAATGTGGTCAATCAGCGCTTGCCCACCGAATCGAATCGCAATCTGCGTCGCATGGTGCGCAACTCGTTCATAGTGGAGCTGGTCGATGGGCATCGCAAGCTGCGACATTTGTTCCTCTTCAACGATGTGATTGCGTGCGCCAAGTATAAGGCATTGGGCCGCGATCGCATCGATTACGAACTCAAATGGTATATTCCGCTCAAGGATGTCAACGTTTACGAGGAGTCCGATACGAGTGCGGACCTCAAGGAATCTAGTCCCGCGAACATATCGCAAGTGAAGCGCAATTTGCGATCGGTGCGCGATCAGCTAACGCTCGAAGCGAACGGCGTGCGCACCGGTGACAAATATCGTCGCAAACTGGCCGATCTGGAGTCGCAGCTGGTGCTGGCCACGCCCAACTTGGTGCTGCGGCTGGGCAATAAGGCCAACAATAAGACAATGACCTTCTTTCTCAGCTCCGATTTCGAGCGCACACAATGGATGGACTCGATAATGTCGCTCAAGGTGAGCCGAGACGAGGACGAGTTCATAGAGCTGAGTCTGGCTTAGATTTGCATGTTGCAGCTGTATCTTAACTCTCTCCCTGTTCCTCTCTTTATTTAACTTTAGCAAAAATGTAATTTGCCTGGAGCCAATACGATCAACTCGTTGGAGGTGACCGCCTTCATTGTGGCCATGCAGAAGGGCATGAAGACTGAAATGGGCTCCTATCTGATGCGCAACACGAACGATGAGAGTCTGCTCGTTGGCGATCTGCACATGGGCGTGCAGGGACTGCAGGGCCTTGAGCAGCCGACGGATCTGTACATATGCATCGAGGTGGACTCGTATGGCCATTACTTCCGCAAGGCAACCACCAAGATGATCTGTCGCAGTCAGACGCCGCTGTGGAACGAGAGTTTCATGCTCGAACTGGAAGGCAGCCAGAATGTGCGTGTGCTGCTCTACGAGGACAAGGAGCGGCCACTGCTTCGTGCCAAATACGTACTCAAGGTGAGCTTAACCAATGCCTTACACATGCCATAGCTAATGGAATGTCCTTTCTGTGTCACAGCTGAGCCGCAGCTGGCTGACGGAGACGACGCAAACGCGCAACCTCAAGCTGAGCGAAACGTTGGAGCTGAGCGCCAGCTTCCGTTTTGTGCCCGGCGAGCAGTGCCGCGGCAATACCAAGCCAGGCGCGCTCTTTGGTGCCAAAATGAGTCAAGTATTAAAGTAAGTTTGACTGCCAAGCAAAGCAGGAGCACCAAGAGAGACAGAGAGAAGGGAGGGAGTGAGATGTTGTTTTTCACGTTCATTTATTTCACTTTTGCAGGCGCGAGAAACGCGACATTCCGTTCATAATCAGTGCCTGCATACGGGAAGTGGAACGACGTGGAATGTTGGAGGTGGGCTGCTATCGTGTCAGTGGCTCTGCCTCCGACTTGGCTAAGCTGAAGAAGGCGTTCGAGTCGGGTAAGTCACTGAATCAATAAACATGGCTAAGCATTTCTAAACGCACATCACTTTTTAGATGCCTACGAGGCAGAACAGCTCCTGCGCGAGGTGGACATCCATTCGGTGACAGGCATACTGAAGACATTCTTGCGAGAGCTGCCGGAGGCCCTATTCTCTGATCTGCTCTATCCACGCTTCTTCGATACATACAGCACATTAACAAACAACAACGAAGCCACACGCATCAATGAGCTGCTCAAGGTATTTGAGGAGCTGCCGCAGGCTAACAAAGCCTCGATCAATCTGATACTGGACCATCTAATCAGGTAAGAGAGAGCCTGAATCACAGCAATCATATGCTATAAACTTTCTGTTACACAGAGTGCACGAGAAGGAGGCGGATAACAAAATGTCGCTACACAATCTGGCAATGGTATTTGGGCCAACATTGCTTCGTCCTGGCCAGACGCAGGTCAAGCAAAAGGATCCTTTGGCAGCGAGCACTGTCGACGTGATGGCCCAGGCGGGAATACTCTATTGCTTTCTCCAGGCGCGCATCAAAAAGGATTAGAAACAAAGAGATAGCACAAGCACACAAATATTTACATATGTATAACTCTATATATGCCCTATGCTTCAAATGCTCACACACCACCACCACCACCAACAACCACAACAACAACAACAACAACACGCACACACACACCCTACACAACCTGGCTGATGATTGTATATAACAGGCGCAAAGCTGGCAAAAGGAATTGCGTTGTTCGTGCTACAGGCGATTTGATAGCTAAAAAACAGTGCTCAATAGCGGGCCAATAACACACACACACACACACAAACAGACACACAAATACACATACTTACAAAATGTATACATGCGTAGACAAGTGTTCAACACTGATCCTGTGCTGGTCCTAGTCCAGACATACTTCCTGCTAACCTAGAAACCCCATCAAGGCTTTTAGCTGCTGCTTTTGCTCGTCTACTCGTTTACATACATACATATATTTATAGTATAAACTATATGCTTTACCTATACATATACAAAAGATAACGTATATATATTTATATACTTATGATATAATATATATATATATATATATATATATATATATATATATATATATTGCCGTGTAGCCCCGCTTATTGCAAGGTTAAAATTGATATTTGAGAGAAGGAAGCAAACAAAAAATGGCAAATATTTTCAATATTACGAGTACACACACACACAGACACATATTTATATAGTATATATATATGTATATATACTATATACTATATATATATATATACTATATATTATACATTACTAATTAGAACTATATTACTAAAAACGCAAACCGATTTCAAAGTAAAAGTAAAAATTGTAACGTTTGCGGCATGATTATAATGATGATGATGATGATGATGATAATGTTGATGATGAGGATGATATATGTATGTGTATGCTTAAAAATATTCTGTTTTTTTTTCGTCTTGTTTTGTATTAATTACTTAGGTTTTTATATAAACAGAAACGTAAAATAAAATATATTCTATTTAGAAATGTTTTTTGCGAATTTGTGGGCGTCTGCAATTAACTATAAACCAATATCGACGATCATACTCGTTCACGCTGTGAAGAGTATATATTGGTTTTCCGCCAACGACATAATTTAAAGTTTTCGAGTCAATCAATTGCTCCAGATATAGGACTATAAACTTTAAAGTCTGTCAAATCTAGAAAATGCTTGATATTGGAATACATTTAACGAACGAGTATTACGCAGTCGATGGCGCCCGACTGGCACCATTCTCGCTTGTCTTTACATCCTCTAAAGTTGCATAATGAAAACTGTTTCGATTCAACTTCAAATTCATATTGCAGTTTTATATAAGTCTATATATTATATATAAATTTAGATATATCTATTTCATTAACAACATCTATATAGGATTTATATATAACTTGGTCATTCATCGTCCTCGTTGTCGTCCGGCTGCTGTGGCATGCTGCTCTCCACATCGAAGAAGGCGCGTCTGCTGCGCTTGGCCTCGACGGCCTCCTGATTGCCCTCGAATTTGGCTGCTGTACGCTTGCGCAGCTCCTCCACATCCTGTTGATCCTCATTGCTGGCCCACTCCAGCACCAGGCGGCGCCCATACAAATGGGTGCTAGCGCTGAGTGCATCGAATGCGCGCTTCGCATCCGCCTTGGTGGTGTAGTCGACAAAGCAAAAGCCACGATGCGCATCCTCGCCGGGCGTCATCTTCTTGGGCAATCGCAGCGAGGTCAGCTCCCCAAACGCTCTGCACAGATTAGTGAGACAATATTAATTTATGGACCATTTGATTGGCTTTCAGCTTAGACACTCACTTGAAGATGTCGCGCACCTCGCGATAATGCGCCTGGAAAGGTATATTCCGTACTAGAATCTTGGTGCCAGTCTGTCTCTTTTGTGCCACCTGGCGACGTCGTGCTCCATCATCTTGGACCCTATAGTATAGAAATTTTAGTAATGGCTTTAGCTACTTGTTTTTGGGATTGCTTACTTGAGAACACGATCACTGCGCTTTAGCTCCACCAGATTGCCATCGATTTTGGTCAGCTGCATGTCTTTTAGAGCCTGGGCGGCAACGGCTGCCCGCTTGAACTGTATGAAGCCATAGCCTAAGGAATTCAACTGTCTGGGATTCTGTGGATCCTTGCGCTTGGCTATCTCGATGGTGTGGACAGTGCCCAAGTGTTGAAAGTGCTCGAGTATCGTTGGTACCACAGTCTTGAAGTTAAGATTACGCAAAAATATGGTCGTATTTGGCTCGGGCTCATCATAGGCATCCTCTGCCACAGGTTCCGCATTGGGACTGGGATCGGGATCCTTCTGCTCCTTTTCCTTCTCCGTCTTCAGCTCCGGCTCTGACGTGGGCTCCGTTTTGGGTATGATAGCCTCGCCGTTTAGTGTCTTGGTAAACGTATGCTCTGGCGCCCATTCCAGATAGAGCGGCACATTTTTGAATTTGCTGAAGGCTAACTTTTTGAATGCTTGTCGCGCCTCCGAGGGCTCACAGTACTCGATGAGTGCGGTGACGCCGCTGGGCGGCAACACGATGCGTCCGATGGGACCAAATTTACTAAAGATCGGCGACAGATCAGCCACCTCGGTGGCAGCGGGCAAATTCTTGACCAATATCACAGTCTTGGAGCGTTTCTGCGTGGGCTCATCGAAGGCGCTGAGCCGTACGCCCTCCTCCTCAAGAAACTTTTTCATTTCGACAACGATTTGAGTTTCCCCGAGTGCCAGTCGAACGGCTGCACTGCTGCCACCTTCGCTGGTGTCTAGAATGCGCTCCTTGCTCGTCTTGAACTGCTTGGCCAGCAGGTCGGCAACGGCATTGGCGCCTAGGAACAACGTATTCCAGCCAATGGGCTTCTGTGCATTCTGCTTCAGCTTCAGTGCTTTCTTCTCCTTAAACGAAAGACCAGCATCATTGTCCTCAACGTCCTCCTGGGCATTGTCCAGCTCCTTGCCGGGCAGCAGATGGAGCAGGCGACCATGGAAGTCGTTGCCATCGAGCGCATTGAAGGCCTTCACTGCATGCTCGGGCATCATGAAAGTCACCGTGCCAAAGCCCTTGATCTGACGCGTCAGCTTATCCACGGGCAGATTGATCTCGACTATTGGCCCGAATGGCTCGAATAGCTTTTGTAGCTCCTCCTCGGTGGTGGTGTAGGCCAAATTGCGAAAGAATATACGACCCGATTCCGATATGTTCTCCTCATGGCTCAAGCTATCCTGTTGTTGCTTCCACTTGGCATTGCCGGTGGCTGCCGAAGTGTTATCCGCATCCAGAGCTTCACCGGACTTTTTCGCCTTAGTCACCTTATTCTTGTCGGTAAAATCGGAAAAGAACACCTGCTTGCCTTTGATGAAACTCTTGTTCTTCATCATGCCCTTGGCCATGTCACGCTCGGTCTTGAAGCCCACATAACAGAAGCCGTGCACGTTGCTGGGCAGGCGCACCGAATACGGTTTAAGAGGCTTGAAAAACTTGATTATGTCTTGCCGTTTGGTTTTATATGGCACATTGTGAATCTTGATGGTGAACAGCTGCAGATCGGATTTATCCTGTTTGGCTTTCGCTTTCGCTTTGGCGTCTTGCTGCGCACTGGGCTTGGGTTGGGTTTTGCCTGCCATCAGAGATTTCATATACTCCATGTCACTAATGGGCTTCTCAGCTAGTTTAACTGCGTCGTCTTCCTCTTCCTGCTCTTGCTCTTGCTCTTCAGCAGCAGCAACATCATCATCATCATCATCATCATCAACTCCCATTTCTGTTAGTTTGTCATTATTGTCTGGCTGGGCGTCGACAGTCTCATCGTCAGACTGAGCCGCAACAATGCCCGCATCGTTGGCCCAAAGCGAACGCGTCTTATCGTGCGCTTGCATAAACTCCTGAAAAGCCGGATCATCTTTGTGCTTGGACAGAATTTCTTCAACTTTGTTTGTCTTCCCTCTCTTCTCGTCGGCTTTTTTCGCTGCCACTGGCTGTGCCGCCTTCAGTTTGTCCAGATTATGTTTGCTATCCTTGGCATATTTACTCCAGGATTGGGGCTTCTCCTCGCTGCCAAGCGCTGCACAGGATTCCACACGCACTCGGCTCGTCTGTATGCAGGTGTTGTTGAAATGTTTAATGGCCGCCTGTGCCTCCGCCTCGCTGCTGTAGCCCACAAAACAGAATTGCCGAAATTTGCCATCGGGCGTGTATTTTAACTGCAGATCTGTGATCGTCCCCTTGGCGCCGAATATATTGCGTATTTTATCCTCACTTATCTATATGCAGACAATCCATTTATTGGTTTAATTGTAGGCTAACACAATTTGCGGTTATTTACTTACCTGCTTGGGCAGTTGTTTGACAATAATACGCGACATTTTTATTATTAATTCAAGCAACAGGCTTGTGAAATTACATCAAATGCATTTTGTTTACGGTTCGCACGTGTTGCAAAGCCTGCCAACTTATTGCAAAATCATTGCCAAAGTCTGGCAACGCTAGAAAGTTAGTGCTGCGAAGCAAGAGTATAAATTGGCGGTTGCTTATGCGACGCTTTACAGCACTGGAAAATTCAAATGCTAATTTAATCTCAAAAGTTTGATAAATGTAAATTCAACTATTAAATAGGCTGAAAGAAAGTTAAAAGTAATTAAACATGGTTTTAAATGCAATAATCTTAATGACAGCCACAGCTTGACATCTAAATTTATTTCCGGCTATAAATAGCACGCATTAACAATTTGTTATCAAATATATTATATATATATACGTGCACATATATATTTATGTGTGAGTGTGTGTGTGTGTTATCATATTAGCTTAGCAAAACAGGTGAGTCCGAGGTTGGGACTTTGGTAGTGTTCACTGTATCGGTTCATGCAGACACCAGCAGCTCAGCCTCATTGAATTTCACAATAACCTTTGGATGGCCATTGCTGATATATACGTATATACACGCATATATGTCAGCTTGTATATTCAAAGAATTCACACCGTGGCGAGCCGAGAGCAATCTTGATAAGAGAAAATGAGAATGTGCTCATCTTGTTTTTTTCTCCCCACTTCAAGTGCGTTCATTAGCGCTATTTGAATAGATAAGCAACGCTGGGGCGCTATAAAGCCAGACGAGCTGCACTCAAAGCGTTTCAGTTAGATCTGTAGATTTGAACGCGAAACAACTATCGAGAAAAACTAGCAAAACATTATTACAATATAGTAATACATTTGGTTTCCGTGATAAGACATCAAACTCTCGAGTTACATAAATACCCAAAGAGTAGTGGAAAAATTTCAAAACAAAATAAATACAACTAGTTGTAAATAAAAATATTTGGTGAAATGGAGGTGCCGCCGCCCCTTGTTCTGAAGCGATCGCTTTTCGTGCCCAGCAAAACGTTGATGGGTCCGGGTCCATCTAATTGTTCGCAGCGCGTCCTGGAGGCCATGAGCAACCCGGTGCTGGGCCATATGCATCCAGAGTGTCTACAGGTGCGTTGACAATAACAACATTTCCATACTACGAAGCTCTCTATGTTGGTGGAACTGATTGTAGTTTCTGATAGTGTAGCAATACGATGTTCTTCTAAGCGCAGTCTGTTAACTTTACACTTTGTTAATTTGTTGTAATTTGCTTGGAACTTGAGCTGTCTGAAGATGTCCTTAGATCTCTACCGCTACACGTTTGCTAGGTTGCTCTGCCTTAGTGCGCGCTAAAATTCAAATAGGCTAACAGAGCACAAACCGGAAGTGTTAATGCACTAGGAAAGCTGTTAGAGTAACAGTAACGTAAAGATAACAGAACTGATATTTGCATCACCTACAGTCCTTTAACATTTCAATTTAGCTGTTAGCTGACTTGTACTTTAACAGAGTATGTTAACTCCGTTATTCATGTTATGTGAACTTCTAGTTAACAGCCAAACATATTTATTATTTAATTCCCACAAATCACTCTATATCCTGTACTCATTGAAAAGTGTTGTATATTGTTTGTGTGCAAATGTATTTTATTTGTAGAATAAACAAGTACAAAACATTATCAAAACTTTTTTATTATTGAAATTAAAGATTTCAAGTTTCACTGGTAAATTTAATATCAACAATATATTTTTGTTAAATAATAATAATAAAATATATAAATACAGTAATAAAACGGTAACATTTGAGTGAATGAGCTTCAGTGGGGGAATACCCTGTATTCTTATGGGCAAGATGGTAGTTTCTCATTAAAACAGGGTATTTGCTAGTTGGTCAGTGTGAATAAAAGTAATATGAACAACATAAGTCACATACCCTATACCCACAAGAGGGTCTATTGAATAATCAATCGACTTTATATTAACATTATAACAGGGTATATACAGTAGTCACTTCATTTAGTATACCACTTGAGAAATTCCATTGGAATAGACGTGGTCCCATGAGAATTCGTCTTTTACTCTGGTACGTCGTTTTTTAAAGCGAGTCTTTTGAACTCTTTGGCACAGATCATGGACGAGGTGAAGGAGGGCATCAAGTACATATTCCAGACACTGAACGACGCCACAATGTGCATCAGTGGAGCGGGCCACAGCGGCATGGAGGCGGCCCTCTGCAACTTGATCGAGGACAACGATGTCGTGCTGCTGGGCATATCGGGCATGTGGGGCCATAGGGCGGCTGATATGGCGCGTCGGTACGGTGCCGATGTGCGCTATGTGGAGGCGAGCTTTGGTCGTGCCCTGACGCTGGAGGAGATTCGTTTCGCCTTCGATACACACAAGCCGCGCGTCTTCTTTGTGGCCCAGGGCGATTCCTCGACGGGCATCCTCCAGCGTCACATCAGCGAAATCGGTGATCTGTGCCGGCAGCACGATTGCTATCTGGTCGTGGATGTGGTTGCCTCGCTGGGTGGCACCCATTTTCTCATGGACGAGTGGAAGGTGGATGTCGCCTACACAGGCTCACAGAAGGCGCTGGGCGGCCCGGCTGGCCTGACGCCCATTTCGTTCAGCAAACGCGCCTTGACCCACATTAAGCAACGCAAGACCAAGCCGAAGGTCTACTATTTCGACGTGCTACTCATTGGCCAGTATTGGGGCTGCTATGGCACGCCACGCATCTACCATCACACCATCTCCTCGACACTGCTCTATGGGCTGCGTGAGGCGTTGGCTCACTTTTGTGCCATGGGCCTGAAGAACGTGGTGCAAAGGCATTTGGAGTGCTCGGTGCGACTGCAGCTGGGCATCGAGGAGCTGGGCCTGGAGATGTTTGTGCAGCATGAGCCAGATCGCCTGCCCACAGTCAATGCAGTGAAAGTTCCCTTCGGCATCGACTGGCGCAAGGTGGCGGACTATGCAATGCGCAAGTGGGTTAACTGAAAATTCCTTTCAAAATATTATAAGCAAATGATCATCTTTCATGGCAGATACAATCTGGAAATTAGCGGCGGCCTGGGTCCCACAGTCGAGCATGTCTTTCGCATTGGTCTGCTGGGCGAGAATGCGACACTGGAAAAGGTGGACATGGTTCTCAGCATTTTGAACGAGGCCATTCAGAGCATCAAGCTGAGAGCAATTAAAACGGAACGTTCCAAAATATGATATTACCAGCTTCAACTAATTCCACTTATACTTGTTTCCCTCTTTTGTTTTTAAATATATCAAACAAATTTACAATTCCTTTTTAAGTTTTAAGTTTGAATTTTAGCGCCTACTTAACGCTAACAGCTGTTAGACTCAAAGTGGCACTGTTAAGCACAGATTTCTGTTGTAGTCGTAAAAATTGCTTGCCGGCTAAGAAATTAATTATGCAAAATTAACTTAAAGCCGCTTTTGTTTATGTTAGCAATCGAAATATAAATGTAATTCAGGTATAACTTAGTTTTCATAGCTAGCAAACTGCTACACAGATCAAATAGTTCAACTCAAGTGGCTGATTGATTTGTAGTTCTTTTCATTTTATGCACAGATATTGAATTTGTTTGCAAACTTGGCCAACTATGCATCTACATTTAAGCCTAAATTTGCTTTTACCAAAATTTTTGAACGTGACTAACAGTTACAGCTTTGCGCTATGTTTAACTCAAAAGTGCACTGTTAATCGAATTTACTGCATACTTGCCAAAATTTTACAACACTCGAAAAAGTTTTGAGCATATTTTTGGCAAATAAAAATATTTAAATTATCTAATTTGGCTTATAAATTTATTGAACGCGAAGTGTTCAGACTTGGCTCGTTCAAGCGGCACTAGCACAGATTTATACACATATTGAGAGAGTAAAAAAAATAGTTAAAAATTGTACACTTAAATGTTTATTTGTTGTTGTTTTTCGTATGGGATCAACTCTACTTGAATCGACGTCCATATGCTATTTAGGCATACAAAATAGTTGCTGCATCTGTTGCGCATCTCTAACTTAACCCTGCTTCTGGGCCAATTCACGAGCCTTGGCACGCTCCAGCTTGGCGATGCGTGCCAAACTCTTGGAGCCCAGAATACCACCGCCCCAATGACGACGGATCTCTTCATGGCGCTCATTGAAGTTGGTCTTAACAGCCTCCAGCACTTTGCCAAAGTTGGCCTTATCGTTATTCTCAACGGTGGTCAGAGCCAATGCGGTGCAGGTCTTGCGGCGCACCAGACGGCCCAAACGCGCCTTGCCCTTCACAATGCAATAGGGCACTCCCATTTTGCGGCACAAGGCGGGCAGGAACAGCACCAACTAAAAAGAGAAAACAATTAGCCAATATTTTCAAAGAACACGTGCTCTAAGGGAAGATGTTTCAGCTGTTTTGGGGCAAACAAACTCAGCTGTCAATTTACCACATATTTTAAATATAAAACACGTTTCAGTTGAAGAAATTCAATTAACATCATAGAATGATCGCCAGTCGTTATAGAGGAAGAGAACAGGGTGCGGGCACTTACCTCTAGGGGATCGACATCATGAGCGATGACAACCAGCTGAGCTTTCTTCTGCTCAATGAGCTTGGTGACAGTGTTGGTGCCGGCCGAGACAAAGCTGGGCTTCTTCTTGGGCTCAACTTCCTTGCCCTTGGCCTTGGCCTCAGCAAGTTTCTTCAAGCGCTGCTTCTTGGCGAGTGGTGATTCTGGACGATATTTCTCCAGCAGCTTGAATAGCTTCACAGCTGTTGTCTTGTCCAGAGTTTGGCTGAACTGATTAATTGGTGGTGGCACCTTCAGACGCTTCTGCAGCACAGCCTTCTGGCGCTGGACGCGAATGTATTTGGGCCAACGCACAAAACGCGACAAATCGCGCTTGGGCTGAACATTTTGGCCTGAAAATTACAAATTTGACACATGAATGAGGAAATTGTGGAATATGATTTTCAATAGCAATCGCTTACCAATGCCAAAGTTCTTAGGACGCTTCTCGAAGAGCTGGTTAACAACTTTCTTGACCACTGGCTTCTTCACAGCCAATGGAGCTGGGGCCACCTTCTTGGTCACTGGCTTCTTCTTTGGCCTGGGCTGTAACATGAAATTAATTCAGTTTTAATATGGAACACACACACACGGCAGCAGCATAATACATATCACATATGCATATTATGTATATTTGGTATGGCACAATAACACAAAACAAAACACAAATAAAAAAAATTGTATAAAAAATATCAGAAATAATTCACGTCGCGCAACATTTGCTAATTGAAATGTTGATATGATTTGGTTGGGTAGCATTGTTTACCTTCTTAACAACCATTTTCGCGCAGTTTTATTCAACGATGTTAACAAAAAAAGCAGATTATTTTGCGGGTCGTTTAAAAAGACCAGCTTTACGTCTGCCCGTCAGAAAGGTAAAGGAATTGCGAGAGCGGCGGAAGTTGCTTGCTTGTCAAAGTTGACATTTGCTAGCGCCAGGGTTGTATTTACATATTGCTTGCACTTACTATCCGCCAGATGGCGTATGCAGAGTTACATGGCAAAGGGTTTCGATAGTGTAGCAGCAGTACTTATTGCAAGAAAATACCAAATACAACAAAACCATGCAGTGCAGTTGAAAATACGTGCACACTGCACAAACTATAATTTATTCTACCTGTTGCATTACCATTTGCGCTTGCGCCCAAATGTTAAAATTACCATATAAATTAATTAAAGATCAGCTAAAATTTCGTTTTTGTTAAAGTGCGGTGCAAGTGGTGCATTTAAATACAATATAGTTAGTAACAAAAGGTACTGATTGACATGGTGCTCTGGTGCACTCCTCCCCTGCCCAGGCAGGGCCACCATTTTTAATTTCTTTGTTTATTTTGTGTTCCATCTTCGTCGCAGTGTCGCAGTGTCAGCAACGATCGCAGCCGAATTTGAATGCATAAACAGAAAACCCAGAAGGTGCACTAAAAGGAAATCAAGAAAATTAACGCAGCTATTATTGATGTTAGCAATAAAAATGGAAATAGACAATGATAGTTACAAAATGAAGTGAGTGAACATATAGACACAAAATGGCCAGCAATGGGGCTGGTGGTGGATGTGGAGCTGCTGCAGGCGGCGTTGGTGGCGGAGCCATCAATCATACTCATGCCGTTTGCGTCTGGGAATTTGAATCGCGCGGTGGCAAATGGCTGCCCTATTCGCCGGCTGTGTCGCAGCACTTGGAGCGTGCGCATGCCAAGAAATTGACGCGTGTAATGCTTAGTGACGCCGATCCTAGCTTGGAGCAATACTATGTGAATGTGCGGACCATGACCCAAGAGTCAGATACCGAATCAGAGGCTGGAGGTCTACTAACAATCGGTGTACGGCGCATGCTCTATGCGCCCAGCAGCCCGGCGGGCAAGGGCACCAAATGGGAGTGGTCTGGAGGCGGCAGTGCGGACAACAATTGCGATTGGCGGCCATACAACATGCATGTGCAGTGCATCATTGAGGATGCGTGGGCCCGCGTAAGTTCTTGGCTATAAAATATATATAAATAAAATAATAACAATGTTTTTTTTTGTAGGGCGAGCAAACATTGGATCTGTGCAACACTAACATCAGCCTGCCATACACCATTAACTTTTGCAATCTAACGCAAATGAGACAGCCAAGTGGACCGTTGCGCAGCATACGACGCACACAGCAGGCGCCGTATCCGCTGGTCAAGCTAACGCCACAGCAGGCGCTGCAACTGAAGGCCAACAACAATGGCCACGACTATGTACAGCAGCAGCAACAACAACAGCAACAGCAGCAGCAGCAGCAGCAAAGGAGCAATAATACACTGCCCAAAATGGGTGCCATGCTGCCGCCCATGCATCGACAGCAGCATCCGTTGCCCACGCATGGACATCATAATCAGCAGCAACATCAGCATCAGCAACATCAACACCAACACCAACACCAACAGCATCAACATCCACAGCATCAGCAGCCACGCAAGCCGCACAAGAAACACAGCGAAATATCCACCACAAATCTGCGCCAGATACTCAACAACCTGAACATCTTTGGCAGCAGCACCAAGCACAGCAGCAACAATAGCAACAGCAACAGCGGCGGCGGCAGCAATCATCTAGCGACAGCAGTTGGCAGCTGCAATTCGAATGTGGCTGGCTCGACGCTGCATTTGATGCAGCATCAGGCGCACTTCTCGCACAGCAGCAAGAGTATGCTGACGTCCTCGATGAATAGTCATCATAGCCGCTGCTCAGAAAGCTCGTTGCAATCGCAGCGCAGCAGCCGTTTGGGCTCGCATCGATCGCGTTCGCGTACGCGTGTCTCTGATACCGATACGAATAGCGTTAAGTCGCATCGGCGCAGGCCGAGCGTTGATACCGTCTCCACGTATCTCAGTCATGAGAGCAAGGAGAGCCTACGGAGCCGTAATTTTGCCATATCTGTGAACGATCTGCTCGACTGTTCGCTGGGCAGCGATGAGGTGTTTGTGCCTTCGTTGCCGCCTTCGTCATTGGGTGAGCGCGCGCCGGTGCCGCCGCCATTGCCCATGCCACATCATCACCATCAGCAGCAGCAGCAACAGCAGCAGCAGCAACAGCAACAGCAGCAACAGCAGCAGCAGCAGCAACAACAGCAACAACAGCAGCAACAGCAGCAGCAACAACAACAGCAGCAATCAATCGCTGGTTCGATTGTGGGCGTGGACCCAGCCAGCGATATGATATCACGCTTCGTCAAGGTCGTTGAGCCGCCGTTATGGCCAAACGCCCAACCCTGCCCCATGTGCATGGAGGAGCTGGTACACTCGGCACAAAATCCTGCCATATCGCTGAGTCGCTGCCAGCATTTGATGCATCTGCAGTGCCTCAATGGCATGATCATAGCGCAGCAGAATGAACTAAATAAGGTAAGACAGGAGACGAAGAGGATGCACTTAAAAGGCGCAAAAGGAAACTTCCAATTGGTCTACACTGTTTAGCTCTAGACTGATCCCTGCACAACTTTGTGCTCTACTGTTAGATCCCAGAGCAGTCCGTATAACGTTGACGAATGGGAATTGCTGTGAAACGTTTACGTAAGCTCAAAGGATGAAAAGCCAAAATGAAGAAACGAAGAAGGACGACCAATGTTTGTTTAACTACAAATCTTAAATATTTATTTAGTGTATAGAAAAGGTCGTGCTGTCTCGCTCTTACTTATGTTCACTCTCTCTCTCTCTCTATCTCTCTCTCTCTTGCGCTTGCAGCAGAACCTGTTCATCGAGTGTCCCGTGTGTGGCATTGTCTACGGCGAGAAGGTGGGCAATCAGCCCATTGGCAGCATGTCCTGGAGCATTATAAGCAAAAATTTGCCTGGCCACGAGGGCCAGAATACCATACAGATTGTCTACGAGTGAGTGGCTTTACTGTTTCAGCTATTATGGCTATAACTATCTCTCTCTCTCTCTCTCTTCCGTTTCGTCCTCGCTTTTAGCATTGCTTCGGGCTTGCAAACCGCTGAGCATCCGCATCCGGGACGCGCTTTCTTTGCCGTTGGATTTCCGCGCATTTGCTATTTGCCCGACTGTCCGCTGGGTCGCAAAGTGTTGCGTTTTCTCAAAATCGCATTCGATCGTCGTTTGCTGTTCTCGATTGGACGTTCGGTGACCACTGGGCGTGAGGATGTGGTCATTTGGAATAGTGTCGATCACAAGACACAGTTCAATATGTTCCCAGATCCCACCTATTTGCAGCGCACCATGCAGCAGCTGGTGCATCTGGGCGTTACGGATTGAATCTAGTTGCCAGCAACTACAACAACAACTACAACAATAACTACAACAACAACAAAAGTACTCTCGCTTCCATGTCCTTTAAAAACTAAAAAGCAAACAACAATCTCAATGTGTGTGCAATTTTTATTTCGTTTTCGTTTTAATTTTGAATATTGTTTAATGTTTTTATATTTTGTTTTTTGTGTTCGAGCTGCTCGAACCCTAAAAAACAGAAACAACAGCCACTGCAACAGCAATTTCCTTTCTAAATATTTTTTTTCTCATTTAATAAGACAAAACTGTTCTTCCATTTGTAGAGATTAAGTTAATATATGCAGACATATGCATTGTATCTGTAAGGCCATAAGCTATTTGACTATTTCACTATTCCAAAACTGTATTGCCACACTAGAAATGTATCCAAGACAGACCTATTAGTATTAGTTAGTATTATATACATATATATTGAGATATATATAGCAATAATTAAGCATTTAAGTGTTAAGCTGTGCCAAAATTCTCAGATGTTAAATGTGACTCAATGTTTTTTTCAATCCCACTTCGAATTTACCGCGTATCTCAGTTCAATTTTAGTAAACAGCCATAGCATAGAAGCACTTGAGAGTATTAGATGGCCCAACTCATATATCTATATAAATTGTAATTGTATCATTTGAAACTTTCTATGCAAATCAATCAAATGTTCATGCACAAATGAATTTTTAATATTTTAGTATTTTAATTTGTTATCTGAATTTATGTAACTGCAGCAAATCATTCAAAATATTCTAAATGTATTCGAAACACTCGTGTGTATTCGTTTGGCTTTCACATATTCATTTGCCACTTTGACACATTTCATTCAATTCATTCGCTTGATAATTTCACTTATGATTTAAGCACTTTATATAACTTTAAAGTATATTTCATTGTGATTCGTGTTTTTGTTTGAATTTTTAGCCCCTTACAATGTTTAGGTCTAAAACCAAAATTTGAATTTGTTCTAAAGTCAATTTGAATATTGCTTTTGTTTTATGTGATTTTGATTTGGAATTTTATGTGTTTTTGGCGCAAACAGTTTATGAACTATTAGTAACTAATATATTATACACACACACACACACACACACACACTTACATACATACATACATATATTCGCACACATTATATAATATATATAGTTTTTTTTTTCAATTGTTGCTTTCATATTGATATCATCTCGACGACATTCTCGAACATACGATGCGATACATATATACTATATATATATACACACAGAACTATATACGTATGTATATATATGGTTATATACCATATATATATGTATATATAATGACAGCTATTGGGCATGCCCGCTTTACAATATAACTAAGTTGTATTTAGCACTGATTAGTTGTTAGTTAAACAGATTGCGTAAATCGCATTCAGCTTAGCATTTAACTATTAGCTAGAAATTAAGCTAAACTGAAAGACAGAACAAAACACACAAATTGATTATATACAAATTTATTCCTTATTGTAAAATTAGATTAAATAAAAATAAAAATAAAAAACAAACAAAAAATGTTCAAAAAAAATTAAGTAATTTTCGATTTATGTAAATGAGGTTTGACAAGATCTGCCATACTCATAAGATATATCAGATGTATATACATATTTTAGATATGTGTGTATAGCTATATCTATATATATGCATATATATATTCTTGATTTATTTGAAACAAGCAATTCAAACAAAGTTTTATATACGAACAACTTTTTTATTGTTAAAGATATCTTGATCAAATTTTGTATTTTTGACTGGAACTTATCTTCTTTTAACTCAGATTACTATATACTATAGCTGGCATAGGAAGAATCGCTCATAGATTCAATTTTTATATGGACAACTTTTCTGAATTTTTTATATCTTTATCAAACTTGCCTCTAATGATTTTTATATTGTTTTTTATGTATAAGTAAATTCTAGAAAATGTCAGCTAACTATATCGTATAGCTGCCATAGGAGCGATTAGTCAAAAATTGAGTTCATGTACAACTTTTTTGTTTGTTAAGTTAAATGAGTGCTTTCTCTTGTTAACTCCATATATCTTAAGTCTTGTCAATATCGGACGAGTATATCATATAGCTGCCATATGAGACTTTGCTCAAAAATGGAGTTTTTATGTGTGAAATTTTGTAGTTTTGCAAATTTCTATATCAATATTTGACAGTTAAGAGTCGTACAATGCACCTAAGTTATTGATAATATCTTGGTAGTATTCGCTTACTATATTATATAGCTGCCTCAGCGTTCTTAAATTGAAAAACTTTTTTAAATTTCATATTCGATGTGAGCTTGAGTAGGTTTTACGCTGCCTTCTTGGCAATTTAGTTGAATCTAAATGTATTAAGCTCTCGAGTAGTTCAGTCTATCATCTATAGAACTGCATCCTTAAACAGGCAGATATAAGTAGATCAAATGGCTTGCAGCAGGAGCTCTGGCCTGAAAGACTTTTAAGAACATCTTAGCTGAAGCAATGCAGTCTGTGCAGCACTTAAATGAAGTCGATTCATATTTATACATAGTTCAGTTGAGGCTACAGTCGACTGCTAGATCTATAGTTAGCTCTGTCTGGTCTCTGATATTTTCGTGTCACGCGCTCATCTCCAATTGGAATGCAAAAGCAGACAAAATTTCACACACAAATGGAATTCAAATCAACTGCATTTTAATTGCGCAATTGTTGCTGCTGCTGTTGCCGTTGGTGCAACTGTTGCTGCTGCTGCTGCTGTTGCTGTTGCTGTTGCTGTTGCTGTCAGCGACAAATTTAGCGCATTCAAGGTTTACATTTAGCGATTTCGCTGTGAATCACTTAAAATAAATTAAAATCAATTTTTGTGCATTTTTCATGCGTGATATATATATTGAGCAATACTATATATATATATATATATATACATGTATGTGTGTGTGTGTGTGTGCGTGCTGCTGCTGGCTGGCATCCTTTTATGGCACTTGTGGCAGCAACATGTGCCTTATTCCTCGACTTCAGCTTCAACTTGGCTGCCTACGCGCTGACATCATCGCAGCGCCACGCCCCCCCCCGCCCCCGCACGCACACAGCCTTCACAAGCTGCGACTTTTAGCCTGCGCAAGGACAGCTAGCAACCTTGGCAGCAGCAGCAGCAGCAGCAACAGTTGCTGCTGTCCGCACTTTCACCGAGCTCAGCCACAGTTGCTGCTGCTTTGAGCTGCATTTGTGCAGTGGCACGCCCACTCAAAGTGTTGCTGTTCTTAGGCCCACTGCCGCAACTGTTGCTGTTGTCTAAGCTGCAACTGCAGCTGCCACGCCCGCTCAAATGGCAGCAGTCTGCAACTGTTGCTGCTGCTGCTGCTGCTGCTGCTGTTCTCCTTGAGCCCATTGCATGTTGCTCAAAATGTTTTCCTAGAATTTTGCAGCATTTCATTCGATTTCATTTGATTGACACTGAATGTTGACGTTGACATTCATCGCACACACACACACACACACACGCTGCCAGTGCCTGCAATTCTGAGTCTCATCCACTGGTTTTCTACATATCCAGTCATGTGGTTTTGGCCAAAAGTGCACAACCCACTGACCATGTGGCTCCACTCGCAGCATTTGCGCTTCGTTTTTTTTTTTTGTTTTTTGTTTATTTCAGTTTTTTTCGGCTTTTTTTTTTTTTTGGTATACCCTGAACCCATTGCAAATGGGTTTTTAGGGTATTCATGCTTTGCTGCACGTGCTTGTCAGTGCGTGGGACATGTCGTTCTATATATATGCTTCTAGTATATTTATATATGTCACTAAGCGATCGGAATAACGAGCTGAATATGCTTCTATCTCTCTCCCTCTCTCATATTCTATATACCCCTTTCCCTTTCTCTCTATCTTTTTCGCTCTGTCCACGCTCTTTCTTTCTGCTCTCCTCTCTTTCCATTTCCTTTACTCCTCTTTCTTTCTTTCTCAATCTAAAGAGAGAGGAGACTCTCTTTTTCTCGCACTTCGATTTGCTTTATTCTCTATCTTTCTTTCTCTTCACTCTTTCTCCGCTCTCTCCACTTTCTTTCCTCTCTTTTCTCGCTCTTTTCTCTCTCTTTCATCTCTCTCTCTATACTCTCTCCTCTCTCTCTCTCTATCTCTCTCGTTCTTTTCGCTCTCTTTCATCTCTCTCTCTCTCCTCTCTCTCTCCTCTATCTCTCTATCTCTCTATCTCTATCTCTCTCTCTCTCTCTCTCCTCTCTCTTCTCTCTCTCCTCTCTCTCTCTCCTCTATCTCTCTATCTCTCTCTCTCTCCTCTCCTCTCCTCTCTCTCTCTCTCTCTCTCTCTCTCTCTCCTTTCTTTCCTTCTCTCTCTCTCCTCTCTCTCTCTCCTCTCTCTGTCTCTCTCTCGCGCTCTCTCTCCTCTCTCTCCTCCTCTCTCTCTCTCCTCTCTCTCCCTCCTCCTCTCTCTCTCTCCTCTCTCTCCTTTCTCTCCTTCTCTCTCTCCTTTCTCTCTCCTCCTTTCTCGCTCCTCTCTCTCTCTCCTTTCTCTCTCCTCTCCTCTCTCCTCTCCTCTCTCTCTCCTTTCTCTCTCCTCTCTCTCTCCTTTCTCTCTCTCCTTCTCTCTCTCCTCTCTCTCTCCTCTCTTTCTCTCTCTCTTCAGTTTATTTACTCCTTTTTATTCTCTCTCTATATTTCTCTATATTTTCTCTCTCTATCTCTCTCTCTCTATATATATTTTCTCTCTCTATCTCTCTCTCTCTCTAGCTAGAAGCTGCCACTCTTAGCAGACTTCGAGGTATCTGCTAGTCGGGCACTCCCGGCTAGAGCACTTTTTTTCGTTTATTTTTCGCGTTTTTTTCTTACGATTTTTTGGCGCTGCCTCGCGTTGCGCTTTGCATTTCGATAAAGCGACGCTGGCGGCAAGGGCGCAGCAGCAGCAGCAGCCTTATCGAAAGATCTCGTTTGAGCTATATGTAACTGAGGCATCTCTTAGAGGTAAGCCGCATATACAATCCTTTGTTTATATGCAAAACCTTTAGGATTGCTGGCATATGTTAGAGCAGAACCATTTTAGATGATTATTCAGTTATATAGTGTGTATAG